ATAACTACCAAATTATCCAGGGAAATGACTACAAACCACACTTTTAATGGACCAGTGGGGAAGTCAACAGTGCCAGGTCCATAATTCATTTTTCTATCCCAAGGATAGAAATCCATTACTAGTTTTGAAAAGGACTATTTAAAGATATTCAGCACTGCAGAGGGCCTAGAAAAACTGTCATCTGGTGAGTCAGGAGAGGCCAGGGGCCACGCTGGAAATTGTTTTGTGGATTGTGTTGGGGAACCTGAGCTGTTAGGCTAAAAAATAACCCTCAGTTGGGATGATTCTGACATAAATATAGCAGAATTCCAGAAGTAAACTTCATAACCAGCAGAAACTTACATGTGGCGAGCTAGGATCATTCCATAGGATGGCACAGGATTGCAGAGTCAGAACTGTAAGTTCCAAAATATTTATTGAAGTAGCAGAAGTACATTCTTGATAGAAAAGGTCTCGGAACTAAGTCGCTTACTAAATCACATCTAAAGAGGTAAACAGTAAAAAGATCCATGCAGCTACATTTTGCCTAGAGAGAGGGGCAAAATGAGTCCTCACTGGAAGGAAGAAAGGCAGAAGAGAACAATGGTAGAGACCACATTGTCAACCCAGGGTAATAAAACTTAAAGAGGAAGTTCCCTCACATTCCTATATCATCAAGAGGTGGAGAGGAGACAGTGGCTAGCACAGTGGTTCTCAACCTGGGGTCCCCATATGTTTTTGCCTTCAACTCCCAGAAATCCTAACAGCTGGTAAACTATTTCTGGGAGTTGTAGGCCAAAACATCTGAGGACCCACAGGTTGAGAACCACTGGGCTAGCAGGAGGCCTAAAGACAAAGCCCTTTTGGGAAACTTGCATGGTAAAGTGGGGAAAGGAATCCCTCCACTTAATACTATCTCTAGTCTAGTTACTTATTGAGGTCTGGAAATTTGAGACTTGTGCAGTCCAGGGATGAAACCCAACAGATTGTGTTGACTCATCCAGATCTCAAGAACATGTATAATTATTATTTTTAGTATGACGACTGACCACTGTAGTTTTGGATATATTTGTTGTTTTAATGTGTTATTGTAATATGAACTATGATGTTTTTACCGATTGTATGTGTTTTTATGGTTGGAAACCGGTCTGAGTCCCTCAAAAGAGGTGAGAAGGTCGGTATATAAAACACTGAAATAAATAATAAATAACTAAACATACACGTTGGAAGTTATAATCTGTCCCATCCCATATTCATCACTCTGTATGTATTTGTCTGTTGTCATATGCTTGGGTTTCCTTCACCCCACATAACATGGTGTCAGTGGCCACCTTTGCTGCCGTTGGGTGCCTTCAGGTCATTTCTGACCTAAGATGACCCTCGGTCTTGGCAAGATTTATTCAGAAGGGTTTTGCCTTACTTTGAGGCTGAGAGAATGAGGCTCATCCAAGGTCACTCACTAAGGTTCCATGCCTGAGCAGGAATTTGAACTCTAGATTCTAGTTCAAATTGCTTCTCCAGGCTGGCCAGCTTCACACCCAATTCCAAGTCATTGATGATCAAGTTTAGGATCATAAATCCCCTTATAAGACCCTGTGCTTCTTATTTCACCCCATTATATCGCTTGCCCATCAATCCATACTCTGCCTCTCATGATTTGTTTCTTTAACATTCCTTAAAGACATTTTTCATTTATGGCAACCCTAAGGCAAAGTTGGGCCGCCTGGTGGTGCAGCAGGTTAAATGCTGAGCTGCTGAAATTGCTGACCAAAAAACTGCCAGTTTGAATCCAGGGAGCAGGGTGAGCTCCTGTTGTTAGCCCCAGCTTCTGCCAACCTAGCAGTTCGAAAACATGAAAATGTGAGTAGATCAATAGGTACCACGCTGGCGGGAAGGTAACAGCGCTCTGTGCAGTCATGCCACCCACATGACTTAGGAGGTGTCTATGGACAATGCCAGTTCTTTGGCTTAGAAGTGGAGATGAGCACCAACCCCCCCCCCCCCCCCCCCCGCGTTGGTCACGACGAGACTTAATGTCAGGGGAAAGCTTTACCTTTACTAAGGCAAAGTTATCTTGGGATTCTTACATGATTTGTTCAGAGGGACTTTGTCCCTGTCTTTCTCTGAGGCTGAAACAGTGTGGATGTCAATCCATGTAGGCATACCATATCTACTATCTACCTGTAGATACAGATTTTGTCTCTTCTTAGGATGAGGAAACTTGTGACCCTTCAGATAATATCCAGGTATGAATCTCCTCTGGCCACGGGCCATGCTGGCTAGGTCTGGAGAAAATTAGAATTTCATGACATGTGGAAAGAAGCATTTCTTTCAGATCACCTCATCCCACATCCTGGTTGTTTCTCTCTGATGATCCCCAAACTTGGCATGAGAGGACATGCTGTTGCAGAAGCCATGCAGAGTCTTTTTCAGAAAGGCTTGCTCTTTCATGACAAGTCAGACATTTACTTGGCATTGTCCACGTTTATGTTGATGCTTTGCTTATAATTGGAATGGAACAAAAGTTTGATTGGTAGCATACACCAGCCTGAAATTGGTTCCACAATAAGTTCAGCATGAAAATGAACAGCAAACCTTTTCAGAAGGGAAACCCTACAAAATTGGCCTGAAAATGTTCAGGTTGTAACCCTAAACGTAAATATGAAGTTTGGTCAAAACGGATTCATAAATGGGTGTTCAAGAGTAACAGATACAGAAGTCAGTGTTTCTCAACCTGGGGGTCGGGACCCCGGGGGGGGGGTCGTGAGGGCTCGCCAAAGACTATCAGAAAACACAGTATATTCTGTTGGTCATGGGAATTCTGTCTGCCAAGTTTGGTTCAATTCCATTATTGGTGGAATTCAGAATGCTCTTTGATTGTAGGTGAACTATAAATGTCTGTAACTACAACTCCCAAATGGCAAAACCAATCCCCCCTCATTCCATCAGTATTCAAATATGGGTGTATCAGGGATTTGTGCCAAATTTTGTCCAATGAATGATAATACATCCTGCATATCAGATGTTTACATTACAATTCATAACAGTAGCAAAACTACAGTTATGAAGTAGCAACGAAAATAATGTTATTCTTGGGGGTCATAACAACATGAGGAACTGTATTAAGGGGTTGCGGCATTAGGAAGGTTGAGAACCACTGTTCTAAGTGTTTGTTCAGGTTGTGCCTGAAGTAAATGGTTTGGGCCTCGCATATCTCCACGATCGCATCTCCCCTTACGAGCCGATGTAGACTCTTAGATCTACTGGAGAGGCTCTTCTCTTGCTCCCACCACCATCTCAAGTGTGGCTGGTGGGGATGAGGGAGAGGGCCTTCTTGGTGGTGGCCCCTCTCCCCACCCCAGAGAGATAAGACAAGTCCCGTCACGAGCCTCCTTCCACAAGGACCGGAAAACCTGGTGGTTCCAGCAAGCTTTTGGAAATGATTACCTCCAGGCCCTACCCTGGCTATTAGTTAGGTTCCAGCTCTGCACTCTTCACACTTCCCCGGCCCTTGCTACTAGCCCTGGTCTAGCCCTACTTTAGCTAATCAGCTGGTCCTGGAAATGAAGAGCCCAAGGCATCACCCTGGCCATTAGTTAGGCCCTTGTTATGCACTTTACCCACTTCTCCAGCCCCATGTTTTCCCCGTTGGCCCAGCCCTCTTGTGGTTATGCAGCAAGCCTTGGAAATGAATAGCTCCAGGTCCCACCCTGACCATCAGATAGACCATGCTTGCTCTTTACCCACTCCCCAGGCCCTAGTCTAATTCGTCATGTTAGGCCAGCCCTCTCATCATTGTCAAGGCCCCCTTTGGAATCTTGGCCATTGGAAGCTGAGCTGCCCCATGTCAATAGTACTGAACTGGCTTTTAATTTTAAATATTACGACTGATATATGTTTATACTGTTTGTAATTACTTATTGTATGTTCTTATGTCAGTAATGGGAGCCCCCGGTGGCACAGTGGGTTAAACCGCTGAACAGCTGAACTTTCTGTTCGAAAGACTGCAAGTTCGAATCAGGGGAGCGGTGTGAGCTCCCGCTGTTAGCCCCAGTTTCTGCCAACCTAGCAGTTTGAAAACATGCAAATGTGAGTAGATCAATAGGTACTGCTCTGGCGGGAAGGTAATGGCACTCCATGCAGTTATGCCGGCTACTTGACCTTGGAGGTGTCTATGGACAATGCCAGCTCTTCTTAGAAAGGGAGATGAGCACCAACCCCAGAGTTGGACACGACTAGATTTAATGTCAGGGGAAAGCCAAATGTCAGTAATTGCAATGCTTTACCATGTTGAAAACCCCCCTGAGTCCCCTCAGGGAGATAGAGCAGTATACAAATAAAGGATTATTATTATTATTATTATTATTATTATTATTATTATTGGGTTGTTGTAGGTTTTTTGGTCTATATGGCCATGTTCTAGAAAACATACAAAAACCTACAACAACCCAGTGATTCCAGCCATGGAAGCCTTCGACAATACATTATTATTATTATTACTATTATTATTATTATTATTATTATTATTATTATTATTATTAAGTAGTTTATAGAACAAGTTTAGTGCCATGTAGACAATGCCAAGGCTAGAAATTCTGACGTCAGATGTATACATTACAGCATAATAAACACTTAAATGTATAGTATAGATTTTGTTTTTAATCCTGCTTTCTACCTATTTATCTGATAAATTTACCTGTAATTTTCGAGGCCACCCCCGGATCTCTTTTTTCAAATGCCCTTTCTGTTGGCTGTTTTCCAGGCGTCCGCTAGGAAAGCTGGTTTTAGTGAATAGTTTCATATATTAATTTAAAGGTCACCACTTCCATCTTGGGGTTCTTAGGAACTCTAGGGCGCAGTTTTGTTTTTAATGATAATTGCTTTGCGCTGTTCTGCATTTCTGAAGCATTTTTGAAAGGCTCCGGCTTGCTCTCGAGAGACTTGATGGGGCTGCATGCCATCCTTGACTGGTGCTGTGTCTGGGCGGCATCATGGCAGCCAGTTTCTTTATCCTTCTTCAGAGCGGGATGAAGACATCAAGAAAATCCAGACGCAGATCAGCGGTGGCATGCAGGCCAATGCGGCCCTCCTCCAGGGCTACCTGAAGACCTGGGATGTCTACCGTGAGATCTGGGAAGTCAACAAAGACGCCTTCATCAACCGCTACCGGCACCTCAACCCACTGGTGTCTTCCTTTGATGCTGACACGGCTCGGTAAGAGGGCAAGGAAAAGCCTACGGGTGGCCACTAGAAAGGAACACAAAGGTTCTTGTGGGCTTCCCACTGAGGCCTCTGGCTGGTGACAGTGGGAAGACAACAGCGACATCAGATGGGCCAAACTGGTCTGGTGGCAGCTCAGCTTTGCTTATGTTCCTGAACTGACAATTAGACTCAGAGCCCCTCCTTTTTAATCTGTCATATGTATCTGTGTGTGAGGGCTTATTCATTTATCATATCAGAAGTGGATCAAGGGTACAGTTGTAGTGTATTTAAAAAACACAAAGCTTAAAAAACTTGGCATTGTACTAAATGTCCTTTTACCAGTAGCTGGCCACTGGGAGTGCCTCTGATGTTGCTGTTAGAAGGTCCTCCGTTGTGCATGTGGCAGGGCTCAGTCTGCATTGTAATAGGTGGCCTGTGATTTGCTCTTCTCTACATCCACATGTCATAGACTCCATTTTGTGGCCCCATTTCTTAAGGTTGACTCTGCATCTCGTGGTGCCAGAGCACATCCTGTTCAGCACCTTCCAAGTCGTTCAGTCTTCTGTGTGCCCAGGAGGTAGTCTGTCATTTGGTATCAGCCATGGGTTGAGGTTCTGGGTTTTAGCCTGCCACTTTTGGACTCTGGCTTGCTGTGGTGTTCCTGCAAGAATCTCTGTAGATCTTAGAAAACTATTTCTTGATTTAAGGCATTGGTGTGCTGATCCAAAGTTAAGTTTGGTTTCTGAGGGAGATGGATAAGGGGCTGGAAGTCAGGAACAAAGGGGAAATGGCATCAATATGGGAAAGAAGCATCTTGGAGATAAGGCAGGGTTTGGGGCTAGCAGGATCCATCACCTTCTGCAGGGCAGGACAGAGTTTGCTTTGCAGGTTGGTGCGCCAGGGGTTTATATACAGATTAGGATATATAAGACTCATTAAAGGGCTATTATCTCCCTTGGTCTTTTTCCCAAGTGCCATAAGGAGAAGAAAAATAAGCATATAGTGTGGGAAAACAAGAGAAGGGAGACATGCACATGAGGGTCCTATAGGAAAGAGTGGGCCTGCGGCCTTGGGGAAACATACACAGGGGATCAGTGGGCAGCTGGGGGTTTTTAGGGTCCCCAGGCCCACCCGAGGTAGAAAACAATAGTGGTGGGATCAATGTCTTGGTGCTAGGTAATGGATTATGTTTTAGGTAGTTAGTCATACCAGAGCTCCTAGGGGTTCATAGGTAAGGTGAGGGGTGTTGAGGGGTGTAGGGAACTCCTGACACAGAAGATCGTGGATACGGAGGGAGGAACGATGGACCTCCGTATCCGCGGTTTATAGGGACACGGCCCCCTGAGCCTGGTGAGGTTGAGATCTGATTTTTATTAGTTTAATAAATGTTTTATAGGGCTGTGGCAGTGATGGGGAGAGGGTGCAGATCCTGCAGTGGGTCTGCTATGGCTTTCCTGGTTTTGCCAGCTGGTGCGACGAACCCGGAAGTGGTTTGAATTTAGTGGTGGAAAAATAGACAAAAATATAGAGAATAGGTAGAAAACCTGGTCTTTTTTAATTTAATTTTATTAATATAGTTTAAGAACTGGTTGTAGGGTTCTCCATGGGATTGCTGGCTGCTGCTAGATCCATTCAGTTGAGGGCGGCTGCCATTGGCTCCATTGGAGCCTGGTGAGACCTGTGGAACTCCTTGCTGCAGGTTGCAGTTTTATTTCATCAATAAAAGGGGGGCCTCGATAACGCTGGGGTTCCTGGAAGATCACCATGGAGTAGGTTGTGGCCTGAAATCTAGGGCTCTTGTATTATGAGCTATTATCACTTAGCAAAACCAGCAGGGTTTCACTGACTGTGATATTAATTGTCACAGACTTCATCTGGAGCAAAGTACAGCAAAGTCTCATGATGACATTCAACTAGGTTGCCTTTGGCACCCAAAATTGCTCCTCTCCCAAGTGAAGGTGGTCCAGATGTAACCTGGAGGCGTTCTCACCCCCCACCCCTCTTTGCAGTGGAAAACTCTCGGTATTGTTCCCCATTGCACCAGGAGCATTCTCCTCTCTGCTTTGCCTAGAGCCAAGTTTTGTAGGAGAAAGGGAAGTGGGCCTGTCTTCACCTTTCTCACAGTTTCCTGCTGGGGAGGGAATTTTGTTTTCCCCCTCTTTCCACAAACTGCTGTGGGGACCCCTGCCGTGTGCCGCTCCTGGAGGAGGCTGGAATTCTGTGCGGTTTGAGCAATGGGTTTGGGGAGAAAGAGCAGCAGGCAGAAGAAAACCTGTTTCCATGCAAATGTCAAAAGTGATTGTAGCAAACCAAACTGGGGAGAGAAACACTGAGAGGCTGAGTGCAAGACGGATGTTTGTACAGCTCTTCCCCAGGAGACGTCACATTAAGAGCTTTGTAAACAAGATCCAGCTGCTGCAGCAGACAAAGCCCAGAGGCCGGGAAGTCCAGACGCTGCCCACTCTCTGCTCCAGACCCAGCCCAGTGGGTCAGCCTTGAGTGAAACCACCCTCCTTCTCCTGGGGGGCAGGCAAGGCAAAATTCAGTGGAGATCTGGGACAATTGGCTCTCCGTATCCACGGGTTCAACCATCCACAGCTTGAAAATCCCCCCCCCCCCACAAAAAACCCCCAACCTCCAAAAGCAAAGTTGAATTTTCCATTTTATATAAGGGGTGCCCATTTTATTACACCATCATATGTAATGGGACTTGAACACCCATGGATTTTGGTATCCATGGGGATTCCTAGAATCAAACTGTTGGGAAATCTGAACTGTTAGGGCTGAAAAAAATAACCCCCAGTTGGGGTGATTCCACCATAAATATAGCAGAGTACAGAAGCAAACTTCATAACCAGCAGAAACTTATGTTTGGTGAGCTAGGATAAGCTTTCACTCCATAGGATGGCACAGGATTGCAGAGTCAGAACTTCAGGATCAAAAGTATTTATTGAATTAAAAGAAGTACATTCTTGATGGGAACACACAAGCTTACTGAGTCTCATCTTCTAAGGAAGGAAAAAGTTAAAAGATCTGTGTAGCTACATTTTGCCTAGAGAGAGGCAAAATGCATCCTTACTGGAAGGAAGAAAGGGCAGAAGAAACAATGGTGGGAGACCATATGGTCAATCCAAGGGCCATAAAACTTAAAGAGGAAGTTCCCTCACAGAATTCCATTGCTATATCACCAAAGGGGAGAGACAGTGGCTTGCAGGAAGAGAGAAGACAAAGCCCTTTTGGGAAAACATGCCTAGGTATTTGGGGGGAGGAATCCCTCAGCCTAATCCTATCTCTATCCTATCCCATTGCTATATCTTTGGTGATATAGCAATGGATATCTCTAGTCTAGCTACTAGACTGAGGTCTGGAAACTTAATGACACAAGAGACTTGTGCGGTCCAGAGAGGAAACTCAACACAAACCCTAGCAGATACTATGGACCTAATGTCCCTGGAGTAGGCAGGAGGCTTTACTGTTAGGATGGAGGACGTGGGGATGTGGACGTACCTCCCAGAGTCCTCACACATTCAGGGACATTCATTATCGTCATTATCATCATTTACATCTTACTGTTTCCCCAGTTTGGGACGTAAAGCATAGAATTTGGGATTTTGGAGTATTTGCGTATACTTAATGAGATATCTTGGAGATGAAACACAAGTCTTATTCATTTAGATGTTTTGAATTAGTGTGGTGTAGTTGTGGGACTGTTGGACTACAACTCTGGAATCATAGAATCATAGAGTTAGAAAAGACCTGGTGAGCCATCCAGTCCAACCCCATTCTACCAAGAAGCAGGAAAATTGCATTCAAAGCACCCCCAACAGATGGCCATCCAGCCTCTGCTTAAAAGCCTCCATAGAAGGAGCCTCCACCACACTCTGGGGCAGAGAGTTCCACTGCTGAACAGCTCTCACAGTCAGGAAGTTCTTCCTAATGTTGCGATGGAATCTCCTTTCTTGTAGTTTGAAGCCATTCTTCCATTGTGTCCTAGTCTCCAGGGCAGCAGAAAACAAGCTTGCTCCCTCTTCCCTATGATGTCCTCTGACATATTTATACATGGCTATCATGTCTCCTCTCAGCCTTCTCTTCTTCAGGCTAAACATGCCCAGCTCTTTCAGCCGCTCCTCATAGGGCTTGTTCTCCAGACCCTTGATCATTTTAGTCACCCTCCTCTGGACACATTCCAGCTTGTCAACATCTCCCTTCAGTTGTGGTGCCCAGAATTGGACACAGTGTGATTCCAGGTGTGGTCTAACCAAGGCAGAATAGAGCATGGGGAGCATGGGGTAGGAAGAGTTTGATTCTCCATTTAGCCGTGGAACTCTACTGGGTGACCTGGGGCACGTCACGCTCTCAGCCTCAGAGGAAGGCAAAGGCAGACCCTCTCTGAACACCTTTTGCTGAGAAAACCCCATGACAGGTAGGCCTGAGGGTTGCAAGAAGTTGGGAATGACTTGGAGATAGACATCAACAAATCGGCTCTTTGCAATTTTGATCGCTTCTTTTGACCCTTCTCCCTCAGGGCCTCTTAAACTTCACTGTCCAGTTGATGGCCAAGCGCCTCCTTGCCTCGGGTCTGTTTGGGCAGGCAAACTGCCCAGCAAGAGACCCATTTTTCTCTTCTTGTGAAGACTCCCATCCTTCCCTTGCTGTCAGTTAGCTGGCCTTGGCCACAAGTGAGATGAAGGCACGGTGGCCAAGAGGCCTCATGTCTACACAGAAGAGGGATAAGCGGAAGGATTCCATCCCTGATCCCTTAATCTTTTAATAATTTATTGAACAAGCATGTCGAGTGCTTGAGAGGGAGAGAGACAAGAAGAAGGAGAAGAAGAGAGCGTCTCCTCCCCGCCCGCCCACCTCCTCCTCTTCTCTTCCCGCCCCGGGGGTCTGCCATTCTCTAGTTCAAGAGGAAGGCAGGAGGCTGTGCAAGGACTTGGGGATGTCTCCACATAGTGGTTCAGGGTTTGATGCGGTAGGAAAATGTAGTGGAAGGCAAGGCAGTGGCAATAAAAAGCCGGTGTCCTCTGATGTCCCAGTGTCACGGGCAGGTCAAGGGTGTCCCTGGGGCTGGCTGGCTCTCGTCAGGGCCTCTTAAACAGCTGCCGTTTGCCTTTTGAACTTTTTCCGTTTACAGCATGTTTTACGAGCTTTTGATTCCTCGCATTCTCAAGCGTAACGTCAGTAGCAACACGCTGATCAATTCCCCGATTAAAGGCAGCAAAGTAACATGCGGCAGCAGGATTAACAGGAGGGCAAGATTACAGTTAGGACCACTGGGGCTCCTCTGCTACAGAGTTGGAAGAGACCTTGTAGGCCATCCAGTCCAACCCCTTTCTGCCAAGAAGCAGGAAAATCACATTCAAAGCACCCCCGACAGATGGCCATCCAGTCTCTGTTTAAAAGCCTCCAAAGAAGGAGCCTCCACCACACTCCAGCGCAGAGAGTTCCACTGCTGAACAGTTCTTATAGTCAGGAAGGTCTTCCTCATGTTCAGGTGGAATCTCCTTTCCTGTAGTTCAGTGGTCCAGAGGAGGATGACTAAAATGATAAAGGGTCTGGAGAACAAGCCCTATGAGGAACGGCTTAAAGAGCTGGGCCTGTTTAGCCTAAAGAAGAGAAGGCTGAGAGGAGAAATGATAGCCATGTATAAATATGTGAGGGGAAATCACAGGGAGGAGGGAGCAAGCTTGTTTTCTGCTGCCCTGAAGACTAGGACGCAATGGAACAATGGCTTCAAACTACAAGAAAAGAGATTCCATCTGAACATGAGGAAGAACTTCCTGAGTGTGAGAGAGAGCTGTTCAGCAGTGGAACTCTCTGCCCCAGAGTGTGGTGGAGACTCCTTCTTTGGAAACTTTTAAACAGAGGCTGGATGGCCATCTGTCAGGGGTGCTTTGAATGCAATATTCCTGCTTCTAGGCAGGGGGTTGGACTGGATGGCCCATAAGGTCTCTTTCAACTCTGTGATTCTATGATTCTATGGTTCTTAACCTGTGAGTTCCCCGGGTATTTTGGCCTACAATCCCCAGAAATTGCAGCTAGTTTACCAGCTGTTAGGACTTCTGGGAGTTGACAGCCAAAACATCTGGGGACCCACAGGTTGGGAACCACCACTGTAGTTTGAAGGCATTGTTCCATTGCATCCTAGCCTCCCAGGCAGCAGAAAACAAGCCTGCTCTCTCCTCCCTATGACTTCCCCTCACCTCTTGATCCATGGCCCTCATCATGTCTCCTCTCAGCCTTCTCTCCTGCAAGCCAAACATGCCTACTCTTTAAGCCACTCCTCATAGGGCTTGTTCTCCAGACCCTTGATCCTTTGAGTCGTCCTCCTCTGGACACATTCCACCTTGTCAACATCTCCCTTTAATTGTGGTGCCCAGAACTGGACACAGTATTCCAGGTATGGCCTGACCAAGGCAGAAGAGAGGGGGAGTATGACTTCCCTGGATCTAGGTACTAGACTTCTATTGATGCAGGACATAACCCATTAACCTTTTAAGCTGCTGCATGACATTGTTGGCTCATGTTGCCCTTCCTCTCCACAAGGACTCCAAGATCTTTTCCACACGTGTTGCTGTCGAGCCAAGCATCGTCCTCCATTCTGTCTCTTTGTATTTCCTTTTTTTCTGCCTCAGTAGTTCTCAACCTGTGGGTCCCCAGGTATTTTGGCCTAAAACTCCCAGAAACCCCAGCCAGTTTACCAGCTGTTAGGATTTCTGGGAGTTGAAAGCCAAAACATCTGGGGAACCACAGGTTGAGAACCACTGGCCTAAGTGGAGTATCTTTTATTTGTCTTGTTGAAACTCATTTGGTTAGTTTTGGCCACTCATCTCTCTGATCTCGAACGTTTATCCCACAAGCTCAGCTTCACCTTCTGGTGGCAAAGACAGAGCGCAAGTGAGTCAAGGAGCCGTGGCAGAGAGGAGATGGCATAAATCTCTTTCTTTGGGGCTCCACTAGTATCTTTTCAATCAGCCCCTTCGTTTGGCTTACTCAGCATCCCTGACATACCTAATTTACTGCCCCCCGGGGTAGGAAAGAGACAAATGTGGGCCCATAACAAGGGAACAGGAGGAAAGGAGTCCTGGGTCCAATCATTCTCTGCCAGCGCCCGAATGTTGCCATTGTCTCCATTGCTCTCTTTGGGGGCCATGGATTTTTTTTGCAGGGAGGAGACGGTGTCCTTGTTAGGAAAGTTTGGCTTTGCGTTTCCAGTGACCCACTGACAGGGAATTAATTAATGGGGAGATTTAATAAGATCCCTTGGGAGCGGAACAATCCTCCACCTGCTGGCCTGCCTTGCTTCCGTGTGCTTCAGTGAGCCAGGGAAGCAGAAATAAAACTACGCTTTAATTAACCAACCACTTCAAGGGATCTCCTTCGATGTCCCCTTAACCGCTTCCATTGTTCAGCCCTGGGATGCAACTTGCAGAGTTTAAGGACAGATAACAACACATCTTTTTCCCTCTTTGTATGAATCATGCAAATGTACACAGAGAAAGGGCAGCTTTTCCTCTTTCTGTTTTTGCCTCAAAACGTCCTGTCTCGCTCAAACGTATCCCGATAACACCATCTTAAAGTGAGGATTCTATTGACATTTTCCCACCCTAGTCTTCTAACTTGCTCACCTCGAACTTCAAGCAGCAAATTAATCTCAAGGGTTTTAGATCTGGGTCAAGCCATACCTTACTTAGAGTCTAGGAAAGTTGAGGCTATGGGTGTGATCAATAAAGTCCATAAAAGAATCCAGCTAATGTGTGTAGGTTGCACTCAAGAGTATTTGAGTCTTTACAGTGGGCCTGGAGTTCAGAAAACTTTAGCCACTTATCAAGCAGCTATACAGACCTTCTCCCCCAATGTGTGTTATGCGTTGGTTCCCAAGAAAATTTGAGAAAGGTTCTTTTTGGACAGTATGCTGAATGAGGAATTCTAGGGACTGTAGTAAACAAAGAGTACTCTTCCATGTTCTGGTTTAGAAGCCGTATAATGGGGAGAGCAAGATGAAAAGGATCTTGGAGTCCTCGTGGACAACAAGTTTAAACGTGAGCCAACAATGTGATGTGACAGTTCAAAAAGCCAATGGATGTTGGCCTGCATCAACAGGAGTCTAGTATTTAGATGCAGGGAAGCCATGCTACCTTTCTATTCTGCTTTAGTCAGACCACACCTGGAATCACACTGTGTCTAATTCTGGGCACCGCAATTGAAGGGAGATGTTGACTCTAAGCTAGAATGAGTCCAGAGGAGAGCAACTCAAAGACTCAAGGTTCTAGAGAACTAGCCCTATGAGGAGCAGCTTCAAGAGCTGGGCATGTTTAGCCTGCAGAAGAGAAGGCTGAGAAGAGACATGATTAGGGCCATGTATAAGTATGTGAAGGGAAATCATAGGGAGGAGGGAGCAAGCTTGTTTTCTGCTTCCCTGGAGACTAGGATACGGAAGAATGGCTTCAAACTACAGGAAAGGAGATTCCACCTGAACATTAGGAAGAACTTTCTGACTGTGAGAGCTGTTCAGCAATGGAACTCTCTGCCTCAGAGTGTGGAGGAGGCTCCTTCTTTGGAGACTTTTAAGCAGAGGCTGGATGGCCATCTGTTGGGGGTGCTTTGAATGCAATTTTCTTGCTACTTGGGAGAATGGGGTTGGACTAGATGGCCCACAAGGTCTCTTCCAACTCTAGGAATCTATTATTTTAGTTGATAGGGATGGGCAAGAGCAGAGGGAAAGTTTGCATCTCAAGCCCTGTCTGTGGATTTCCAGTTTAACTGTTATGAGCAACATTATGCTACACCAGGTGGCTGATTACTATCTTGTTATGGTTGTGTTCCTTAATACTATTTTGCTCCTGTGTGGTTAGGAATGGACTTCTTCCAAACATTAGTTTCTGGTAGGGAAGCAAACAGTGGAGACACTCTTGGAAAGTATACGTTTCCAGGCTGAAACTCTTAGTAACCCCAAACCAGGGTGGCTTGTGGGGTTCTAGGAGCTGAAATCCAGGAAAAGTAACTTATCATGCTCTACAAAAGAGCTGTGCATTCTAATTCACCAGGTGTTCCCTGAAATGCATAATAAGTGTGCACACGTGTGCCTTTTTGATCAATTCCTAGTTTCCTTGGAGAGTTGGAGGGTCCTTCTTTGGAAGCTTTTAAACAGAGGCTGGATGGCCATCTGTCAGGGGTGCTTGGAATGCAGTATTCCTGCTTCTTGGCAGGGGGTTGTACTGGATGGCCCATGAGGTCTCTTCCAACTCTGTGATTCTATGAATGATGCAGGCTTTTGTTAAGTTGAGATTTGGAAGAGCTGCAACCTGGTAGAAGCTGCGTCTGCTAGTAACTTCTCTCCTGTTGCCTGTGTACCTCTGTGCCATAGATACATGGAAGTAGCCAACAATGCGCAGAAGGAGGAGACGATGCTGAGCATCCAGTTTGTGCTCCTGGACTGCTCCCACCTGAAGGCTGCGGTGGTCCAGCATTGCAACGAGTGGCAGAACAAGCTCACCAACCTGCTGAATGAGATGGCCACCACCCGCCTGCGGGACCTCACCAACTACTTGAAGGACAATGCAGCTGAGTGAGTCCCGGGCTCTGTCTCCTCTCCTGGGCTCCTGTCCTGCTGCCCTGTCCCCCTCAATTGCTCAGCGAAGGCTCTTTCTCCCACAGTGTCAGCCGCCCACCGCAGACCCTGGAGGAGCTCAGCCGAAGCCTCCAGCTCCACGAAACCCTTACGAACGATCTGCCTAAGATCGAGGCGCAGATCCCGCCCATCCACGAGCAGTTTGCCATCCTTGAAAAGTATGAGGTGGCCGTGGAGGAAGAGGTAGGTGCCACTCGGCTCCAGCACTCCCCCTCGCTCGTACCTCCCCCATCCTCATAATATCTGTGGTCTCTTCCCAGTTTTCCTAGCTAAAGTGATCCCGTGCTTAATTCTCTCCTTTTCTGCTGAGGTAGACAGTCTCGGTATTAGGTTAGGCCCCTTTCTGGGGGCAAGAGGCAGGCAGAAATTCAATTGCTATCGGAGGATGATGGGGAACGGAAGAGGTGCGAAGGGGGAGGGCTCGCCCTCTCTAGACTCAAGGAGCGCTTGTGCTCCCCAGGGGCTCTGTCTTCCCTTTCTCAGCAAAGCCAACTTGGGAATCACCCTGGCTAAGAAAGGAAGACTCTTGGCTTTATGTTAAATGGAAGGGGTGGGGGGAATGTTCCCTGCAGGCCACAAGCAATCCCTGAGGTTGCTGTTGTGGGCTTGGAGGCCCACCCACCCCACATATTATTGATTGGTTGGTTGGTTTCACTTTAGAAGGCCATCTGCATCCTCTCGGGATGTAAGGCGCAATTTTGTCCTTTCCTTCCCCAGGGTGTTTTAGGGCTGGATGGGGGGGGGGGACTTTCTTCAAAATAGATACTGACTAGGGCTGGGTAACCACGGAAAAATTGTTTCTAAACTCGATTAGTTTTTAGGGGGTTTTTGCGTTTCGTTTTTTAAAAGAATTCCAAAATTTTTCTTTAAAAAAGTTTGAAATATACGAAATTTCATAAAATTATGAAACAATTACGAAACAATTACGAATCGATTCGTAATGGCGGACACGATTGCGCAATATGCTAAAAAACCCTCCAAGTGGGACAGGGGGAACTTCTGAAGCTTCCCTCTCCCTCTGTTGTTGACTGTTGGTGTGATAATTTATTTTTTATCACTGATAAAACAAACAACAACCCTAAAACTTGCACCAGACATACAGAAATAATTACGAAACAATTACGAACCAATTTCGAAACAATTACGAATCGATTTCGAAACAATTACGAAACAATTATGAAATAAATTAAAAATTTCGTTTCGATTTTTAATTACTCCTGCATGGCTCAATATCGGATCGTAAGCTAATTTAAATATGAATTAATAACGAATTACGAAATTAACGAACGAAACCGCCCAACCCTAATACTGACTTCTGTTTCCATTTTGTAAAAAAAAGAAACTTCTCCTTGGCCTGAAACAGCCCTCTAAAAACATGGGGAGTACTTTTGTACCCTGTAGTTGCTGTCTTTGTTGTTGTTTATTCATCCAGTTGCTTCCAACTCCTCGTGACCTCCAGGACTAACCCAGGCCAGAGCGCCCATTGCCACTCCCAGCTCTTTCAAGGTCAAACCAGTCACTTCAAGGATGGCATCCATCCATCTTGCCCTTCCATTTTCTCCGGCATCATTCTCTTCTCCAAGCTTTCCTGTCTTCTCATTACGTGGCCAAAGGACTTCATCTTTGCCTCTAATGCCCTTCCCTCCAATGAGCAGTCGGGCTTTATTTCCTGAAGTATGGACTGGTTGGATCTTCTCACGGTCCAAGGCACTCTCAGAACTTTCCTCCAACACCACAGTTCAAAAGCATCTCTTTTCCTTCGCTCAGCCTTCCTTATGGTCCAGCTCTCACATCTGTAGGTTACTACGGGGAATACCATTGCTTTAACTATGCGGATCTAAAGTGTGATATCTTTATTCTTCACTATTAGATCGAGATAGGTCCTTGCTCTCCTCCCAAGAAAGAAACGTCTTCTGATTTCCTGGCTGCTGTCTACATCTGCACTCATCTTTCCACCTAGAAATACAAAGTTTGTCACTGCCTCTACGTTTGCTCCCTCTATTTGCCAGTTCTCAATCAGTCTGGTTGCCATCATCTTGTTTTTTCATGTTTAGCTGTAACCCAGCTTTTGCCCTTTCTTCTTCCACCTTGGTTAGAAGGCTCCTCAGCTCCTCCTCGCTTTCATCAATCAAAGTGGTATCATCTGCATATCTAAGGTTGTTCACATTTTGTCCAGCAATTTTGTCCAGCTGTGCATTTGTCAAACCCCACATGTCGTTGGTGTAGGGGTGTTTGTTTTTTTCCAGTGACAATAAATGTGCACAGGTGTGTGTGGCCTATGAGGCAAGTGAGCAACCCTGACTAAGGTGTGTTTGTATGTGTGCAGTGGCAGAAGAGGTCCAAACTTCTTTAAAATATATATTTCAAAGTTCCTGATTGATGGAAATGAAGAAAACTACCTTTATAGAAGGGATACAGCCTGCAGAGGATCTTGAATGGTGGTGAAATCAGCCTTCCGAGCTTGGCCCTCCCAATTGAGTCTCCTTTCCCACCTTCCTTTGTTTTGTTCCTCTGAGATCTGTGTTCCTTCTTTCTCTTGTGATATTTCCTCTGTCATCCTGCCCCCCCCCCCCTTTTCTCCCTTCCAGGTCCAGCAGCTGTTGGGAGATCTCAACTCAGAATGGCTGGCCTTCCAGCAGTGCATCCTGGACAGCGAAGCCATGCTCAAGAAGCACAAGGAGAAGTTCAAGACAGGACTCATCCATTGCGCAGATGACTTTAAAAAGAAAGCCCAGAATCTCCTTCAAGAATTCACCTTCAATGGTGAGTGGCCACACAGAACACAGGCTCTCTTTCTTTTCCCCTTTGATGGGTGGCTTTCTGCACCTTGGAGGACAGAAGGCTGTCCCTTCTTTCTTGGATCACCTTGATTGCTCCTGTCTGAAACATCTGCCTTTGTTTGTGTTGGGGAATCTGATCAGGCTCAAAAATAACCCTCAGTTGGGGTGATTCCACCATAAATATAGCAGAGTACCTGAGGTAAACTTCATAACCAGCAGAAATTCACATGTGATGAGCTGAGATAAGCTTCTATTCTTAGGATGGCACATGCTTGCAGAGTCAGAACTTTAGTTTCAAAAATATTTATTGAAATAAAGGAAATACGTTTTTGTTAGAAAAGGTCTTGGAGTAATTAGCTTCCTAAATCTCATCTTCTAAAGAGGTAAAAGGGTAAAAAAAGTCCATGCAGCTACATTTTGCCTAGAGAGAGGCAAAATGTGCCTCCTCATAGGTAGAGAGTAAAGCAGAAGAGACTGGAAAATGGTGAATGGCCATGTGGCCAGCCCAGGACAATAAAAATATCTTTAGAAGGAAGTTCCTTCACAGAATTCCATTCCTACATCATCAAAGAGGAGGAGACACGGGCAAGGAGGAAGAGTAAAGACAAAGGGATGAACCCCTCAACCTAATCCTTAGGTTTTAAATGTGTCATAATATTATTGTCTAATGTAATTTGCCATTGTTTTAATGTTTATTACCGTTTTATGAGTTATTTTGTTGTATTTGTGATGCTGTTGTTTTTGTTGTGTTGGGCCTTGGCCTCTTGTAAGCCGCACCGAGTCCTTCGGGAGATGTTAGCGGGGTACAAATAAAGGAGTATTATTAATATTATTATTATTATTATTATTATTATTATTATTATCCTATCTCTAGTCTAGCTACTCATTTAGGTCTGGAAACTTGATGATACAAGATACTTGTGCAGTCCAGGGATGAAACCCAATACTTTGCTTGTGCAAAATCTCTTGGGAAAATCTGTAAGGAAGGCTTGGCCCAATGGCAGCCAAATCCCACTACTTTGCCACCAGCGATTTGGCTGGTAAATCAGCCTATGATTCTCTTGCATGAGGACTGCAAAAGAGGCTTATATCTTGATGTACATGTTTACTCAATGGTATGTTCTGAGCTCAATGGGAAATCCTTTTATTTAACTGTGCAACTGGAGCATACCCTTCCAACCCACAATCGCTAGGAAATAAAAGAAGTTGCTGTCACATCCAGCCCACTCTCCACCTGATTCTCCGCAGTCGCTTGTCATTTGCTCTGGCAGTAGCCATTTTGAGAACAAATGACAAAGATAGCAATAGTGCCAAAGGGCCAAACAGATATGCCCATGTCTCTTTAAGAGAAATGGAGACTGGGAGGCAGTGCCATAGCTTCATTTTTTTCCAAAAGGAAAGAGTGCAAAGCAGTATAGTAGCTATGTTTTCTTATATGGTCCATGATCTTGGTGGAATTTATTGGGTGCAAACACACCCAGGATCACATGTAACAATGTGTGTGTTCATGTGTCTCATGCTCTGCCCTCATGTTGTCTCTCTGCCCAGTTTATGGGAGGTTTCATTTTCAGAAGATATTCCCTCTGGTCCTCATTGAGTCTCGGGAATAAACACAACCACTTTGTGTCCGAAATGTTAAATATTAACTAGGTATTTTTAATTACAGAAATGTGAGTTGAACACTGAAAGGGTTAAATGTATGCAATAACTCAGCAAAAGCTGCAGTTCAATATAAGCAGGTGTGCCTGTAGCTTAGTTGCCTCAAACTGTGAGAGGTCTCTGTGGGAGATGGGCCTCAGTGTGTTAGTAGGCCTCAGGATGAGAAGGCCTCAGTGTTAGTTCGCCTCAGTCTGAGACAGTCCTCAGTGTGAGAAAGCCTCAGTGTGAGGTAGGCCTCCGTGTGAGAAGGCTTCAGTGTGAGGTAGCCCTCAGTGTGAGGTAGGCCTCAGTGTAAGTAGGCCTAGTGTGTGAGAAGTTTCGATGAGAGAAGCCCTAGGTTGAAGGCCATTGTGTGTAAAGGCTGCAGTGTGTAAAAAGCTACTGTGTGAAGCTCCTGTGTAACTTCGATGTGAGAAGAGGCTCTGTGAGAGCAAAGTTGTTTATCTGCATGAAGAAGAAACCCAGCATGGAAGCAAAGAAGGAAGTATAAAGGACTTTATTTCTGTTGTGGAAATCTTGTTCTTGTAAATAGTGCAACCATATTACTTTACTACAAAGAAAAACCTATGGAAGAGATAACATAGTTCTGTGTGTTTTTGTTCTTTCTATCGCTTTGGGCTACTGGTGCTGGGTCACGCTGCTGCTAATAAGCTACTCTGCTGTACATTTATGAGGAGAGTCTTTCGTTAATAAGCCCACTCTCCCAACACTTCTCACCCAAGATGATCCCAAACCCAGAGGATGAAGGACGCAGATTTATTGGACTCTTTTTGTGCTATGTTTCTCCATTAGGTCCTTTCTCCAGTGCTATTTCTGCTGATGATGCCTTAGAGCAAATTGCAGCCATGAGGCAATTGCTGGCCAAGATGAAGGAGGAAGAGAACACCCTTCGTTCTAACCTAGGCATCTTCAAGATTGACCAGCCAGCCTCCAAAGATCTTCAAAAGTTGGAGAGGGTAGGATGGCGTAGGATGGCTTCCCTCCTCATTCTTTCTAAAGAGGGAGAAAATTTGCCATGAGCCCCGTGATTTGCACCTGCTGATTCAACCACAACAGAGAATGAGAGAGAAAGAAATTGTAACTCATGGTGCAAAACTGGAGGGGGTCTCACAGGGCACTGATTTCTTCTGTGTGTTCTGCAGGAGCTGGACTACATCCAGCAAGTTTGGGAGATTACAAAGGAGTGGGAGGACCACTGGAACGAGTGGAAGATCGTCAGCTTCAAGACCCTGCAGACAGAAGTGATGGAGAACGTGGCCTTTGGACTCTTCCGGAAGCTGAATAAGCTGAGCAAGGAGCTGAAGGTAAGCGGGAACAGCAGGGTGGGTGCTGGATATTACTCAAGAAATTACCAGGGTTATGCCGATCATTTTCTCATCTGGGAAGAAACTCCAATAGGGAACAGGAAAAGCATTTTGCAGCTGTGGCTTTTCTTCCTTTGCACTCTGTGTAAGTGAAACCATCCTCCAGGCATCTTTTGGCCTGTTGTGTTTACATTACATAGACCTTGGGAGAAAATGTAGATGCAACAAAACAAGTAGGTTCTTGTGGGTTTTTTCGGGCTATAGAGCCATGTTCTAGAGGCATTTCTCCTGACGTTTCGCCTGCATCTATGGCAGCATCCTCAGAGGTAGTGAGGACCTCACTACCTCTGAGGATGCTTGCCATAGATGCAGGCGAAACGTCAGGAGAAATGCCTCTAGAACATGGCTCTATAGCCCGAAATAACCCACAAGAACCTAGTGATTCCAGCCATGAAAGCCTTCGACAATACATTCAACAAAACAAGTGCTAAAGGGTTTGAGGGCTATGTGTTGTTGAAGGCTTTCATGGTTGTAACCACTGGGTGGCTGTGAGTTTTCCAGGCTGTCTGGTCATGTTCCAGAAGCATTCTTTCCTGATGTTTCGCCCATATCTCTGGCAGGCATCCTCAGAGGTTGTGAGGTGTGTTGGAAACTAGACAAGTGAGATTTATATATGAGGGTTGAATAAAAAGCAATGCCTCCACCTTCGTAACTCCTCAACAGATGGCAGTACTGGTATGCGGCAGGTACTGGCTTGTTCAATAGACTCTCCTCTACAGTTCCATTTTGGCGGGAAGCCTTAGCATTGAACGGTTGTGTTGTTAAAGTGCGAAGTATGGAACCCTGTGCAGACGGTCGGTCAATGCGACTTAACAACGTGCAATCATTGAATTCCTGACAGCAGAAGGTGTCACCTCAACATCTTTACACTTATTCGCCCAATGACGCACAGTACTCACATCACACAATCACCATGATGAATCTCCTTTGGGGTGACACCTTCTGCTGTGAAGAATTCAATGACTGCACGTTGCTTAAGTTGCATTGACTGACCATCTGCACACGGTTCCATACTTTGGATTTTAACAACACAACAATTTAATGCTAGGGCTTCCAGCCCAAATGGAACTGTAGAGGAGAGTCTACTGAACAAGCCAGTATCTGCCGCATACCAGTACTGCCATCTGTTGAGGAGTTACGAAGGTGGAGGCATTACTTTTCATTCAACCCACGTATCTGTGGAATGATATCCAGGGTGGGAGAAAGAATTCTTGGTTTGAGGCTGATAACTGGCAACCTCTGTCCTGCCACAAGCCAGAATGCAGCTGCTTTTGGGTCTTCTGCAGTGTAATCATCTTTCGACTATCTTCTTTCTTGACGCAAGGATCGCAACTGGGAAATAATTGATCATTCCAAGGCGAAGCTCGAGCAATTTAAGAGGACAATGCCTTTGATCACTGACCTCAGGAACCCAGCCTTAAGGGAGAGGTAAGAGACTTGGCTCCTGTTGGTGCTCTGCCTTTTGGTGCTTGGAGGGATCTCAGCAAAGTGGTCAAGGTCTCAGGGAAAAGTCTGAATACGTGTCCTTCATTGTGGCAGAGATTCTTTAATTCTGCAGTGAGAGAGGCATGGGTCTTACATCCCAAACACTGAGTGGTTCTAGCAGCTTTTGGACACCTTTCTATATACACTGTGTCTCTGCAAAAGTATTTGCCTGCAGCAGGGTTACCGGGGACAGGACAGCAGTGACATCTCTCCTTATTATAAAGGGAAGGTACTGGGGGAGATGAAGAAGTATCAAAGGTAGGGAATGACTGTCAGACTGAGGGAAGTGTTGTCCTCACCCACCCATGGAGAAAGTGCATTCCAAAGTGAGGAAAATGAATGGATCTTCTGAAGCACTCTGTTCTGTATCCTGGGAAGATATATGTCAGTTGGACCAACCAATTCTGTCTTATTTTGTAGACACTGGGATCAGGTGAAGGACCTGGTCCTCCGGACATTTGATCAGGATGCTGAGGATTTCCGGCTGGAAAATATCATTGAGCTCGGTCTGGATAAACATGCGGCAAAGATTAATGAGATCTCTGCCTCAGCCACTAAGGAGCTGGCAATCGAGCAGGTGAGGTTTCCCATTTCCCGCCATTGAGGGCCTTCTCGGTAGTGGCTCCCAAGCTCAGGAATTCCCTCCTTAGAGATATTAGATTAGCCCCAAATCTCCAAACCTTCTCTTCGAGCCTATAAACATGGCTATTTACATGGGCTTTTGACCTGGAGTAATGTACTGTGGTCATGTAATGATGTCGACCCTTGTTATTTGGCACTTTAGTTCATGTTTGAAGAAACCCAATGACCCACAGGTGTGACTGGGTTTTAGAATTTTTTAAAATTCTAATTTTATCAATTGACATTGTTTATTGTAGTATTCAGTCAAATTGTGTATTGTTTTGATGATACGTGATTCTATTTTATGTGTGGCACCTTGAGTACTTTGTTAGCTGCCCAGAGTTCCTTTGGGGAGATGATGGAGGGGTAGAAATAAAGATGATGATTATTAGTATTTGAAACACAACAAGATGAGTCCACAGCAGACAGGATCATTCTGCTGGCTGTTGTAATGGATCACACGTCGGACATTTCTCAAGCAATAAACAATGATGACAGTGAGTCACCCTGGAAAAGTCCTCTCTTGATGTTAACAGTTCCATAGCTTTTGTTGCCCACAAACAACTCAGTTTTCCATTGTTTTATTGCATTTTCGATGAACTTTCTAATATTTTCACAAACCCAGATGACATCTAGACATTTGATGATCCAACAATGTGGCAGTGAGTCAAATGGTTTTTTGTAATTAATGCAAGTTGTATAGAGGTTGGTTTTGTGGCTTTTGCAATTCTCCAGTATCATTTTGTCAATTAGAAGCTGATCTTTCATGCCCCTACTTCTTCGTTTATTGCCTTTTTGTTCTACTGGCAAGATGTTATTTTCCTTCAAGTAATCCTGGATTTGGTCAGCTATTATTGCCTGTCAGCAGTTTGAACATTGTAGGCAGACATGTTATTGGCCTGTAGTTTCCTGGTATTATCCCTTTTGATGGATCTTTCTGTATCAAATATGTATTCCCAGTTGTTATCCATTTGCTGATGTTTCCAGTTTGCAGCATCTCATTGATTTGTTCGGCCATTTTTGAGTGCAGGATAATCAGATTGTTTGCTGTGGACTCATCTTGTTATGTTTTAAATAATATTGAGCCAGTTAATTGAAGACGAGCAGGAGGGCTGTGGTTGCATGGCCTTTGCAGAACTCACAGACCTACGTCATCCTCCCCGTGCCCCTCACTTCACCAGCAGGGCCTTCTTTAACACTACAATGTTCTCTGTGCCAAGTCCACCATGTCATATGGGCACTTTGTATCTTGTCTGTCCACCTGACATTTCCATCCTCTTTGCAGGCGCTCAAAAACATTGCAAAGACCTGGGAAACAACCTCTTTGGACATTGCGCCTTACAAGGACAAGGGGCACCACCGAATCCGGTAAGTCTGTGAGGTGCAGCCCAACACAGGGATGAGAGAGAGGTGATTGCATGCCCTAGCATGCTAGTGGTGGTCACTACCAGATTGAGCATCTCTAAATGCATTCTATATGAAGCTGCCTTTGGAAACCTCAACTACTCCTAATGTGCCAGTGGGTGAATCGTGGTGAGCGTTTACCATGAGAGCAAACATTATCAGTGTGACAACAGCTCATTGGCCTTCCTTTTGGTGTCTGGGCAACATTGAAAGTGCTTGTTATTAATTTCTTTAAAGCTCCAATTTGTTTCGGATTAGGCAGGATAGGTAAGGCTCCCTCTCTCCCCCTCGGAGCCTGCTTGACTGATCTGGATGATCTGAAGGAGAAATCTCTGTTCTTTACGTTTTGACTGTGGCGGAAGCACAGCTGGTCGGGACGAGGGATGTGAATCTTGGCAGATTCCATTCTCTGTCACAGGAATGAGTAATCTGAAAAGTCTTCTCTCCGCTGGGTGAGAGCGTAAGAGGTTTTCTTTCCTCTTTGTCGGTTTCAAGACTTTTCGTGAAAAATTTGTTTGCACCCAAGAAAAAGGCATTTTGTGCCGTAAACAAATCTCACTTGCAGCAGTCGGCAGTTTTCTTGATGGAGTATCTCAATATATCAAGAGTCATAGAGGATCAGAAAATGCGTGAATGCTCTTCATGTTGGGATGCGGAAAGGTCTGCTGCCGTTTGGAGCAGAAAACAGAAAACAGAAAGCAAAAAAGCAGAAAGGCCCAAACGCCTTCTAAAGATATTTATGTTTCAAGGAAAGGGGAAAAACTCTGTTTTAAGAATGAATGTCGTCCCATCTCCACTTCACTCCAGAAGAATGCCTGCGGCAAATCTTGTTTTTTTCCCCAGAATCCACAGGCCTCAAGGAGAGGCCTGAGAGAGAACCTGGAGAAAGGGGATATTTCCAACAGAACCTGTGATTGTTTGGGGTGTAGTAGGGTCCATCTTCTGTGATGGGTGACTTCTCCCACCAGCTTCAGAGGCAGAGCCATGCATCTGGCTTTGTGTTTGTGTTTCCATCCAGCCTCCACCAGCTCTTGAAAGTCCAGTCCTGCAAACAGCAGAGATTCTCCATCGTGGTCCCTGTGAAATCACACATATGGTATTTCCTGCGCCTGCACAGTTCAGAATCCGTATTGTCAAAGGCTTTCATTGCCGGAATCACTGGGTTGTTGTAGGTTTGTTCGGGCTATATGGCCAATGCTTGCCATAGATGCAGGCGAAACGTCAGGAGAGAAGGCCTCTAGAACATGGTCATATAGCCCGAAAAACCTACAACAATCCAGTTTGGAATCTTCTTGAAAACTTATTAGACACTTTTACGTGGTAGTCCCACTCACTCTCCCATAGAATGTATAGCCAGTGGGAGGGACTACAGCCTCAGTTCCTTTTGTCCACTGCTCTTGGAGCAGCTAAGGAATCTTCATCCCTTTGACTAGCCTCTTGATATTTGATCTGGACTGCTCTCTCTCCTGTTTTGACTTAGACTGTGTTTTGGACTACCTAACTTCTCCTTCTTGACCTGGACTATCTTTGGAACAAGCACCTCCCACTGCCTATATACTCTATGGGGAGAGTGGGCGGGGCTACCACCTTAACATGTCTAATACGTTTCTAGAAGATTGTGAACAGTCACACAGGGGCAGGAAATACCCTGTGTGAATTTCACAGGTGACCACTTGGAGAAACACTATTACAGGTAAGCAACCATTAGTAGCCGAGATGGCAATGAACAAGGGAGAAGAAGTCCAAAACGTCTGGAAGAAGGGCCAAAGTTTGCCCATGCCTGGGCTAGTTCCACTCTCATCCTCAAAGAAAGGCAAAGGCAAACTCTCTCTGAACAAACCTTGCCAAGATTCACCTTAAGGTCTCCACGTTCAGAAATGACTTGAAGGCACATAACAAGAGTCTTCTTCGTTATCTCTCAAGGTGGCATGCAGACTAGATGACTAATCAGTGCTTCCTCTTAGTCTTCTTTGCTCCCCAGCCTGTGTTTTGTAGCATCTTGACTGGAAAAGAGCATCTCAGAATCTCAAAAGGCCAGTTTGGTGCACTGTTTATTAGTTTGTGGAGCCCCGGTGGCGCAGTGGGTTAAACCGCTGAGCTGCTGAACTTGCTGACTGAAAGGTTGGTGGTTCAAATCAGGGAGCGAGGTGAGCTCCTGCTGTTAGCCCCAGCTTTTGCCAACCTAGCAGTTCGAAAACATGCAAATGTGAGTAGATCGATAGGTACCGCCTTGGTGAAAGGTAACGGTGCTCCATGCAGTCATGCTGGCCACATGACCTAGGAGGTACTTATGGACAACGCTGGCTCTTCGACTTAGAAATGGAGATGAGCACCACCCTCCAGAGTCGGACACAACTAGACTTAATGTCAAGGGGAAACCTTTACCTTTACCTTATTAGCTTGATAAAGGCTTTATTTTTGTGTGTTTTCAAGTAGTTTTGGATTATGAATTCTCTATTTCTGCATAAGATGGATCATGACCTCTTTGTTTCTGCAGAGGCACAGAAGACGTTTTCCAGGCGCTGGAAGATAACCAGGTGGCCCTGTCCACGATGAAGGCCTCACGCTTTGTGAAGCCCTTTGAGAAGGACGTGGACCGTTGGGAGCGCTGCCTCTCGCTCATCCTGGAAGTGATTGAGATGCTACTCGTTGTGCAGCGGCAATGGATGTACATGGAGGTGAGAAGACAGTGGCAGACTCACATCACGCATTCTCCTTCCTTGCCTTGTACAACTGTCTCTGCCAATATCTCTTTAGTAAGGACAGAAGGCCATCTTGGTTGCAGGAAGTTTTGTGGTTTTGCGCATGCGTTGTAATGTATTATTATTTTTTGACTTTTTAAGTGTCTTCTGCTGTGTTTTTCAGTATTTTTATGTGTTATGGTCAATCGTTAGCCTGATAGGTGTCTTGTGTCCAAATTTGGTGTCAATTTGTCCAGTAATTTTTGAGTTATGTTAATCCCACAGACAAACATTACATTTTTATTTATATAGTTTTATTAGAAGGAGCAGATCTGCTTTGTCAATAGCAGCAAGTCTCTTAAAAATATTACTTTATGCATTGTCGAAGGCTTCCACAGCCAGAATCACTGGAGTACATAAAGTAATGGAGTGCTGTGTGGTTTCCGGGCTGTATGGCCATGTTCTAGCAGCATTTTCTCCTGATGTTTCACCTGCATCTGTGGCTGGCATCTTCAGAGGACACAGATGAAACGTCAGGAGAAAATGCTGCTAGAGCATAGCCATACAGCCTGGAAACCACACAACACTCCATGACCTTATGTACTCATGCATAAGTTCAGACCTTTAGTAAACAATAGTACCACCTCCCAAATGGGTTGGTGTAAGTATTGTCCCCAAACTCTTATTAAAAAAGGAACTGCTCTCTTTTCTGAGTAGAATGGCAAAAACTGAGAACATTGCCTGTCCCAGAGGAACATAAAAGAAGCACTGTATTCTGTCTGCTCTGCCATCACCTCATACCTTTTTGAGTGCCTAGACAGGGAATTGGCAGCAGTGACCAGGACTGACTGACCCTCTATGGCAGTATAAGCACTTTCCCCTCTCTGCAGAATGACTATCGAAATCCACAAGCAGGTGGACAATTTCAGCAGAAAGGAAGAAACCATGAAAATGAACAAAATCTGGCTACTAGTATTAAAAAATCTCTAAAATTATAGTAGTAAATAAAGAACAAAACTCAAACACAGGAGAACTCCAGACAAGAAACAATCAGGAACAGCTAATTACCTCTCAACAAAGGATTCCCCCCAGGCCACACCTAAAAAGTGTCAGGCCATTGAATGCTAATCAATTAAAACAGTCACACCTAGCTCCAACAGACAAGAGTTCTTTCTCCCATCCTGGACTTTCCACAAAGATATAAACCCCATTTTCCTAGTTTCCAACAGACCTCCCAACCTCTGAGGATGCCTGCTACTGATGCAGGCAAAATGTCAGGAGAGAATGCTTCTAGATCATAGCCATACAGCCTGAAAAACCTACAACAACCCTCAACTGGATTCCTTCGGGGAGATAGGTCAAAATACAAATCAAGTTTATTATTTATTTATTTTATCCACAGGTTATATCAAAATCCACAATTTTGCCCTCCAATTATACAAAAAGTCAACTTCTATATGAGTGTATATGACAAGTAGGCTGTTGTGAGTTTTTCCGGGCTGTATGGCCATGCTCCAGAAGCATTCTCTCCTGACATTTCACCCACATCTATGGCTGCCATCCTCAGAGGTTGTGAGGACCTCTGAGGATGCCTGCCATAGATGTAGGTGATACATCAGGAGAGAATGCTTCTGGAGCATGGCCATACAGCCCGGAAAAACTCATGGCAGCCCAGTAATTCTGGCCATGAAAGCCTTCGACAATATATGACAAGTGTTAGCAAGTCATAAGAGAAGATCATTAGTGAATGTCACAGCGATCGCTAGTCGGAATCAACCCCTTCCTTCATGTTGCTCTGATAATCTCCTTCAAAGAGCAATTTTATTAGTCTCCCTTTGCAACCAAGAAAAAGAAAAATTATCCTCAACTTTCAGAAAATGTTGGAGGCCTGACACATAGAATCCGTGGAATAGGAAACTGTGCCATCCAACTCCTTCTCATCCCATTCTGAAGTAACTATATGTCAATCCCCGTTGTTACCCTCAGGCCAAAGAGGCCAATGACCTTCCACTTTGATTTCATGTGATCTCCATCTCACCTCCTTCCTTCTGAATCCTGCCACCAGAATATCTTTTTGGGTGAAGACATCCGCAAGCAGTTGCCTAGTGAGTCGTCTAGCTTTGACCAAATCAACAGCAGCTGGAAGACCATCATGGACCGCTTCGTCAAGGACAACAATGCTCTGCGAGCCACCCATTTCCCAGGTTGCTGCTGCTCTTTCCCATCCTAGTGGAGGGCATGTGCCGGGGGGCAAGGGGAGAGTCCATAACACATGGCGGAGTGGGGAACATACGTTTTCATGTTATTGTGTTCTTTGGGAAGAAACAGGTATGGAAACAATAGAGAGTCACTTGGACAGTCCTAATCCTTACTTACTTAATTAGATGATCCTTCGTTGTCCAAGTAGGATTGTCTTCCAAGATTGGTGTACTGGCTGTGGGTCCGTAGGTGACTGTGGAGCCCTATTCCTGAACTGCATGTTCTCCTGGAATGAGGGCATAGGTTTCCAGGTGAAAGGGAGATCCTGGTCAGGGTTGGCTTGACACGGCTTCCTCTTGGCACGTTTCTCTCTTTCGCCCTCCATTCGTGCCTCTTCAAATTCTACAGCACTGCTGGTCACAGCTGACCTCCAGCTGGAGCACTCAAGGGCTAGGGCTTCCCAGTTCTCAGTGTCTATGCCAGAGTTTTTAAGATTGGCTATGAGCCCATCTTTAAATCTCTTTTCCTGCCCACCAACATTCCGTTTTCCATTCTTGAGTTTGGAATAGAGCAACTGCTTTGGGAGATGATGGTCGGGCATCCGGACAACATGGCTGGTCCAGCGGAGTTGATGGCAGAGGACCATGGCTTCAATGCTGGTGGTCTATGCTTTTTCCAGCACACTGACGTTTGTCAGTGAACAATCCTATAGTCATTGTTGGCTCTCAGAAAAGGTGCAAAAGAATGGAGAGGGGGGCTGGCTGGTTGCTTGGGTGGGGACCATTAAACCAGTCAGTCATCATTATGAAAGTTCTGAAAGCAGCCATCATGTTTCAGCTCCTATGTGCTCATTATCAGGAGATTTTTAGTTTTCCCATCATGGTCCCTGTGAATCCAGACATATGGTACTTTCTGCGCCTGAGCAGAACAGCTTCGGAATCTTCTAGACAAATTATTAAACATTTTGGTGGTAGCTCCACCCACTCTCCCCTTGAGAGTATATATAGCCAGTGGGAGGAGCTACTGACTCCAGTTCTCTTCATCCGCCGCTTCAGCAGCAGCTTGAGAATCTTCATCTGTATGACTAGCTTTGGACTCCTTATTAGATTTGACTTTGGACTGTTTTACCTTATTGCTTGTGGATTCCTGTGGTTTTGGCTTGTTGGACTTGACCTGGACTGATACAGCTACCAAGGCTGCCACCCAAAATAGCAAAGCTTTCAAAATGATGGACTGCTGAACCCTTTCTTCATTGTGTTAGATCTTATTGGAGGGCTCCAGAGGATCACAGGGCTGTCTAGGGAATGTATGCTGGCACTGGAGCATCCTTTATGTTGTTGCCATTACTCAGGCTCCTTCTAAACTGTGTGGGTTACTCCACCACACCAATCCAGAATGGACTATGTTAAGTATGTAATGATCCATTTTACATGTAGAAAGCTCCAGGTTCAGTCCGACATCTCCAGCTGAAAGAATGTTATGTAGTTTGGGATGGCCCATCTCTCTGCTCAAGACCCAAAGAGTTTTGTAGTTCAGCCTTTGATTGTGCCTACACCTGATCTCTCTGGGGATTCTGGGCCTGTTAGTCATTCTGATGACACTGGGGATTCTGGGTCTGCCAGTCATCAGGAGAGTCAGAAAGAGATTTTAAGCCCTGAAAATGAGTGGTCTGAGTCTGAAGGCCACATTCCTGAAGGGCAGTTTGCTAGGGAAGGAAGGTCAGGAACAGATCTGAGCTCAGAAGATGAAAATGAAAGACCAGGTGGACAGACTAATGAGCAGTTAAATAGGAGATTTACATTCCATCAACATAGAGCTTCTCAAAAGAGTTCATAGAATCATAGAGTTGGAAGAGACCTGATGGGCCATCCAGCCCAACCCCCTGCCAAGAAGCAGGAAAATCGCATTCAAAGTACCCCAGACACATGGCCATCCAGCCTCTGTTTAAAAGCCTCCAGAGAAGGAGCTTCCACCACACTCCTGGGAAGAGAGTTCCACAGTTGAACAGCTCTCACTGTCAGAAAGTTCTTCCTAAAGTTCAGGGGGAATCTCCTTTCTTGTAGTTTGAAGCCATTGTTCCGCGTTCTAGTCTCCAGGACAGCAGAAAAGAAGCTTGCTCCCTTGTTTTCTGCTGCCCTGGACTAATGAGAAGTTAGATAGGAGATTTACGTTCTGTCAACATAGAACTTCTCAGAAGAGTTTATGAAGGTCAAGATGCCTATTAGCCAAGGAGTCCTTATCAGTTTCCCAAGGGAGAAGGCTAGTCCAATAGATGGGTCTGTCAGTCCAGGCAATGTTGGTGTTTGAGTACAGACCTATTGCTAAGTCAAGGGATATCTAGTTCCATGGTTCATGTTTCCTTTTGTTCATGTCTCATGATTCCAAGTTTTGAGGACTGTTCCTGAATCTCATGTTTTGGATTTCTTCTGCTTTTGTATTCCTGAATTTTGATGCCTCTCCTGTACTTTGATTTCTGTGGATTATTCCTGATATTTGGACTTTGGTTTTTTATACTGTTTTGCTGAATTTCTTTTCATATATATTCGTCAATAAATTGCTTTGCTATTTTATCTTGGACTGGAATGTGCGTTAAGTATAGAAGTGGTTCCCAGCCTTGGAGTGCAATAGAGAGATATCTGAGCAAAAAGTACTGACCTCAAGGCATGAGGCAGCTTTCATAGGGAGGGAAGTTGGTTGATTTCTGGAGAGCTATTGAGGAATTAATTGTGGTCCAAATGAGGGATAGCTAGGGGAAGGGAGTGGAGCAGGAGGGGAAGAGATGGGCAGTGCCTGCAGGGGCTTTTCATGATCTGCAGGCAGCTGGATGAGATGAGGAGCATCAACAAGGCCTCTTTGGACTCATTCTGAGACCTTTCCCCTCGGCAGGACTACTGGACAAACTGGTGGAAATGAACGCTTCCCTGGAAGACATCCAGAAGTCTCTTGACATGTACCTGGAGACCAAGCGCCACATCTTCCCTCGCTTCTACTTCCTGTCCAATGATGACCTTCTGGAAATCCTGGGACAGTCGCGCAATCCAGAAGCTGTCCAGCCCCACCTCAAGAAGTGCTTCGACAACATCAAGTGTCTCAAGATGCAGAAAGTATGGGCCAGGGCCTTCGGGGTTCCCATTGGGCGCCCCTTCCCTCCCCAGGGTGCTAAATTGCCCCCTTTTCTTCTGCTAAATATTGCAGCTAATTGACTGCTAGTCCTCTCCTCATGTTGGGCCCCTTTTTTAAACAGGAATGCCAGCCCTCTCTTCCTTATTGGGAATTCACACTAAAATCTCTCTATCACCTGCTCTTCTTCTCTTTTTCTTCCTCAGATTGGGAACACAAACAAATTTGAAGCTTTGGGCATGTTCTCTTTGGATGGTGAATATATCGATTTCACTCACTCGGTGCTCCTGGAAGGACCTGTGGAGGTGAGCCTCTCCTGCTCTCTCTTCCTGCCTGCCAAACTTAGCATGAGAGAAGTTTGATTCTCTTTTATGGAAATGCAAAACTACAGCGTCAACTCAAAATCCATAGTGCACAATACTCAAAATTCTGTATTGGGCGAACCAAGACAATGCTTTTGAGATCTTCAGCTTTCTGGGCTGGTGAGAGGAGGAATCTCACAATTTATCACAATGAGGAATCTATACAAGTGAGGTTTGCAATAGTTTCAGCAGGATGACAGAACATGGTTCTGGAATTCTGCTTTGAATTCCAATGATTTGGGGTTTTAGGAGAATGGAACCATGAGCTCTCCTTCAATCAGTGCCATCAATGCAGTGTCGCTGTTCAAAAGGGAGTGGGGTGTGTTCTTTTTTGCCTGGGATTTGGGAAATGTCTTGGGAAGGTATCTTCCAGAAGTGGATGTCACTAATTCCATTGAGGACTCAAGCTCATAGGAGGTGGGCTCAGAGAAAGTATCTGGTGCCAGGCACAAAGCACAAATCCATTTAAGCCATTTCTTAGAGAGCATAGCTCAATTTCTGTCCATGGGGCTGAGAGCAGCAGAAGAAGAAGGAGACAGGGCCTACATCAAAAGCTTACAGGCTGGACGAGAAATCCCTCTTGCCTTTTGCAGGATGTGGAGTTGTTGAAACTTGAATGGGAGCAATCCATGCACTCTCATTCACTCTGACCTCAAATTTGTGACGAAATGAAAAAAATCATGCGTAGTTCACGCTGTCTTGCCAGAGAAAGAAAATATGCCACAGAGATGAACAGAAAAGAACAAGTAATTTACTCTTCGTAATTCAGAACAACATATGTACAATCATGTGATCAGTTACATCGACTTGCATAATGTCACATATGAGAGATTTAAAATAGTATTGTTGAAAGCTTTCATGACCGGAATCCCTGGGTTGTTGTAGGTTTTTCAGGCTATATGGCCATGTTCTAGAGGCATTCTCTCCTGATGTTTCGCCTGTATCCTCAGAGGACCTCACAGACCTCACAACCTCTGAGGATGCTTGCCATAGATGCAACTACCTAGATTTAAAATAGTCTTTCTTTGTCCATGTGGAGAACCATCCTCCAGCAGCTCATGATGCAAGAGCACACTCCAAAACTGTGCAGGTACAGCTGTACCAGAAGCTCCCACTTTATTTGCTTTGCATTAAATGTAATTTGCAGCCCAAGGCTTGGGATTCTGCAGGAGGGTGGCATCCTGTTAAGGTTTGCAGTTATAGGGCAGGCCACCTGTCCATCATCATTAGGTTCCCTAGTCCCGCCCCCTTTTTTGGCCTTTGGAGGGAAGTGAGCCATTTTTGGCAAAGGTTACACATCCTATTTTAAAGCCAACCAAATACAGGCCCAGCGGCGACAGAACAAAACACTTGACTCTCTCTGCTTCGCTCTGTTTCTCTGCAAGCTCCCGCACAGCTGAAGGCTGCAAAATGTAACAGTATCCAAAAGTCCCAGGCTCAGCTTGCTCCCTGGGCATAGCCCAACCAATCAGTTTCACGTATCTTATTTTATAGTTGACACACACTAACTGATTTCCTTCATGCTCCAGAATTGTATTCCTGAATGTTCATTTCTGTGGCGCTTGCTCTTGCAGGATTGGCTGTGTGATGTGGAGCGGGCCATGCGCTGGACCTTGAGGGAGGTGCTGCGGAACTGTCGCCTCGCTTTGAAGAAGATGCTGACCAAGAGGGACAAATGGGTGAAGGAGTGGCCAGGACAGGTGACTTGGGGGAGGGGCAGAATTGGGACTGGAGGGGCTTGGCAGGGACACTCTGACCAGGTGAGGTGCCCCGTCATGGCTCTGTACAGCCTGCTACTCTTTTGTCATTCATGTCTGTGCCTCTGTTTGTATGGATTTTAACATGATCGTGAGGTCAGGAGTATTGTGTTCCAAAACTCTGTGTGTCTGAATCCGGAAGTCCCAGAGTAATTTGAAGTGTTCATTTTATATAACTTTTTCCGGCTTGTGATCCCACCAGTTCTTTGTTACAGGCAGATGGTATTTGTGGCACAAGTTCCAATTAATCATCTGAGCAACGGTGTTATGCCTCTGCTTGTAGTCTGTCTGCGCGATCTTCTTGCAGCAGCTGAGGGTGTGATCTATTGTTTCATCTGCTTCCTTGCAGAGTCTACATTTGGGATCTGTTGCCGCCTTTTCAATTCTTATTATTATTTTGTTATTTTATATTATTACTATTTTCTATTATTATTATTTTAGATGGTGATCACTGCTAGCCAGATACAGTGGACGACTGACGTTAGCAAGTGCCTGGCCACCTGCAAGGACCGTGGGGACAGGAAATACCTCAAAGGCATGAAGAAGAAACAGGTGGGAAAAGGCAGCACTCAGGGAGCCACGTCAGCCAACTTGGGAGCATGGCAAATCTGTCATGTCCCTGGGCGTCTTTGGCTCCCTGTTGTGATTGCAGGTCTGCTTGGGAAGTTTTTCATGGTGTCTGGTAATGAACACATGCTCACACATGCTCACACCTGCCGCTGGCTTCTGCTTCTCTCCTTCTCAGACGTACCTCTGTTATTTGCAAGTGGCGTTGAGGGTGGGAGAGCTGCTCCAGTTTGCTTTGGGGATGTGCTGTGGGGGGCCTGAAGCAATGGGAGCTGGAGAGGGAAGCACACCCCACTCTTTGCTCTCTGCCTCTCCAGTGTTTGGGCTCCCTTGGTGGTGCATTCAGGGTGGGAATGTGCTCCCCTCCTAGGACATTTAGAGAACCCACGTCTTCTCCAAACAAAGGTGGTAGATGCTCTCAACCACTCTGCCCAAATGTTTCACAAATTGTGTCCGAGAACAGGTGGCATGGGGTCTCTTTAACAGGCATGGGCAAACTTTGGCCCTCCCTCTAGGTGTTTGGGACTTCAACTCCCACAATTCCTAACAGCCAGTAGGTTGTTAGGAATTGTGGGAGTTGAAGTCCCAAACACCTGGAGGGAGGGCCAAAGTTTGCCCAGGCTAATGTCTAATACCTCTAGGTTGCCTCATAATAACAGCCTAAGAGGCCCACAAGCATCCACTCCATCCATGAATGGAGCTTGCACACCATGACACTATTGCACATCATGAGACTATTGCTCCCCTCAACACTTTTTGCCACTGGAGTATACGCCTTCCAAATGGGAAGTTTAGTTTCACAACTCTGTGTGTTTTTATGAGCTCCCTGCAAATAACCTGCTCCTATTTTTTATCTCATTAGAGTCTTTTAATCGTTTTATCCTTTACATGTGGCCCGCCTATTGTTATCATGATTGTGTTTATTAGAATGTTATTTTATTATTGTGTTTATACTTTTTTAATGTAATTTTGATGTTGTTTGATGTTTATGCTTTGGTTTTATTTTGCTGTAATATGTTGTCCGGGCTTGGCCACATGTAAGCCGCTCCGAGTCCCCATTGGGGAGATGGTGGCGGGGTATAAATAAAGATGATGGTTTTTTTTTTATCGTGTCAGGGGCAATCAGACATTTGTATTACATTTCTAACAGAACAAAACAAACAAACAGATTAAAAAAAACACAAAGTTTGCAAGCTTGGTAGTTGATTAGATGTCCTTTGACCAGTATCTGGCCACTTGGAGTGCCTCTGGTGTTGCCGTATGGAGGTCCTCCATTCTGCATGTGGCAGGGCTCAGGTTGCATTGAAGCAGGTGGTCTGTGGTTTGCTCTTCTCCACACTCGCATGTTATGGATTCCACTTTGTGGCCCCATTTCTTGAGGTTGGCTCTGCATCTCATGGTGCCAGAGCGCAGTCTGTTCAGCGTTCCAAGTCATCCAGTCTTCTGTGTGCCCAGGGGGGAGTCTCTCATTTGGTATCAGCCATTGGTTGGGGTTCTGGGTTTTAGCCTGCCACTTTTGGACTCTTGCTTGCTGAGGTGTTCCAGCGAGTGTCTCTGTAGATCTTAGAAAGCTATGTCTTGATTTAAGTCATTGGCGTGCTGGGTGATACCCAAACAAGAGATGAGCTGGAGATGTCACTGCTTTGGTCCTTTAACTATTGGCTGCTACTTCCCAGCGGATGTCAGGTGGTGCAATACCGGCTAAACAGATGATGATGGTGATGATTGCATTGCAGTTGTACACCCAGGCTTTGTTTTGCTGTCATTTGCTTGGCCTCATTTTCACAAGCAGGCCTCTTTTTTGTGGGGGTGCAGGTCTCCATGTTAAACAAATATTCCGAAGCCATCCGAGGCAATCTGACCAAAATCATGCGCCTGAAGATCGTGGCCTTGGTGACGGTGGAGGTCCACGCCCGGGACGTCATCGAGAGGCTCTACAAGAGCGGCTTGATTGACGTGACGTCCTTCGAGTGGTTGAGCCAGCTTCGCCTCTATTGGGAGAAGGTGAGGGGAGCCAAGCGGGTGCCAGTCATGGCGGATGACTAGCAGAGGTGGAGGGAAAGGATGGTGGGAAGGCACCGAGAAAGAGAGAAATGGGCAGAGAGGGAGACTGAGCAGGGAAAGACAAGAGTGTGGCTTTGCACTGGGGGCTGATGAGCTTCTGCTGCTGCTCCCTGCTGGACAGAAGGGGTGATCATCTCCCTTCCCTGCTCTTCCTCCATCCTTGCCTTTCACTTCCCTCTGCTGTTTGTGGTACAGAACCGCAGGAGAAGGCGGTGCTGCTGATGGAGTAGGTGTGACCTTGTGTGTCTGCCTCCTTCATTGTTCCAGGTGGTCCATGGATAAGGACAGGTGGGCAGCAGACAGGCCCAAAGAATGCCAGGAAAGCTCCCATGCTGTGTGCTCTTTGCTTTCTTAGAGTCATAGGGTTGGAAGAGACAAAAATGCCAACCTGTCCAACCCCCTTCTTCCAGAAAGGAAGACACAATCAAAGCCCTCCTGACAAATGCCCATCCAGCCACTGCTTAAAAGCTCCAGAGAAGGAGATGCGATTGAAACTTCAAAGCAGCATATTGCCCTATCAAAAAAGCTCTTACTGTCAGGACATTTTTCCTAATGTTGAAGTTGAATCTCTTTCCCATCAGTTTGAGTCCATTGCTCCATGCCCTAGTCTCCTCAGTATGTCAACATGGCTCTCATGTCCTCTCTCAGCCTTCTTTTCTTCAAGCTAAACCCACCCCACTCCCTAAGCTGCTTCTCATAGGGTTTGGCTTCCAAACTTTTGATTATATTTCTTTTGGAAAAATGGCATTCATAACCTTTTTAAAAAGGAAAGATGATGTCATGTCCTTTTGGCAAATGTGAATCTCCATGAACATCTGGAGACCACCTTTTAAAACCACTAGTCAAGGAAAGGCATGACCTTGCTAGAAGTCAACCCTTTTCAAAAGTGATGTTGACAAGCATCCATGTAATAGCACACAGGTAACTCAGCTGTTAGACTGATGAACCTGTCTTTGAACTGCCAGGGACAAAAACACAAACATACACACACACACTTAGCTAACTGAGTTTTGAAAATGTTTCTTTGAAGTTGAAATTGAAATTGCAGTTGCCTAAAACATACACTTTCCCTTGGAACCTCTTAGTTTAAAATATGCACTCAGAGTCCTTTTGTTTTTTAAGTAACATATTTCGTTTACTCATAAACATCTTGTATTGATTCGGCATTTGACTTGAGAACACAGGACATCATTCTTAATCAATAGTCCAAAGTATTTAAGTATACATCTTATAAAAGTCCAAACAGTATAACTGTACTCACTGCTTTTCAAAGCAAACATATAGTAAACTGAGTCCCCTTCAGGGTGAGAAGGGCGGCATATAAATGTCGTAAATAAATAAATAAATAAACCGTTCCTGCATAAGTCCAAATGCTTCTGTTGATGTCCAAAGTCATACTGCATCCACCTCCACTGAGGTCTGAAACAAACTGCTAACACTGAAGTCCAAAAGCATACCGATAACAAAATGGAGTCTTGAGTCTGAACATGCTCAGTACAAATCACACCAAAGAGGTCAGTCAAACTGGCAAATCAATATAAACATATAATACAGTTTAACAACAAACAAATAGTGAAGGCTTGGAAGGTTGCTGTTTCCAACAATATTGGTTGCCCTTCTCTTTCAGGCATTCTCATCTCAAAGGGTTTGCATTTAGGGGGTGGAATCAGGAGATTGCCCTGGTAACTCCATGCTTCCCAACCTGCAACATCTTGCATCCTGCCTTTCTTTTGTTGATTGCCCTTCCTATGATGGTCTCTAGCAGAGGTTGCATCCACACTGTAAACGAAACCATCTCATCCAGTCCCTCGAGATGCACCTGATGGAAACTCTCTTTTCAGGAGCTAGACGACTGTGTCATCCGCCAGACCAACACCCAGTTTGCCTACGGCTATGAATACCTGGGGAACTCTGGGCGGCTGGTCATCACCCCACTTACGGACAGGTACCCCATGGCATCAACCTCTGGCCTATTCGCTTGGGTGTGCAGCCTGGCTTGTGAAAAAGCAGTCAGGAAGGACAAGAGGGATGCAGGGGCGTAGCTACCAAAAAAAAGAGGGCAAAATACAAACATAGGGCTCATTGGCCCCTGCTCAAATGATGTCTTTTTTCAGCCATTATATTTCTAGGATTTTAGAGCAAGCAAACTGGAAATATTTTACTCCTAAAATCTGCTGAGTTTGCATTTTTGTAGTCACTTTGCCTGCTTCTATTCTTTGGGCACTTCAAGTATATTTATACGCACTCAACTGAATTTTTAAGCTACTCCAATCCTAGAGATTTGGCCAGCAAAGGAAAATATCACTGGGGAATGCAGAATTCTTAATAGAAAAAACAGAACCCTCATTTTGCTCCCTCCCTTAGCTATACTTCTGAGGGCACATGGAAATGGCAATGGGGACCTATCATTTGTGAGGGTAGGCAAAGGAAACAGAGTAGCAAGTGGATCAGGAAAGAGTGAAGGAGTGAAAATCCAGCAGCAATATGTCCGAGGTCCTGCTCTGGAGAAGAGCCAACAGGGAGGCCAAGTGACACTCAGGTTGCTTCCTTCCTAGATGCTACATGACGCTGACCACAGCCCTCCATCTCCATCGAGGAGGGTCCCCCAAAGGTCCCGCAGGCACTGGCAAGACAGAGACCGTGAAGGACCTGGGCAAAGCCCTGGGCATGTATGTGATTGTGGTGAATTGCTCTGAAGGCCTGGACTATAAGTCGATGGGGCGCATGTACTCTGGCCTTGCACAGGTAAGACGGATCTAGACCAGGCATGGGCAAACTTGGGCCCTCCAAATGTTTTAAACTTCAACTTGGAGTCCAAAACACTTGAAGGGCTGGGGTTTGCCCATGCCTGATACAGAGCTTTCCAAATGTGGGTATGGGTCAGTTGCTGGTTCCAGCAGGCTGTGCTCTGGACGCAGTCCTCCAGTTGGGCTTTCTCCTGGTGCCCTCTGGCTTTCCTTGGCTCACGTCCATCGCCTTCCTCTCCTCACAGACGGGAGCCTGGGGTTGCTTCGATGAGTTCAATCGCATCAACATTGAGGTGCTGTCTGTCGTGGCCCAACAGATCCTTTCCATCCTCTCAGCTTTAGCTGCCAATATGACCCGCTTCACCTTTGAAGGCCACGAGATAAACCTGGTGTGGTCTTGTGGCATCTTTATCACCATGAACCCAGGTGGGTTGTGTTGAGCGAGTGGGCTTATTAAGAAAAGACCCTCCCCTTAAACGTATAGCAGAGTAAATTATTAGCAGCAGCGTGACCCAGCATCAGTAGCCAAAAGTGATAAAAAGAGCAAAAACGCCCAGACCAATGTTATCTCTTCCATAGGAGGCTTTTATTTATAGTAAAATAATATGGTTGCATGGGAGCCCCCGGTGGCGCAGTGGGTTAAAGCACTGAGCTGCTGAGCTTGTTGATCGAAAGGTTGCAGGTTCGATTCCGGGGAGCGGCGTGAGCTTCCGCTGTCAGCCCTAGCTTCTGCCAACCTAGCAGTTCGAAAACATGCAAATGTGAGTAGATCAATAGGTACCGCTCCGGCGGGAAGGTAACGGCGCTCCATGCAGTCATGCCGGCCACATGACCTTGGAGGTGTCTACGGACAACGCTGGCTCTTCGGCTTAGAAATGGAGATGAGCACCACACCCCAGAGTCAGACATGACTGGACTTAATGTCAGGGGACTACCTTTACCTTTAATATGGTTGCACTATTTACAAGAACAAGGTTTTCCTAACACAAGTAAAGTTCTTTATACTTCTTTCTTTGCTTCCGTGCTGGGCTTTCTTCTCATGCAGATAAACAGTTTTGCTCTCACAGAGCCTCTTCTCACACCAATCTTACACAGGAGCTTCACGCAGTAGCTTTACACACAGCAGCCTTCACACAAGAGTTTCAGTGGCCTTCAACCTGGGGCTTATCTCACAGTGAGGCCTTCTCATACTGAGGCTGACTAACACTGAGGCCTCCCTCCCTCACACTGAGGCCTACTAACACTGAGGCCTACTAAGCTACAGACACACCTGCTTATATGGAATTACAGCCTTTGCTAGGTCATTGCATCCATTTAAACCTTTCAGTAATTGACTCACATTTATGTAATTAAAATACCTAGTTACTTTTTAATATTTCTGACAGGTTGTAAAGTGGGCTCAGAGACTGAGTTGAGCTGAGCTGAGCTGAACTGGACACCAGGGGTGGGGTGGACACCTTCTTCCCTCTTTCTCAACCTACACTCATGCCCTTCTCTGTGCCACGTGGCAGGTTACGCTGGGCGCACAGAGCTGCCCGACAACTTGAAATCCATGTTCCGTCCCATCTCCATGGTGGTGCCCGACTCCACCCTCATTGCTGAAATCATCCTTTTTGGAGAAGGCTTCAATAACTGCAAGGTACTGCATATTTGATGGACAACCCAGGCACAATGTTGACCTGCCAGAGTGGCACTCATAGAATCATAGAATCAAAGAGTTGGAAGAGACCTCATGGGCCATCCAGTCCAACCCCCTGCCAAGAAGCAGGAATATTGCATTCAAATCACTCCTGACAGATGGCCATCCCAGAACTCCCAGAACTCTTTTCTTCCTTTCCCAGATCCTGGCCAAGAAAGTCTACACCTTGTATTCACTGGCTGTGCAGCAGCTCTCTAAGCAGGACCACTATGACTTTGGCCTTCGAGCGCTGACCTCTCTGCTCCGTTATGCTGGGAAGAAGCGCCGGGTGCGGCCTGACCTTGCTGATGAGGAGGTACATGGCCCTTGGTCTTCCTGGCCATGCTCTTGCACCACACCACACTTTTGCATCCTGTCCAAAACATATAGAAGACCAAAAATTTGGAAGCTTTTGTTATAAGTGATACCTTTGAATAGGGGGAGGCATTGGGGGTCTCAGGCACCACCAAGTTTGTAGGTAATTTCTGGCTGTTTTGATGTGAAACATCTTTTAAAAAACCCAGCCAATTTCTAATTTATTCTAGGGGGGCATGTGGGGGCTTGAGGACCTCCAGGAGGCTTTCTGAGGCCATGAAATAAGGGCTTGAGGCGATACTTTCACCATCCCATTGGGCCAGTACAGAGAGTCCTTGGTTTATGGTTCCCAGGAGCATTGCTGTGCTTCCCACCCAACTCTGTTAATGCTGAAGAAATGCTTTGTGCCTGTAATATTTATTTGCATTTTTTTATTTATTAATGGGCTTGCTCATTGCCTCCCACTGCTAGGGCTCCTGAGGTGATGAACAAAAGCAGGGAAAAACATCCTTTAAAATGGAAATGCTTCTCCTAAAACCAGTTTTTTTTTTAAATAAACAAAATGAGTGCTGTGTGTAGTAGTGATGATGGGGAGAATGACTGTCTACACCAGTTACAGGGGCCTTTGAGGGATCTTGGAGGTCAATGTTGATTTGGTCATGGAAGACCTATTCCAGACCCCAGACCCAGTTGCTCTTCCTCTCCTTGCATGGACTTTTCAACCAGTTCTTCTCTTCTGCATCTGGTTCCTTCTTAGGTTCTCCTTATGGCCATGAAGGACATGAACATTGCCAAGCTAACCTCCGGTGACGTGCCCCTCTTCAACGCTATCATCCAGGACCTCTTTCCAGGCATTGAGTGCCCAGTCATTGACTATGGAAAGGTCAGCCAACCGGTCTCTTAGGCCTCTGTCCTGCCCAATTTTGCCTAGGGCAGCATTTCTCAACCTGGGGGTCGGTAACCTGGGAGGGGGGTCGTGAAGGGGAGTCAAGGGGGTCACCAAAGACCATGAAAAAATACAGCATTTTCAGTTGGTCATGGGATTTCTGTGTGGGAAGTTTGGCCCAATTTTATCGTTGTTTGGGTTTGGAATGCTCTTTGATTGTGGGTGAACTAGAAATCCCGGCAACCACAACTCCCAAATATCAACGTCTATTTTCCCCAAACTCCACCTGTGGTCACATTTGGGCATATTGAGTATCCATGCCAAGTTTGGTCCAGATCCATAATCGTATGAGTCCACAGTGCTCTCTGGGTGTAGGCAAACTACAACTCTGAAACTCAAAGTCAATGCCAACCAAACCTTTCCAGTATTTCCTGTTGGTCATGGGAGTTCTGTGTGCCAAGTTTGGTTCCATCCCATTATTGGTGGAGTTCAGAATGCTCTTTGATTGTAGGTGAACTATAAATTCCAGCAACTACAACTCCCAAATGACAAAATCACCCTCCCCCCAACCCCACCAGTATTCAAATCCAGGCATATGGGGTATTTGTGCCAAATTTGGTCCAGTGAATGAAAAAACATCCTGCATATCAGACATTTACATTAAGATTCATAACAGTAGCAAAATTACAGTTATGAAGTAGCAACGAAAATAATTTTATGGTTGGGGGTCACCACCAAATGAGGAACTGTGTTAAAGCATCAAGAAAGTTGAGAACCACTGGCCTAGGGCTTGGCCTCCCCTTCCTAGGAAATGGGGAAACAGCCCCAGCAATAGTGGAGACACTGTCCTTTGGGAAAATCCCTCCCCTCTTATAGTCACTTTTTGGCATCCATTACCCTATAGCAGGGGTCCTCAAACTTTTAAAGCTGAGGGCCGGTTCACTGTCCTTCAGACTGTTGGGGGGTGGGGTGGACTATCTTTTGAGAAAAACATTCACAAATTCCTATGCACACTGCAGATATACTGCATTATTTGTACTGCAAAAAGCATGAAAGAATACAGTTTTTAAAATGATGAACAGTTTGAACCAACATAAACTTACCAGTATTTCAATGGGAATGTTGGGCCTGTTAAATCAGATTGTTGTTGTTGTTGTTGTTGTTGTTGTTGTTGTTGTTGTTGTTGTGTGACTTGAAGTTGTTGACCCTAAGTCTAAAGTCTAGACCAGGGGCCACGTAAATGACCTTGGAGGGCTGCATCTGGCCCGCGGACCTTAGTTTGAGAACCCCTGCCCTATAGAAATGGCAAGGGCAGTAACATCTGCAAAGAGAGTGTTGTGTGTATACCTGTTCAATCTCAGGAGTGCTTTCCCTTTCCTCCTTCCTTTCCTCACAGGTTAAGGAAATGCTTGAGGTGGAGTTGAGGGAAATGGGGCTCCAGGTGATCCCCTTCACCATCACCAAAGTGATCCAGTTGTTTGAGACCAAGAACTCCCGCCACTCCTCCATGATCGTGGGCAACACGGGCAGCGGCAAGACCGTCACCTGGCGGGCCCTGCAGAATACCCTCTGCAGCCTGCACAAGAGCGGAGACCCCACCGCCAACTTGGTCCGGGTCAGTAAGCTGTTACAATGGCTGACTTCCTTTGGCCTCGCTTGAAAGGCAGGCAGAGCAAAGCAAAGAGCCAAATGGTGTTCTGCCTTCCTCCCTTGGCTCTGCCCACCGGGTTGCCTTTGCAGGACCCCAACCCTGCTTAAGGCTGTGGTTTCCCGCTCTTCCTTTATCTCCCTTTGCTGTGCCAAGGGGTCTCTGCTGCCTGGCTTCTGTCTTGCATTTTTTCCTTGGGATGGGAGTCACATTCAATATGGTTGATTGCCCTTGGCAGGAGAGAGGAGAGGCAAATTCCTAATAGGAACTCTGGCTTTCTTCTACCCAGGTGGCAACCACACAGGTGTGTGGCCAAGTCTTTGCTTCTTGCCTCCTTCTGACGCTGACTTGCTCTCTTCCCTCCTCCCCTGTTTCCTTCCCCTCTTTCCTTGCTGGGTGTGCCTGCTTCTAGGAGTTCGCCTTGAACCCAAAGGCAGTCTCCCTGGGTGAGCTGTACGGAGAGTACAACCTCAGCACCAACGAGTGGACAGACGGCATTCTGTCCAGTGTGATGCGAATGGCGTGTGCAGGTACACCTCTAAGAAAGAAGAAAGTGATAGGGTAGAGGCATGGAAGGAGGGTTTCCCATTGTGGTCAACTGTGAATCGCACATATGGTAGTTCCTGCACCTGAGCAGACAGCTTCATGGAAGGAGGGTTCTACTATTTCTCTTCAGCATGAGAAGCTGCCAGATCAGGCTCGCCTATGCAGGACTTATTTATTGTCAATAATAATAATAATAATAATAATAATAATAATAATAATAATCTTTATTTGTTAACCCACCACCATCTCCCCAATTTTATATTTATATAATTATTTATATTATATTTATATACTCAGTATTCATATTCCGCCCTTCTCACCCTGCAGAGGACTCAGGGCGGATTACAATGCACATATACATGGCAAACATTCAGTGCCATTAGACATACAACATCTATAGACAGACACAGAGGCAATTTAACATTCTAGCTTTTTCCGGCTTCATGAGGGTATGCTCAATTCCGGCCATAGGGGGAGTTGCCACTTCACTGACCACTTGTGACACTGTGTCCTTGATGGAGTACTTTCTCATTCTTCTGCACGCTGCTGGAAGTTTTTATGGCGTCGTAAATTAGTTAAATTAGCCTCCCCGCATAAAGCGGTACCTAAATTTCCTACTTGACAGATGCAGCTGTCTTTCGGGCTGCATAAGTCAACAGCAAGCTAGACTATTAATGGTCGGGAGCTCACTCCGACCCGGGCTGGCTTCGAAATGATGATCTCTTGGTCAGTCGTGATTTAATGCAGCCGGCTACTAACTACCTGTGCCACAGCCTGGTCCTTAAACTTAAATCAATGTAATAATAATAATAGAGTAAAATAATGAAAATGTAATATTGATTGTATCTATCTATGGTTTGGGCCCCCTGGTGGTGCAGTGGGTTAAACCGCTGAGTTTCTGAACTTGCTGACTGAAAGGTCGGTGGTTTGAATCCAGGAAGCGGGGTGAGCCCCCACTGTTAGGCCCAGCTTCCACCAACCTAGCAGTTCGAAAACATGCAAATGTGAGTAGGAAAGTAACAGTGCTCCATGCAGTCATGCCAGCCACATGACCTTGGAGGCGTCTATGGGCAACGCTGGCACTTTGGCTTAGAAATGAGGATGTGCACCAACCCCCAGAGTCAAACACAACTGGACTTAATGTTAAGGGAAATCTTTACCTTTACCTTATGGGTTGACTCACTATACAGTAATTGATTGAGTGTGTCTGTTCTGGTTGGGAACAACCACCGCGATGCCAGGCACAGAGTGTCAGCAACAGTGACTGCAAATGCTGTCAGCAGCATTGGACAGGGCTCAGTTTCCTTTCCAGGGTGTAATTCAGCCAGGCTGGTCTGAAGGCCAGCTTGGCTGCAAGGTCTGCCAGTCTTTGGGTGATTGGAGGTGAGAGTTAAAGGACAGAGGAAAGAAAGGGCCAAAAAATGAACAGTTACTGTCTATACTCTAGTATAAGCCAACCCAAATATAAGCCAAGGCATCTAATTTTACCACAAAACTGGGAAACCGTATTGAATCAAGTGTAAGCCAAGGGTGGGAAATGCAGACACTGCTTGTCAATTTCAAAATAAAAACAGATACCAATAAAATTACATTAATCGAGGCACCACTTGGTTAAATGTTTTTTGAATATTTACATAAAACTGTAATTTAAGATAAGACTTCCCAACTCTGATTAAACTATTATTCTAACCTTCTTCAATGTAAATGTGCTTACATATTATTCCAATAATAATAAAGAGAGGAAAATAATAAATGTAATAATAATAATAGAGTAACATAATGGATATGTAATAATCATAGTAATAATAGAGTAGGAGCTCCCAGTAGCACAGTGGGTTAAACCACTGAGTTGCTGAGCTTGTTGACTGAAAGGTCACAAGTTCAAATCCAGGGAGCGGGGTGAGCTTCTGTTGTCAGCCCTAGCTTCTGCCAACCTAGCAGTTTGAAAACATGCAAATGTGAGTAGATCAATAGGTACCGCTCCGGAGGGAAGGTAGCGGCGCTCCATGTAGTCAAGCCGGCCACATGACCTTGGAGGTGTCTACGGACAATTCTGGCTCTTCGGCTTGGAAACAGAGATGAGCACCAACCCCCAGAGTCAGACACAACTGGACTTAATGTCAGGGGAAAATCTTTACCTTTACTAATGATAGAGTACAATAATAAATGTAATAATAATAATAGAGTAAAATAATGGAAATGTAATAATAACTAATTATAGAGTAAAATAATAAAAGTAATAATAATAAGAAGAAATAAAGTAATAAATGTATAAGGTGGGGGGGGTAGCCTTAAAAAGGGCTGAAAAACTCGGCTTATACTTGAGTATATATGGTATATCCACAGAAAACAAAGGAACAGATTGAGTTCAGAGCCTGGAAATGTTATTTTTTAAAATCACAACACTCAGAATTCCCAAACTAGTAGGAGTAATGGCTGGGCAATTTTGGTTGTGTCCCCCACCCACTTTTTCCAGTTCTGGGTGAGAACTGGTTGTGTCCCCCACCCACCTTTTTCCAGTTCTGGGTGAGAGCAAGCGTCACTCTTCCCAAGCATTGTGTCTCAAAGGCCAATGTGTTTCAAAGCTCACAGGTAGACCAGAGCATAACAGCCATTGAAATATCCAAATGGGTAACCAAATGCTTGATATCATGGAGTATTTCTATATCTAAGCTTGTGGCCATCAGCAAATCTTTGGACAGATGATTCCATAGGAAGTGCAGCTGCTTCTTTCCCCGGTCTCATGGCCAGAAGTGGACAGGGCACAGGATGAGGACCCAAACCTTCTCTCCTTCTCCTAATTTGCTTACCTGTCCACCCCAAGACAGTGTCCCAGTTGAAGCAGAGGATACAAGGTGGGCAGATGGTAACATTTGGCTGAATCTCAGTTTCCCATCGTGGTCAACTGTGAATCACACATATGGTGTATTAGAATGATGATATGTTTACACATCTCCATTTATTACTACTGTTGTTTTTCAAGAGGCTTCTCTCACAGACTAAGGCCTACCTCACAGTGTGAGAAGCTTTACACACAGTTTTACACACGAGGCCTTCAACCTGGGGCTTCTTTCACCAAAACTTCTCACAGAAGATATGGCATATCTGGCTTGAAAAACAACAGTAGTAAGAAATGGAGATGTGTAAACATGTCATCATTCTAATACACCATATGTGCAAATTCACAGGTGACCACTCGGGAAACTATGGTTACAGGTAAGCAACCTATATTTCCTTCTGAGAGAGTGACTGAGACTAAACGCCCAGGCAAGAGGAGAGTGTGCATCCATTGTGCTGACCTTGAGTGCAACAGATAAGCAAAGATCTCATCAGGGGCTTCGCCACAAAGTAGTCCTAGCTAAGCTGGGTTGCAGCCTTTGCCTTCTGTTTTCTAGCCCTCTCCTCCTTGCTAGCACGTCCCTGCCTCCTTGCTGCCCTTCCTTCTGCCTGGTTGCCTCTCGGAGACCTTTTCCTCAAACTGAACAAGGAGGGCATGCTTACCACAGGGCAACTGGCCATCGCCGGCTGGTAGCGATGGCCTAGATGGTGTCGGCTGTTTTGTGGGGAGTTGCCCTCAAAGACTTGGGATGCTGAACCACGAGTGTGTGGGGATGCATGCCAGCCCTGGTTGCCAAACCCTGGCCCTGTTGCCCGCTGCTCTTCAGACCTGCCTCTTGCAGTTTGGCTGATAGCCTCACTCCAAGGGGGCAAAGGTGATTATCTCAGCATATTGGCAGGTGACCTCCTGCAGGCGCTTGCTTATTAACTGCCAGCAGGTGACGGAATGGCTGTTTCTGGGCAAGACGGGAGGGGGAGGCTCTCCTCCGACCCCAATCTCTATGATAATTAAAAGGGGGAGTGTGATGGCATGCATGTTGATTTATGGTGGGCAAGGGGAACTGGCATTGGAGACCAAGAGGTTTTTCCTCTTCGTTTCCAATGCAGTCACACTTCTGAGCCACCCTTGCATCTCATTGCTATCACAGGACTGAGAGAAAGCTGTTGAGTGAGTGGGCTTATTCGCAAAAGACACTCCTCATAAATGCACAGCAGAGTAACTTACTAGCAGTGGCGTGACCCAGCACCAGTAGCCCAAAGTGATACAAAGAACAAAGACTCACAGACCAATGTTATCTCTTCCTTAGGAGGCTTTTCTTTGTAGTAAAATAATATGGTTGCAGTATTTACAAGAACAAGGTTTCCATAACACAAATAAAGGTCAATCTTCACACCAGAACTTCACACACAAGGTCTTCTCATACTGAGGCTCACCTCACAGACTAAGGCCTTCCTCACACAGAGACTTCTCTCACAGACTAAGGCCTACCTCTATATCTGTGAGGAGCTTTACACACAGTTTTACACACGAGGCCTTCAACCTGGGGCTTCTTTTATCAAAGTTTCTCCCAGACTAACCCTCACACTGTGAGGAGCTTTACACACAGTTTTACACACAAAGCCTTCAACTTGGGGCTTCTTTCACCAAAGCTTCTCACAAACTAAGGCCTATCTCATACTGTGAGAAGCTTTACCCACAGTTTTACACACGAGGCCTTCAACCTGGGGCTTCTCTCACCAGTTTCTCACAGACTAAGGCTACCTCACACTGTGAGGAGCTTTACACACAGTTTTACACATGAAGCCTTCAACTTGGGGCTTCTTTCACCAAAGCTTCTCACAGACTAAGGCCTACCTCACACTGTGAGGAGCTTTACACACAGTTTTACACACGAGGCCTTCAACTTGGGGCTTCTCTCAGACTAAGGCCTACCTCATACTCTGAGACCTTCTCACAGACTAAGACCTTTCTCCCGCTGAAGCACCTGCTTATATATAACTGCAGCTTTTCCTGAGTCATTGCATTCATTTAACCCTTGACTCACATTTTTATAATTAAAAATACCTAGTTATTTTTTAATATTTCTGACAAAAGCAACCCCTGCTTCCCCTTGTGGAAGACAATCTTGACCATCCATTTATTTCTGGGTCAGGAGAAAGGAAGAAGGACCAGGCCACCAGCAGAGTGGTGGGAACTTGCTCCAGAAAATCTCTCTTTCAGGATTGTAGTATGGCCTGTTATATCATAGCATGGTCTGTTTTCAGCCTTTGGATTTGAGGATCTCAGACTCGGCCTTGCTTGGCCAGCCTTGTGCCTTCTCGCCTTTCCCCTGACCTCACAACCCTCTGACCTCAACTCTTGTCCCACTCTGACCTCCTCACAGGCCTTTCCCCTCAACCCCAAAGCGGTGAGTCTCAGTGAGTTGTTTGGGAGCTATGACCTAAACACCAGTGAATGGTGCGATGGCATCCTGGCTTCCATCATGCGGGAAGTCTGCACAGGTATTTACCCTCTGGAAGGCCCGTCTTGGCCCATGCCAGGTGCCAGCCTCTGCTGCCAATCATCCCTCCTTTCCTGAGCAAGCTGGCACCTCTGCTTGTCTGAGCCAATCAACCTCTTCAAAAACAAGCCCTTGGAAGAAATTCACTGCCTCTCTTCTGAAATTGTCTCTTGTCTGTCAGAACGCGAAAGGCTCTGGGTGGGTGCCTTGAAGGTGGCTGCCGTGATTGCAGCATTTGCTGATCTTGTATGTGTCAACAATTGGTTATGCATGCCTCCCTCCTTCTTCCTCCGGCTCCCTTCAGTGGTCCTGATTGTGGCTTTCAGTCTGGGCTTTTTGAAAAGTCATATTTCTAGTTGTAGGAGTGTGTAGGGGGACCCAATGAGTCTATAGGTTTGTTTCCATACCTTTTGATTGGACTTGAAGTAGTTGAGTCAGTTTGCCTCCTGAGAATTCTGACTGGCGTCAATTGTCCAAAACTCATCCACACCAGCATCAATTGTGACCATGTTATCTGAGGGGTTGTAGCCCCAGAAGTAACATTTTCAAGTTCTGGTCTTTTCAATTCAAGGAGGGCAGTGGGTCTTGAGACCCATCATCCCTCAGGAGAGCAGCTGGCTTCTGAATTTGGGTTGCCCTTAGAAACATAGTCTCGTTGAGTTGGAAGAGACCTACAAGAGAGGAGATTCCATCTGAACATGAGGAAGAACTTCCTGACTGTGAGAGCCATTCAGCGGTGGCGTGGTTGAGACTCCTTCTTTGGAGGCTTTTAAACAGAGGCTGGATGACCATCTGTCAGGGGTGCTTTGAATGCAATATTCCAGGTTCTTGGCAGGGGGTTGGACTGGATGGCCCATGAGGTCTCTTCCAACTCTTTGATTCTACGATTCTATGAGACCTCATGGGCCATCTAGCCCAACCCCATTCTGCCAAGAAGCAGGACAATCACATTCAAAGCACCCTTGGCAAATGGCCATTCAGCCTCTGTTTCAAAGCCTCCTAAGAAGGAGCCTCCACCACACTCTGGAGCAGAGAGTTCCACTGCAGAATACCTCTCACAGTTAGGAAGTTCTTCCTCATGTTCAGGTGGAATCTCCTTTCTTTCCTGTAGTTTGAAGCCATTGCGTCCTAGTCTCCAGACAGCAGAAAATAAGCTTGCTCCCTTCTCCCTATGGCTTCCCCTCACATTTTGATGCATGGTCCTCATCATGTCTCCTCTCAGCCTTCTCTTCTGCAGGCTAAACATGCCCAGCAATTTAAACCGCTCCTCATAGCGCATGTTCTCAGGACCCTGGATCCTTTGAGTCACCCTCCTCTGAACACATTCCAGCTTGTCAACATCTTCCTTCAATTGTGGTGCCCAGAATTGGACACTGTGTGATTCCAGATGTGGTCTGACCAAAGCAGAAGAGAGGGGTGGCATGATTTCCCTTGATCTAGTCCCTAGACTCCTATTGATGCTGGCCAAAATCCCATTGGCTTTTATTGCCGCCATATGACATTGTTGGCTCATGTTTAACTTGTTGTCCACAAGGACTCTCGCCCTTGCTTGTCTTAGTCCCAAAGTGGGCTTGTCCTTCACCCTCTTTGCCCAGATGAGAAACCTGATGAGAAGTGGATCCTTTTCGACGGTCCTGTTGACACGTTGTGGATTGAGAGTATGAACTCGGTCATGGACGATAACAAAGTGCTGACCCTGATCAATGGCGAGAGGATCGCCATGCCCGAGCAGGTAAGCCAGCGTGTGAGCCCCTTCTGGGCCTCTCATTCTGCAAAGTAGACTACTGAAATCACTTTTCCCTCCTTATCCTGCTTCAGGTGTCCCTGTTGTTTGAGGTGGAAAACCTTGCAGTCGCCTCACCTGCCACGGTCTCCCGGTGTGGAATGGTGTACACGGATTACAGTGACTTGGGGTGGAAGCCATATGTCCTTTCCTGGATCGAAAAGCGCCCAAAGGTACTTGATGGGAGGAGCAGTTTGGGCGCTTTAGGGCTTGGTCCAAGACAGCCAGCAGTTTCCACCAATAGATCCTTCCCACATCCCTACACTTTCCAATCATACGTCATTGCTCCTACCCTGAGACTGCTCTTCTGCATGGAACTATCGCTTTGGATACAAAGGCCCAATGTTGCAGAAAGAAAGGGGATCTGGCTGTGAGTGAGTGAGTGGAAATGCGGTGGGAGAGACGGCACACCTTCAGGAGGCAAACTTCGGGAGGGAAAGGACCTTGGAGGACAGTGAGTCACAATGAGGAGAAGGATGGGCTAGAAATTAAATAAAAGAGATGGCATTCGATTACATGGCTCTGCTGAGAGGCTGCGAGGAAGCTTTCATCTGCATCTGTCTCTTCTCAGGCAGAAACAGAAACCCTGCAGCGCATGTTTGACAAATTCACCAACAAGATCCTGACCTTCAAGAAGGACAACTGCCAGGAGCTGGTCCCCATCTCCGAATACAGCGGCATCGTGGCTCTCTGCAAGCTCTTCTCGTCTTTGGCTTCCTTAGATGAAGCGGTAGGGAGCAGGCAGGGCTTGGCCAGCTGTCCTCTCGGCCTGTGGGATCCTCAGAACGGTCTGGGAAGATAGCAACCTCCCTTTTGGTCAGGAAGTCCAATGTTGTGATCCTGCAAGTCAAGGGTCAGAGAGAGAGAGAGAGAGCTCTAGAACTTCTGTGGTTGCATCATCTAGCATTTTGAACCCTACTGTTGTCCATAGCTTTTAGGACAGAAAATTCCATCTAGGCTACCCTACATTTTCAAATCTTAATATTAACAGCTTTCTCACAGCTGTCTGTTAAGCACACCTTTTCTTACTCTGGGTATGTGTCGAACTATAGATCTCCATCAGCATTTCTGTAAATTGTGGCCATGTTGACCCATATTTTCAGGTCTTTCAAAACTATTAGAACGTTGTCCCAGGAATATCTGATTAGAGGACTAGAAGAATTCCCTCCACTTCCCACTCTGGATATATTCCTATGGCCCAAAGGTGTGGCCTTCAGACTACCTACATCAGTGGTTCTCAACCTTCCTAATGCCATGACCCCTTAATACATTTCCTCATGTTGTGGTGACCCCCAACCATAACATTATTTTGCTACTTCATAACTGTAATTTTGCTCCTGTTATGTATCGTAATGCAATTATCTGATAAGCAGGATATATTTTCATTCACTGGACCAAATTTGGCACAAATACCCAATATGCCCAAATTTGAATAATGGTAGGATTGGGAGGGGGATTGATTGATGTTGTCATTTGGGAGTTGGAGTTGTTGGGATTTAAAGCTCACTTACAGTCAAAGAGCATTCTGAACTCCACCAACGATGGAATTGAACCAAACTTGGCACACAAAACTCCCACAGCCAACAGAAAACACTGGAAGGGTTTGGTGGGCATTGACCTTGAGTTTTGGAGTTGTAGTTCACCTAGATCCAGAGAGCACTGTAGACTCAAACAATGATGAATCTGGACTAAACTTGGCACAAATACTCAATATGCCCAAATGTGAGCACTGGTGGAGTTTGGGGAAAATAGACCTTGACATTTGGGAATTGTAGTTGCTGAGATTTATAGTTTACCTACAATCAAAGAGCATTCTGAACCCCACCAATGATAGAATTGGGCCAAATTTCCCACATAGAACCCACATGACCAACAGAAAATACTGTGTTTCCTGATGGTCTTTGGTGACCCCTCTGACACTCCCTGGCGACCCCTGCAGTGGTTCCGACCCCTAGGTTGAGAACCACTGATCTAGATATTATATACTACAGCTCTCATAGTCTTTTCCTCTGACCCATGCTGGGTTATGCTGATAGACGTTGCAGGCTAAAACACATGACAAGTCCCCAGTTCCCCAGTGTATGTGTGAACACCTCTGGGCAACCAAGGCTCCTTAATCTCCAGGAGTCCCCTCTTCCAGGGCTCTGAATCCAACAGCCAGCAGGTTTCCTCTGGTTAATTTCCACTCTCTTCCCTTCCCAGCTGAATCCAGCAGACAGTGAGAACTACACCACAGTGGTGGAGATGTATTTCATCTTCAGCATGATATGGTCCCTTTGTGCCGCCGTGGATGAGGAGGGGCGGAAGAAGATCGACATTTTCCTGCGAGAGATAGAAGGCTCCTTTCCAAACAAGGTCAATTAGATTGGGTTGCAACTGGGGGGGAAAGAGCAATGGAGGGGCAGCGGGTGCCTCTTTGTTTACTGTTTGTGGCCACCATTTGCTGGGAAAGATTCAGGAAATGTCAACAATGTGCAGGGACTATGACACACATCCTGTTTGAGGCAAGCAACCAAGTGTGGTTGTTAAGGGTCTAAAACTGGCATGGCAAACTTGGGCTCTCCAGGTGCTTTGGACTTCAACTCCCATCATTCCTAACAGCCTCAGGCCCCCTCCTTTTCCCCTTCAGCCACTTAATATGGTTGCACTATTTACAAAAATAAGGTTTCCATGACACAAATAAAGTTCAACTTTCACATTGGAGTTTCACACGTAAGGCTTTTTACACACAGCATACTGGAGCTTTACACATGAGGCTTTACACACGAGGCCTTCAACCTGGGGCTTCTTTCACCAAAGCTTCTCACACCAGGCCTTCCTTATACTTGGCCTTCTCCTAGACTAATGCCTACCTCACACTGAGGCCTACCTCACAGACTAAGACCTTTCTCCCACTGAGGTTTACTTCAGACTCCTCAGGATGATACTAGTGCGATATTCAGTGTAGACCAGGCATGGGCCAACTTGGGCTCTCCAGGTGTTTTGGACTTCGACTCCCACAATTCCTAACAACCTACTATTTGAGAAAGCTCAGACGTTACTGGAGTTTGCTTATCACAATATGTTGATGATATACTAGTAGTTGTGAAAGATCAGGAGTAGCCACAGCTTTTTCAATTGCATTATCTATCATCCAAAACAAGCATGGGAAAGCTTGGGCCCTCCAGGTGTTTTGGACTTCAACTCCCATCATTCCTAACAGCCTCAGGCCCCCTCCTTTCCCCCCTCAGACACTGAATATGATTGCACTATTTACAAAAATAAGGTTTCCATGACACAAATAAAGTTCAACTTTCACACTGGAGTTTTCACACACAAGGCTTTTTACACAGAGCATACTGGAGCTTTACACATGAGGCTTTACACATGAGGCCTTCAGCTTGGGGCTTCTTTCACCAAAGCTTCTCACACCAGGCCTTCCTCATACTTGGCCTTCTCCTAGACTAACGCCTACCTCACACTGAGGCCTACCTCACAGACTGATACCTTTCTCCCACTGAGGTTTACTGTCATCTCTACCTTGTTTAGGTAGAGATGAACCAAACTCCGAGTTTTATCAAATAGTTTAATGAAAATAGCCCTTACTTGCTGGCTGTTTTTATAGTCCAAAATATAAAACACAAATATAGCACTCAGCCACAGAATAAACAAAAACTGATAGCAAAAATAACTTCGTAGTCAAAAGGGTCCAGTCCAGGGGTCAAATGCCGAGAGTTCAATAACAGAGTTCATGGATCAAGAGTCTATACCATAGTCAAAAGCCAGTCCAAAGGTTCAAGATTCCAAGATTACAGGAGATAGGTCAGGATACCGAAAAATCCAACAGACCCGGGGGGAAAACCAGCAGCATTCACCACCAAAATGCAACAGATACTTTTCTCCCAAAGATCAGTCTCAAGGTTAGCTCCTTAAATCCAGTAACACCCAGCTGCAACCCATCTCCTGCACACCTCCACCCCTAATTGCTTTCACCCATAAACTCCCACTTACAGATTACCAAACCCTCTAGAGCAGTGATTCTCAACCTGGGGTCCCCAGATGTTTTTGGCCTTCAACTCCCAGAAATCCTAACAGCTGGTAAACTGGCTGGGATTTCTGGGAGTTGTAGGCCAAAAACATCTGGGAACCCCAGGTTGAGAACCACTGCTCTGGAACTAATACTCACATTAACCCTTCCATCACCAACCACCATCAACTGCAGAACATATGACATTTACCTCAGACTCCTCAGGACTCGCTTTGGCCCACTGACTCTTAACAGTTGTTTAAGTGGCTGAGGGGGGAAAGGGAGGGGCCTGAGGCTGTTAGGAATGGTGGGAGATGAAGTCCAAAACACCTGGAGGGCCCAAGTTTACCCATGCCTGGCTGAAATGACCCTGAAGGGGGGGAAGCATAATTGGAAAATATTCAAGGAAATTTTCCAGTGCACTACAATGTTTTGTTTTTAATTATTTCCCCAAATATTTGTAATGTCACACATAACAGATAATGTTTACTATTTAGCAAAAATGGCAGCACCTGAAAAAAAAACTAATTTCTAGAGAACTGTATCAAGATATATCAGCAGTTTAATTTTCTTTTGCTGCGGCAAAAAAACTGTGGTGCTTTTGACTTTAAGGCCATGCTACCTGCATTTTGTACCAGATCACTTTTTGTCCTGACTACCTGGACTTGTGACTGATTGAGAAGTGAGATATTTCACAGCTTAGCTGTAATTTGCTATTCCGTTCCTGTAAATACTATGGTTTGTCAGTACTCGTCTCCTCAGAAGAATAACTAGAACTTCATAACCTATATTTAACCTATCCAGCATGACTGATTGAAGTGCAACAGCCCAACAATTATGGAGATAGATATGGATATAAATATAGGTATAGTGTGGAAAAGTTTCTGAAGAAAAAAAATTCACCTTACATTTTTGCTGGGAAGATCCACCAACGTGTTGTCAAAGGCTTTCATGGCCAGAATTGCTGGGTTGCTGTGAGTTTTCCGAGCTCTATGGACATGTTCCAGAAGCATTCTCCCCTGACATTTCACCCACATCTGTGGCAGACAGCCTCAGAGATTGTGAGGGCCATTAGAAACTAAGCAAGTGAGGTTTATCTATATATAGCTGGAATGTGTCCAGAGGAGGGCAACTAAAATGATCAAGGGTCTGGAGAACAAGCCCTATGAGGAGCGGCTTAAAGAGCTGGGCATGTTTAGCCTGAAGAAGAGAAGGCTGAGAGGAGACATGATGAGGGCCATGTATAAGTAAGTGAGAGGAAGTCATAGTTAGGAGGGGGCAAGCTTGTTTTCTGCTGCCCTGGAGACTAGGACGCAATGGAACAATGGCTTCAAATGACAAGAAAGGAGATTCCATCTGAACATTAGGAAGAGCTTCCAAACTGTGAGAGCTGTTCAGCAGTGGAACTCTCTGTCCCGGAGTGTGGTGGAGTCTCCTTCTTTGAAGGTTTTTAAACTGAGGCTGGGTGGCCATCTGTCAGGGGTGCTTTGAATGCAATTTCATGCTTCTTAGCAGAATGGGGTTGGATTGGATGACCCACAAGATCTCTCCCAACTCCATAATTCTATGATTCTACATAGGGACCACCAAAGGTGGCATTGCCCAGACACGAATCAAGGAAGATGAAAGGCACTAAAGACTAATTCAACCAGAGAAGTCAACCATAGCAGAGCACTTGATGAACCAACCTGGGCACAGCATATTGTCTGAGGACACAGAAATGCTGGGCCACTCTCACAACTACCATGTCAGGCTACACAGAGAAGCCAATGAAATCCACAAGCATGTGGACAATTTCCACAAAAAGGAGAAAACCATGAAAATGAATAAAATCTGGCTACCTGTATTAAAAAACTCTAAAATCAGGATAGTAAAGAAAGAGCAACACTCAAACAACAGGGGAACTCCTGACATGAAACAATTGGGGTCAGCTAACACCTCCCAACAAAGGATGCCTCCAGGCAGGAATCAGCCTGCAAGGTCATTCAGTGCTAATCAAGGTGGCCAATTGCACCATTCACACCTCAAATAGACAAGAGTTCTCTCCCCCACCTGGACATTCAACAGATATATACAACCCACTTGCCTAGTTTCCAACAAACCTCTGGGGATGCTTGACATAGATGTGGATGAACCATCAGGAGAGAATGCTTCTGTAACATGGCCAGACAGCTCAGAAAACTCACAGTAACCCCAATCCACCATTGTTTATTCTGCCAGGGGCACATTCTTGTGTTGCAATCCTTGTGTCAAAAGGAATCTCATAAAGTTTCTGCACCTGAGAGTCTCGCTTCCTTCCTTCCTTCCCAGGACACCGTTTATGAATATTATGTTGACCCCAAGCGGAAGCAGTGGTCTTCCTTTGAAGATAAGCTCCCCAAGATGTGGCGATACCCAGCCAAGTGAGTAAACCCTCCCTTCCATAGGGTTCCCCAGAAGCAAAACATTGAAGATTATCCTTCTGGTTGGCCAACGAAGAAGGGGCTGACAGTGAGTGTGGATGAATCCACAAGTCAGTCCTCTGAGTGAACCTTAATTCCACCACTTGAAAAAAGTTAACTATGTTATATGGTTTCCAGCATCTCTTCACCAACACAGGTAGTGGCCAGCACTTGGGGGAGGGATACTATTTCCAGCTGGTTTTCTCCAGCAAATGCAGGACTTCTTTATTTATTTTTATCTATCATGTCAGAAGCAAATTGAGGGTACAAATATAATGTATTTTAAAAAACACAAACAAAGTGAAAAACTTGGCAGTATACTTGATTTCCTTTGACCAGAATCTGGCCGCTTGGAGTGCCTCCGGTGTTGCTGTGAGAAGGACCTCTAGTGTGCATTGGGCAGGGCTCAGGCTGCATTGTAGTCGGTGGTCTGTGGTTTGCTCTTCTCCACACTCGCATGTTGTGGACTCCACTTTGTGGCCCCATTTCTTAAAATAAGCTCTGCATCTTGTGGTTCCTGAGCACAATCTGTTCAGCACCTTCCGAGTCACCCAGTCTTCTGTGTGCCCAAGAGGGAGTTTCTCATCCGTATCAGCCAATGCTTCGGAATTTTAGCCTGCCACTTTTGGACTCTCGCTTGCTGAGGTGTTCCTGCGGGTATCTCTGTAGATCTTAAGAAGCTCTTTCTTGATTCAAGGCGTTGACTGCTGGCTGACATCCAAACAGAGGATGAGCCATAGATGTTCATGCCTTGGTCCTTTCATTTCTAGCTGCTACTTCCTGGTGGATATCAAGTGGTGCGATACCAGCTAAACAGTATAATTCCTCCAGTTGTGTGGGGTATAGACATCCTCTGATAATGCTTCATGTCTTATTAAGAGCCACATCTACTGTTTTAACATGGTGAGATGTATCCCACACTGGGCATGCATATTCAGCAGCAGAATAGCAAAGCACAAGGACAGATGTCTTCACTGTGTTTGGTTGTGATCCCCAGGTTGTGCCAGTCTGCTTTCGTATGATATTATTTCTAGCACCCACTTTTTGCTTCATATTCAGGCAGTGCTTCTTATAAGTCAGAGCACAGTCCAGAGTGACTCCCAGGGATTTGGGTGTGCTGCAATACTCCAGTGGGATTCCTTCCCAGGTTGTCCTCAGAGCTCAAGATGCTTGTCTGTTCTTAAGGTGAAAAGCACATGCCTGCATTTTAGATGGATTAGGAATCAGCTGGTTTCCCCTGTAACAGGCAGTAAGAGTACCCAAAACTTTGGAGAGCTTCTGTTTAGCCATTTCAGATTTCCCTGCTGAGAGGTGATGGCATGATCGTCATCATAGATGAAACTCTGTGTCCCTTCTGGCAGTGGCTGGTCATTTGTGTACATGTTCAACATTGATGGAGCAAGCACACTCCCCTGAGGCAGGCCATTCTTCTGTTTTCACCGTTTGCTTCTCTGGCCCTGAAACTCAACAAAGAAGCTCATGTTTTGTAGCATGTTTCCTATGAAGCGGATGAAGTGGTAGTTCTTTGTGATAGTATACATTTTTCTCAAGAGAAGGCAATGATTTGCAGTATTATATTCTACTGGCAGGTCTATGAAGGCAGCTCCTATAATCTGGTTCCTTTTAAAACCATCTTCTATGTGCTGTGTGTGGTTCAAACTTGTGATGTGCAGCTTTTGCCTTTCCAGAAACCAGCAGGGTTGAGAAAACAGAAGCCCATTTTACTTAGTAAGTCATTTAGAACATTTGCTCCCATGAAATCTGGAGATAAGTACTGGTATGGATGGCATGGAGTGGGAAAAGGAGGAGGAGGCCTATTGAAGGCTGTTTATAGCTGGAAGAGCCAGAGCTGGAGAGCTTTCACCTTTCATGGGGGCAATTTATTGGCCACTTTTGGAAGCAGGATATGGGACTGATTGTTTTTGTTCTGGTAACAGGTGGTACAGCTCTCTCAGAATTTGATTCAGATATTCTCGTTTTAATGTTGTAGGTCTGTTTCTTCCAATTAAAGTGTTTAGGAGAATATGACTGATATATTTCCTCTGAGGAATTTATCCGAGACTTAGAGGGGCAGTTTGTAATGATGGGAATTGGCCCACTTTTTGGTATTTGATTTCTGATAAGAGGCCTTGTTCCATTCTCCTCGAACACTCTGTTTATGAGAATTCCAAATTTATGATGTAAATGTGAATGCATAGAGAGTAACAACTGTGGAATTGAAGGACTGCTAAAATCTAAAATAAATCTTTTATGGAACTGTCTTTTTGGGAGCCAAATCAATGAATGGAGATTTATCTGTCTTATTGGAACATTTAACAGAAGACTGGTTGTGTGTGTGGCTTGATTCAGGAAGGTTCTGCTTACATTTGTGCATTAAAGAAACCAAAAGGGAGCTGTCAAAGAGGCCTTCTTCCCTGTATGTGCATTTTTGTTGTGTTTTTTCTCGTATCAGGAGCGACTTGAGAAACTGCAAGTTGCTTCTGGTGTGAGAGGATTGGCCATCTGCAAGGACGTTGCCCAGGGGACACCTGGATGTTTTTGATGTTTTACCATCCTTGTGGGAGGCTTCTCTCATGTCTCCACGTAGGGAGCTGGAGCTGACAGAGGGAGCTCATCGGCACTCTCCCTGGATTCGAATCTGTGACCTGTCGGTCTTAAGTCCTGCTGGCACAAGCCACCGAGGGCTCCTAGTATGTGTGTATGTGTTTGTGGAGATGTAACCTTTCTGCCCCATGCCTTGGTTTCTTACCTCCATGACAGTGTGCTGGCAAGAGAAAGGAATTCTCTCTGATCACCTCTTGTCTGTAGTTACACACATGCACACAGCTTGGCTTGTCTGTTGCCCGTGCCTGATTCCTCCCTGGCAGGCCACCGAATTGCACGGCTGGTTTTGTTCTCTGAGCCAGTGGCTTGGATCCATTTCCCACCCCTAATCCGATCAGTGGCCTGAAATTACCGGAACGTGGTCCCAAGGCTGCCACGGGCGGCTGGCCACCCGCATCAAGCACCGGGTGGAGGGAGAAGCCTTCATTAACGGTGGCTTTCTTCCAAGCTGTCAGGCTCCAGCGGGGATGACAGCTGCACGAATTGTGTCTCGTGTCGGATGTCTTCATGCATTTAGACCAATGTCTTTTGCAAAGCCGTGACAGCCCCGTCCAAAAGGACCATAATGGCACTTGGGGCTAACACCATGTCTCCTCCCTGCGGGGGGTGCCGAGGAGGGAGGCCTGGAGGGGAGAGTGGTCATCTCAGCTGGGGCCTTCCCTTTCTCTCTCCAGCGCCCCCTTCTACAAGATTATTGTCCCAACCGTGGACACCATGCGTTACAACTACCTCGTCAACGCCCTCATTTCCAACCAGAATCCAGTGTTGGTGGTTGGCCCAGTGGGCACCGGGAAGACCTCCATTGCACAAGGTGTTCTCCAGTCCCTTGACAGCATCAAGTGGGCCGTGCTGGTCATCAACATGTCTGCACAGGTAATGGGAGAGGTGCCCCATAGTTATGATTTATTTACAGTGTTTATATTCTGCTCTTCTCACCCCGAAGGGGACTCAGGACGGACCACAGAACATACATATGATGCAAACATTCAAGGTAGTTATATACACAAACAAGACAGACAATTGTACATAGATAGAGGTATAGATTGGCTTTTGCCATCTTCGGCATCTTGGAGGCTTTGTGCTTGCTTCCTGCCATTAGGGGTGTGTTGTCGCTCCATCTCTCCTGCCAAAGAGCTTTATTCGTAAACTTCCTCCTTTGATCAAATCGCTGGCATTCCTTATGGGTGCCTCAGAATACCACCCCACTTTCAGTAAAGGAAAAGGTTTTCCCTTGACATTAAGTCTAGTCATGTCTAACTCTGGGGAATTGTGCTCATCTCCATTTTTAAGCGTAGAGCTGGCATTGTCCATAGGCACCTCCAAGATCATGCGGCCAGCATGACTGTATAGAGCGCCATTATCTTCCCCCAAGGCGGTACCTATTGATCTATTCACATGTGCATGTTTTCGAACTGCTAGGTTGGCAGAAGCTGGGGCTAACAGCGGGAGTTCACCCCACTCCCTAGATTCAAACCACTGATCTTTCAGTCAGCAAGTTCAGCAGCTCAGCAGTTTAACCCACTGCGCCACCAGGGGGACACCACTTTTAAGCAGTACCTATTTATCTACTCGCATTTTCTTTTGAAGCACTAGGTTGGCGGAAGCTGGCCTAAGGGTCAGGAACTCACCCTGACCAGGCTTCAAACCAGCGGTCTTTCAACTGACACTATTTACTACAGCTGGTGGTTTAACCTGCTATGCTAAAGCCTGGCCCTTGGGTTATCTTGGAGCATGTGGCAGGGGTGCATGCATACCCTCTCCACAAGCAAACAGTTCCATGGAAGGGGGGATTGAAGGGCTTGCAACGAGTAGTCTGTACTCAGTGGGCCTCCTTTCCCCTCACACAGACAACCTCAAACAATGTCCAGAGCATCATTGAAAGCCGTGTCGAGAAACGGACCAAGGGGGTCTACGTGCCCATGGGCGGGAAGAGCATGATCACCTTCATGGATGATCTCAACATGCCGGCCAAGGACCAGTTTGGCTCCCAGCCTCCCCTGGAGCTGATCCGTCTTTGGCTGGACTATGGCTTCTGGTACGACCGGACCAAGCAGACCGTCAAATACGTCAAGGTGAGGCGTGTTGGGTTCACCAAAGCTTGCTAGTCCTCCCTCCGAAGGGGTCTGGGAAATCCCAGCCATTGGGTGACACCTCAGTCCCCAGTATCAGGTCCCCCCTTGCCTTCCCCTGCTCAGTGGAGAACACTCAGTTATCATCCTTCAGGGACAAGAGAGGTAGAAACATAGGATTCTAGAGTTGGAAAAGACTTCGTGGGCCATCCAGTCCAACCCCATTCTGCCAAGAAGCAGGAAATTCGCATTCAAAGCACCCCTGACAGATGGCCATCCAGCCTCTGCCTAAAAGCCTCAAAGAAGGAGCCTCCGTCACAGTCTAGGGCAGAGAGTTCCACAGCTGAACAGCTCTCACAGTCAGGAAGTTCTTCCTAATGTTCAGGTGGAATCTCCTTTCCTGGAGTTTGAAACCATTGTTCCAAGCCTCCAAAGAAGGAGCCTCTATCACACTCTGGGGCAGAGAGTTCCACTGCTGAACAACTCTCACAGTTTGGAAGTCCTTCCTAATGTTCAGGAGTAATCTCCTTCCTTGAGTTTGAAGCCATTGTTCCAAGCCTCCAAAGAAGGAGCCTCCATTACACTCCAAGGCAGAGAGTTCCACTGCTGAACAACTCTCACAGTTAGGAAGTTCTTCCTAATGTTCAGGAGTAATCTTTCCTGGAGTTTGAAGCCATTGTTCCAAGCCTCCAAAGAAGGAGCCTCTATCACAGTCCAGGGCAGAGAGTTCCACTGCTGAACAGCTCTCTCTTACAGTCAGGAAGTTCTTCCTAATGTTCAGGAGGAATCTCCTTTCCTGGAGTTTGAAGCCATTGTTCCAAGCCTTCAAAGAAGGAGCCTCTATCACACTCTGGGGCAGAGGGTTCCACTTCTGAACAGCTCTCTGTCACAGTCAGGAAGTTCTTCCTAATGTTCAGGAGGAATCTCCTTTCCTGGAGGTTGAAGCCATTGTTCCAAGCCTCCAAAGAAGGAGCCTCTATCACAGTCCGGGGCAGAGAGTTCCACTTCTGAACAGCTCTCTGTCACAGTCAGGAAGTTCTTCCTAATGTTCAGGTGGAATCTCCTTTCCTGGAGTTTGAATATAGTAGGAAACTTTCTTCCTTTAGAAGTGGGTTCAGTTTTGGGGCCTAGATGTGTGGGGCAGAGGGGCCGCATCCTATCTGCCATTGGGCCTTGAGCATCTTTGCCTCCAAGGACTGTGGTCAGGAACTCTGCGGCACTGCTGCTGCTGCTCTCCTTCCTGTTGCTGAAAAGGAAGCGTCTAGACACACATTAAATGCAATCACGCTGTTAACGCATCGTCTACTTAGCCCCCTCCTCCTCCTCCCTTGTTTGAAAACTCAGCAACCTGTGAGCGGAGAAGCACATTTGTGCCTGGAATAATTGTCCTCGGTGCTTTCTGAGAAGCTGTGTATCTGAATTTCAAGAGTGGATGGGGAGCATCAGGTGTGGGGGGGGCAGTGGGCGTGAGAAGCATCCTCCCGTCTCCCGGCTGGAGCGCCGGCACGTGCCTCCGCAGCTATTACAGGCTCCACTTCCAGGCAGGGCCTCCATTTGTATGCTGCCTGCCTCCCGGCTGCCCCCTCCGCAGGTCCCTCTGGGCCGCTTAGTGTCGCACTACTAAAAACACTTTTATGGAAAGGCAGAGAGGCGGGCAGCGTGGTTTGGGGTGGAGGGAGGGATGCCTTTATTTCCTTTTTGGGTTTGATCTGTGCCTGTTTGTTCTCCCCCTCAGGACATGTTCCTGATGGCTGCCATGGGGCCTCCCGGAGGAGGGCGCACGGTGATCTCCAGCCGACTTCAGAGCCGCTTCAACCTCATCAACATGACCTTCCCCACTGTAAGGGCTGCTTAGGCATGCAGAGGGTGGCCCTGCCGGGAGGGCTCCCGGACCAGAGGTTAATCAGGCAATCACAGCCCAAGGCACCTCTCCTGGGGGGCAGGGCATGCCGGGAGGCCACTGGTTGCCACAGGAGTGGCCCAAGGGGCTTGTCCAGCTGGCCTCTCCCTCCCCAGAGCCCCCCTGGGATCAAGGCAGAGCGTGGCAGCTCTGTGGTTTCCCTCCATAGAGCGGGGTCCCAAACAAGCCTTTGCTGTTCTGCATAACGCTGAGTGACAACAAGTCCCGATATCCCAAATCAAAGCCGGGAGGCCAGGAAGCAGCATGTCATTGGGGGAGAGGGCAGAGAAAACGCTGCTGGCAACATAACACTGGGCCAAGGCGTTTTGGTGCCCGAGGCATGGAATCCAGAGTTGCGCCTCCTCCTGCTCAGCTCCTGGGGAGTCGTATCCATCGAGAAGTTCTCCCCCATGCTAAGCCTTTTGAAATGCTCAGGGCATCTCCCCTCTACCTTGCGCTTGTTTCTGAGGGGCCAGATTGAACCCCCCCAACAAATTCTTGGCCTGAGGCAACTGCCTCATTGCGCCTTAGATGCTTGAGATGCTTGAGATCAGACCTGACTGGCAAATGTACAAACCGATTTCCTTCCATCACAGTTTGAACATCCTTATAATGGTACTCAGCAGGTGGGCCTCCGTGATGCTGATGGGGACTGCCTGTTTGTTTGTTTCATATCCCACTTTTTCCATACATGGCACCCAAGGCAGCTCACAGTAAAAAAAAAGGTAAAGGCTTCCCCTTGACATTAAGTCTAATCGTGTCCCACTCTGGACATGATTAGACTTAATTTCTAAGCCAAAGAGCTGGCTTTGTCCATAGACATCTCCAAGGTCATGAGGTCGGCATGACTGCATGGAGCGCCGTTACCTTCCTGAAGAAGCGGTACCTATTTATTTATTTATTTATTTGTCATGTCAGGGCAACCAGTCAATTGTATTACATTTCTAACAGAACAAAACAAACAAACAGACAAAACACAAAATTTGCAAGTTTGGTAGTTGATTAAATGTCCTTTGACCAGTATCTGGCCACTTGGAGTGCTCTGGTGTTGCTGCAAGAAGGTCCTCCATTGTGCATGTGGCAGGGCTCAGTGCATTGCAGCAGGTGGTCAGTGTTTGCTCTTCTCCACACTCGCATGTCGTGGATTCCACTTTGTAGCCCCATTTCTTAAGATTGGCTCTGCATCTCGTGGTGCCAGAGCGCAGTCTGTTCAGCGCCTTCCAAGTCGCCCAGTCTTCTGTGTGCCCAGGGGGGAGTCTCTCATTTGGTATCAGCCATTGGTCTGGGTTTGAGCCTGCCACTTTTGGACTCTGCTTGCTGAGGTGTTCCAGCGAGTGTCTCTGTAGATCTTAGAAAACTGTTTCTTGATTTAAGTTGTTGACGTGCTGGCTGATACCCAAACAAAGGATGAGCTGGAGATGTCACTGCCTTGGTCCTTTCACTATTGGCTGCTACTTCCCGGAAGATGTCAGGTGGTGCAATACCGGCTAAGCAGTGTAATTTCTCCATTGGTGTAGGGTGCAGACACCCCGTGATAAGGCGGCATGTCTCATTAGAGCCACATCTGCTGTTTCAGTGTGGTGAGATGTGTTCCACACTGGGCATGCGTACTTAGAAGCAGAGTAGCATAGCGCAAGGGCAGATGTCTTCACTGTGTCTGGTTGTGATCCCCAGGTTGTGCCAGTCAGCTTTCATATGATATTGTTTCTAGCGGTACCTATTGATCTACTCACATTTGCATATTTTCAAACTGCTAGGTTGGCAGAAGCTTGGGCTAACAGCGGGAGCTCACCCTGCTCCCCGGATTCGAACTGCCAGCATTTTGGTCAGCAAGTTCAGCAGCTCAGAGGTTTAACCCACTGCATTACCAGGGGCTCTTGAATGAATTTAAAAAATGAATAAGGTTTTTAAATTAATCAGACAGCCATATTAAAACATCATGTCCTGAGTTGCCCTTCACAAAACAGCCCTTAGACAATTTTGAAAGTAAAAGAAAAATGCTTTACTCCAGCAAACACAAAGGATTAGCAAATGCAATTGAAAAGTGCACAAGAAAACAAGACAGTCTTAATCCAGACACAAATTTAAGTCTCTTACAAAGTCACAAAAGAAACACCAGTCTTCCATCAGACAACGGAGGATGAACTAAGCAACAGACACAAAGCAGATTCCATAGAAGTGAAAACAACAGTATCAGGGTCGTTGTTACCAGCGAAAGCTGACTCCTCCTGCTACTGATTTATAGCCCTGACTTCCCCACGCAGGAGGTGCTAGGGTGTCTCCCAATTAGCTCAGCGTTTTTAGCAGCTATTCTGACTGAACGCCACCTGCGCTCTGTCTCTTTTCGTCTCTCTAGAAATGTGGGCACTTTCAAACCCTCATCGTCTGATTCTTCTTTTCCCTCCAATTCCTGAGCACTTCCTTGCTCTCCTTCCTCTTCTGAAGATGAGGAATCCCCAACACATCAGAACTTTATGCCAATATTACGTCATTGTAAAACATGACAGTAACAATGTATTGTCGAAGGCTTTCATGGCCGGAATCACTGGGTTGTTGTAGGTTTTTCCGGGCTATATGGCCATGTTCTAGAGGCATTCTCTCCTGACGTTTCACCTGCATCTATGGCAAGCATCCTCAGTGGTAGTGAGGTCTGTTGGAACTAGGAAAATGGGTTTATATATCTGTGGAATGACCAGGGTGGGGCAAGGACTCTTGTCTACTGGAGCTAGGTGTGACTGTTTCAACATTCACACAGGAGTCTACTGTATACCATGCAGCTATGGACAAGTCTATATAGGGACCACCAAACGTGGCATTTCACAAACACGAATCAAGGAACATGAAAGGCACTGCAGACTACTTCAACCAGAGAAGTCAGCCGTAGCAGAGCACCTGATGAACCAACCTGGACACAGCATATTATTTGAGAACACAGAAATGCTGGACCACTCTCACAACCACCATGTCAGACTACACAGAGAAGCCTCTGAAATCCACAAGCATGTGGACAATTTCAACAGAAAGGAGGAAACCATGAAAATGAACAAAATCTGGCTACCAGTATTTAAAAACTCTAAAGTTAGAATAGCAGAACAACAGAGAGGGAAAAAATAAGGACATCTAATCACCTCTCAACAAAAGATTGCCCTAGGCACTGCCAAGCCATCAAATGCTAATTAAGGTGGTCAGTTGAAACATTCACACCTAGCTCCAGCAGACAAGAGTCCTTGCCCCACCCTGGTCATTCCACAGATAAATAAACCCATTTTCCTACTTCCAACAGACCTCACTACCTCTGAGGATGCTTGCCATAGATGCAGGCGAAACGTCAGGAGAAAATGCCTCTAGAACATGGCCATATAGCCCAGAAAAACCTACAACAACCCAATGACAGTAACACTCAAAGTAAAACACACTTGCCCCATTGAAATGCCTTGCTGGGCGCCTGTTCAATTCAGTGGCAGAAGAGTGACTTCTGACTCAGAGTTGGATTCTATTCCAAGTAGGATTGGGATTAGGATTAAGGATATTTCTTGGATGGGAGACCACTAATGAATGCTGTAGGCAATTTTTTTGAGGAAGAAACGGGCAGAACCACCCCTCAGTATTCCTTGATGAAGAAAACCCTAGGAAATGTGTGGTGTCACTCTAAGTCGACAGGCAGCGTCAAGACTCGTGCGCATGTATTATATTGCTTTAGGGACTGCTGCTGTTTTAATATTTGGTGTGAAAGCCATCTCAAGAGACCTATAAAACCTTGTAATTTTGGATTTTTAATACCGGTTTTATTTGAAAATCCCCCACATGTAATGAATACAATAAAGGTATCCTTCTTCTGAATCCCAGCAGCTTCATCGCCCACAGCAGAGAGATTTTCTGGTCTCTCCCTGCGTGACCTCGGGACACCTAGCCACAGACTATGGGCTGATATTATGGGTAGCAAGAGTGCTGCAAACTTGGTGTGGCAGGGTCCCAACTTCCTGCTGAGATGTGATGCTATTCAAAGGTTCCAGTTCCATAACGTACCTTCCCCCAGCTGGCAAATCCCAGATGGGTCCCAATGGCAGGGCACATCAAAAAGGGAATGAGTGGCCATAACACAAGCCAACAAGTATTTTTCATCTAAGATTTTAGATCATTCTTATAGAGTCTTTTTTTGCGCAGAATTCAGATCTGTCTTTATTTTTTTCTCTGTTACATGTTGTTTTTGCAATGAGGCTAATCAATTAATGCATTTATGCACATATCAATAGAATTTAATTGATATCAGCACGTAAATGCATTAATTATTCAATTAGCCTAATCGCAAAAAGGGCACATGGTAGAGAAAAGACAAACACAGATCGGAATTCAGCGCAAAAGAATTCTATAAGAATGACACAAAATTATATCTGATGAAAATACTTGTCAGCTTGTGTTACATGAATATGGTGTGAAATGTGCAGACTTTACAGTAGTGCGCTGTAATGTACCATTTGTTATATTTTAAAAAGTTGACATGATGGGAAAAAATAAAGACATATTTAAAATCAGCATAAAATTGATTTAAACCAGTGTTTCTCAACCTGGGGGTCAAGACCCATGGGGGGTAGCCAGGGGGTGTCAGAGGGGTCACCAAAGACCATCGAAAAACACATTCATGGGGTTCTATGTGGGAAGTTTGGCTCAAGTCTATCATTGGTGAGGTTCAGAACGCTCTTAGATTATAGGTGAACTATAAATCCCAGCAACTAAAACTCCCAAGGTCTATTTTCCCCAAACTCAGGCAGTGTTCACCTTTGGGCATATTGAGTATTTATACCAAGTTGGTCCAGATCCATCACTGTTTAAGTCCACAGTGCTCTCTGGATGTAGATGAACTACAACTCCAAAACTCAAGGTCAGTGCCCACCAAACCCTTCTAGTATTTTCTGTTGGTCATGGGAGTTCCAAGTTTGGTTCAATTTCATCCTTGGTGGAGTTCAGAATGTTCTTTGATTGTAGTTGAACAATAAATCCCAGCAACCACAACTTCCAAATGACAAAACCAACCCCCTCCCAACCCCACCATTATTCAAATTTGGGCATATCGGGTATTTGTGCCAAATTTGGTCCAGTGAATGAAAATACATCCTGCATATTGGATTCATAAGAGTAGCAAAATTCCAGTTATGAAGTAGCAACAGAAATAATGTTATGGTTGGGGGTCACCACAACATGAAGATCAGTATTAAGGGGTCGCGGCATTAGGAAGGCTGAGAAACACTGATTTAAACAGTGCTACTCTCATTTCTCATTATTACAAAAAGTTTGATTTTCTTGGCTTGTGTAATTTTGGTTAACATTGGAATACAAAAGAGTATTGCAATTAGAATGGGATGGCTTTGGAAACATGCTCATCTTTGGTATGACGAAATAAAAGCAGATTTCAAGTTTTAACGATCACATAATTTGGAGATCACTATTGCAAGTGTAGATTGAGTAATAAGAACCGATGTTGTTCAGTGATGCCACTGTGGTATTCTCCCCATGAAGCTTTGTTTAGAGGAGAGATTTCTTTGGAAGGAAAATGATTGAATTACCAAGATTAATATTGGATAATGATCAATACAGGGAGGAGTTATGGTAATGGCAGGGGGAGCGTGTCCCAAAACAGTGGTTTGCCCAGAGGCATATCACGGCGTGCCCCTCCACCCCTGCTATCCTTTTCCCCTTCCCATAACAGGATTCACAAATCCGGCGCATCTTTGGCACCATGATCAATCAGAAGCTGCAGAATTTTGACGAGGCGGTGAAACCCATCGGCAACGTCATCACCGAGGCCACGATGGAGCTCTACAACAGCGTTGTCCAGAAGTTCTTGCCAACCCCGGCCAAGATCCACTACCTCTTCAACCTGCGTGACATTTCCAAGGTATGAGGCCTGTTTGGAGGCCAGAGGTTAAGAAACTGTCCTCCAAGCCAGGGCAGGTGCATGGTAGGAGCTACTGTGGAGGGCTTCCTTCTCAGGGATTGCACACTCACTGGGCGGTCTTTCCTCCTTCCCTCTGGGATTGATGCAGTTCAGGATACAAAGAGGGGGAGCAGCTCAGCCACAAGTTCCAGACTCATTCTGCCTCAGGCAAGGAAGCCAGGCCTTGTTAGTTCTTCAGCTGAGAGTTAGGGAAGCTTTTCTCTTTTCCCCCTCTGCCTTCCCCTTGGTGCTGTGGCTTCCTCAGAATCAAAAACTACATTTCCCCTCTCTTTCCCCCTTTTCATGCGTTTTGGAACTGTGTTGAGGTCCAGAGGACTGTGTCTGTGTCAGTGCATGTGTGACTGTTTCAACACTCTGTGGATACTGTGATTCAAAAGAAGCCATTGGCTATGGTGGCTGTGGCTATTTGTTTATCGCAGGGGTCCTCAGACTAATGGATGGGGGGCCGGATATGGTCTCCAAGGTCATTTACCCAGCCCTCGCTCAGGGTCAACCTAAGTCTAAAATGACTTGAAAGCACACAACAACAGCAACAATCCTATCTCATCAGCCAAAAGCAGGCCCACACTTCCCACTGAAATACGAATAAGTTTATATTTGTTTAAATTGTTCTTCATTTTAATTATGGTATTGTTTTTAAGTGTTTTTTGCACTATAAATAAGATATGTACAGTGTACATAGGAATTCATTCATGTTTTTTTTTTTTCAAATTATAATCTGGCCCTCCAACAGTTCAAGGGACTGTGACCTGGCCTTCTGTTTAAAATGTTTGAGGGCCCCTGCAATAGAGTCTCCCTCCAACAGTTCGAGGGACTGTGACCTGGCCCTTTGTTTAAAGAGTTTGAGGACCCCTGATTTATTGTGTCAGAAGTGGACACAATAAATGTCTAGGGTACAGTTGTAATGTATTTAAAGTTTTAAAACCTTGGCATGCTGCTAAATGTCCTTTAACCAGAAGCTGGCTACTTGGAGTGCCTCTGGTGTCGCTCTGAGAAGGTCCTCCACTTGCATGTGGCAGGGCTCAGGCTGCATTACAGTAGGAGGTCTGTGGTTTGCTCTTCTCCACACCCGCATGTCATGGACTCCACTTTGTGGCCCTGTTTCTTAAGGTTGGCTCTGCATCTTGTGGAGCCAGAGCGCAGTCTGTTCAACACCTTTCAAGTCGCCCAGTCTTCTGTGTGCCCAGGAGGAAATCTCTCATCTGATATCAGCTATGGCTTGAGGTTCTGGGTTTTAAACTGCCACTTTTGGACTCTCGCTTGCTGAGGTGTTTCTGCAAGTATCTTTGTAGATCTTAGAAAACTTTTTCTTGATTTAAGGCACTGGTGTGCTGGCTGATACCCAAACAGGGAATGGGCCAGAGAGGTCAATGCCTTGGTCCTTCCATTACTGGCTGCTACTTCCCAATGGATGTCAGGTGGTACAATACTGGCTAAACAGTATAATTTCTCCAGCGGTGTTGGGTGTAGGCATCCTGTGATAATGCGGCATGTCTCATTAAGAGCCACATCCACAGTTTTAACGTGGTGAGATGTGTTCCACACTTGGCATGCGTACACAGTAGCAGAGTAGGGAAACACAAGGGCAGATGTCTTCACTGTCTGGCTGCAATCCCTAGGTTGTGGATGATAGGTGTTGTAGTTAAGCATATCTGGGAGGCACCAGGTGCAAGGAGGAGATTCTGAGTGTCATTTTTTTTTGCGGATGGCGATCCCCTCTGTCAACAGCTAAGATATAATTTTAGAAGTTTGGGTCTGTATTTTTTATTTAGGTATGTACATGTAAATATTCAGCTGTTGTATCCTTGCATGTATGAATGAATTGGTCTCATAGCCTTTCTCCCTGCTGTGGGAGAAAATGAGTATTTCTGTGAGGTTCCCACTCGATATTCACACATCCTGAAGCATTTCAGGAAATTATTCTGCACAGTTTTTTGGGCAACAATGGTGTATTTTAATAGAAAAATGATTCACAATTGCTCACAAAAACAGTTTCCAGCTGATCATATTTTTGTGCACACTACACTCTTAGTTTTTTGTATGTAAAAAGAAAAAACAACTCAGAAATCTTGCACACAAAATTGTGGATCTCTGGAAGCAATGGGGTTTTTGCATGGAAAGGATGTTTTTCTTCAAAGCCACCCTTGTATTCGGGTTTATTTATCGTGTCAGAGGCAACCAGACAATTGTATTACATTTCTAACAGAACAAAACAAACAAACAGATAAAAAAGCACAAAGTTTGCAAACTTGGTAGTTGATTAAATGTCCTTTGACCAGTATCTGGCCCCTTGGAGTGCCTCTGGTGTTGCTGCAAGAAGGTCCTCCATTGTGCATGTGGCAGGGCTCAGGTTACATTGCAGCAGGTGGTCAGTGGTTTGCTCTTCTCCACACTCGCATGTCGTGGATTCCACTTTGTAGCCCCATTTCTTGAGGTTGGCTCTGCATCTCGTGGTGCCAGACCGCAGTCTGTTCAGCGCCCACCAAGTCGCCCAGTCTTCTGTGTGCCCAGGAGTCTCTCATCTGGTATCAGTCACTCGTTGAGGTTCTGGGTTTGAGCCTGCCATTTTTGGACTCTCGCTTGCTGAGGTGTTCCAGCGAGTGTCTCTGTAGATCTTAGAAAACTATGTCTTGGATTAAGTCGTTGACGTGCTGGCTGATACCCAAACAAGGGATGGGCTGGAGATGTCTCTGCCTTGGCCCTTTCACTATTGGCTGCTACTTCCCGGCGGATATATTCGGGTAAAAACTTGTATGAAACACATGAACTGCAAGTACCAAATGAAACCTGCATAAAATCCTCCCTTCTGCATTATGCTTGTTGTGTGTTTTCCTGGTTGTCAGGAATCCCATTTTTCAGGTGAGGAATGACCAACAGTGCCTATTCTTTGCACTCCTATTACATTCTGCCTGACTGGGCATAGGATCAGAGGAAGATTGGGTCCACTAAGTGCTAACTGTGGCACTTATATTGTTAACATGAGCCACTAGGGAAAAAAGCAACACATTGATGGTCTTGCAAACATTATTTATTTATTATTTATTTATTTACTTTACTTATATACCGCTGTTCTCAGCCCGAAGGCGACTCACAGCGGTTCACAACAAATACGAACAGCAAAAATTCAGTGCTACAGTATAGAACAGTTAACAACCTAACACATTACACAATTAATAAACAGTTACTACAATACCCATTCACTGTCGTCTCGTCATCAAAAACATGTTCCAGATTCATCATCCATTGTTCCATTCCAGTGTTCATTAACCAATCATTGCACTAATTATTCGAACGCCTGCTCAAACAGCCAGGTCTTCACTTTTTTGCGGAATACCATTAGAGATGGTGCTAGTCTAATGTCCGTAGGAAGGGCGTTCCACAGCCGAGGAGCCACCACCGAGAAGGCCCTATCTCTCGTCCCCGCCAGCCGAGCTTGAGAAGCAGGCGGGATCGAGAGCAGGGCCTCCCCGGAAGATCTCAAAGTCCTGGTGGGTTCATAGGCAGAGATGCGGTCAGATAGGTAGCTTGGGCCAGAACCATTTAGGGCTTTAAAGGCCAACGCCAGCACTTTGAATTCAGCCCGGTAGCAGATCGGTAGCCAGTGGAGTTGGCGCAACAGGGGGGTTGTATGCTCCCTGCGCTCCGCTCCTGTTAAAATCATTATGTTCAAATAAAAAAGCAATGCGCTGAAGAATGTGTACGCCTGTGTCCCTTTGCAGTCAGAGAACTCCGATGCCTGTGCTTTTTCAGCTGCCATCAGACAAGGGTTAACGAAGAGTATTTGGGGGTGTTTTTCAAATGAATGTTCCTCCATGTGAGCCCAAGGGCTGGGAACATTAGGATTCCAGGCGAGCGCATCTCCTTCCCGCCAGTGCTGTTGCAGAGCTGACATCAAATGGGCCCAGCAACTTTGGAGAGAGTTTGAAGATATCAAAAGCCACTGAACGTTTGTCCCAACCCGAGCCCTGGAGCTGTCCTCGCGCACGTCAAATGCCAGGAGGTTACATGTGAGTGATGCTAGTTCTGGTGCCAGCCTCACCGTTCTCACACTGTGAAAAAGAGTATCAAGCCAGAAAATGGAAGGGGGAGGTAAAGGCGGGCGGCAAGGGGTCCTTGTTCTTGGGCCATCAGCCATTCCGGTTGGGAGAGTCTGGAAACTGTACTCCAAAACAGCCCTGCTGCTCCCAAACTGGCTTTGACAAACTGCCCAGGGCTGCTTCGGAAGGGCCTTTCTAGCGCGAGGGCAAAGAAGTTGCAAATTGAGTCCCAGCCTCCATTAAAAGTCTTCATATCCTTCCCTTTTTAAGCACACCAAGTAGTTGGCTCTTCAGGTAGCCTGAGGTAGCGGTCCAAAACATGAGTGATTATTATTAGAGTGCATTCAGTGGTTAGAGATCTTGATTTAAGGAGCAAACACTCCAATGAATTGGAGAAAGAAATTAAGCTTCATTGTAAAATGGGGAAATCACGCAGGGTGTTGATCTCACCTAGTGTTGTCGTTCAACCTGAGATTGCGTCTGAAGTAAATGGAGATTATGGTTTTTCTGGGCCCATGTCTGATGTCAATGGGGGGGTGATGATTTTCCTGGGTCTGAGTTGTCAAGGAGACACTGATGATATAGGTTTTTTATTGATCTTATTATGGTTTTATATCATATGCTAAGGTTTACCTGTCCGAACGGATTCTCCCCTACGAACCATGAAGGTCTTTAAGATCTTCGGGGGGGGGGGGGGGGCTGCTCTCGATCCCACCACTGTCACAATCGTGGTTGGTGGGGATGAGAGACAGGGCCTTCTCAATGGTGGCTCCCCGGCTTTGGAACTCCCTCCCACAGGAGATTAGAACCGCTCCCTCCCTCCTGACGCTCAGGAAGCTAACAAAGACTTGGATATGGAATGCGGCCTTTGATAACTGAGTCAACTTTGGTCCACATGGAAGGAGAATGAATAACTGTGAATTATGACCAGGAATGCTTTGACGACGTGGCTATATAAGTGTGATGATGACGATGTTGTATTGTAATATGTTTTTAATTGTGTAATGATGATGCATTGTGTGGTTTATATTTTTGTATATGAACACATGTTGTGAACCGGATCTGAGTCCCTCTTGTAGGTGAGAAGATCGGTATAGAAAATTTTAAAATAAATAAATAAATAAATAAAATTTTAATTACATTTTACGGTATTTCTCAGCCTTTGGGCTGAGAAAGGCGGTATACAAATATACAAAAAGGCGGTATACAAATATAGTAAATAAATAAGTCCTGGCCTTATTGAAAGGCCTGGTTCTGGCCTTGCTGAGAGGCCTGAGGTTTCTCATGAACAGAGTGCTTCTCCTGTAGATTCCCAAGGTCAAATTCCTGAAAGGAGCTCACAGCAACCTTTCTCTGAGAAACTGTCTTCTGAGGTGCAGAAGTTAATGAGATCAAAGCTAGAATGCAAGACTTTTGTAAACTAAGGGAAAGTTCTCAAGCTTGCCAAATCATTATCTGGTTGTAAAGGCAAATGGAATGTTTTCCTTTCGTTTCAAGAGACAGTAAAGGCTTTATATGAGATGGGGAAAGGATTTTAGCTCAGTCTAGTCAACATTGAATTTTCACGACCATCTTTTTTCCAAGTAGATTTCTAGCATCATGTTTCAAGTTTTGCCAGGTTCTTGTTCTGGGTATTGGATCTCTATGCTGTCTTGTTGTTTTGGATTTTGCATCCTTGGATCTTGTGTTTTTACCTTTTTATCTTGAAGTTCATGGACTATTTGTTACCTTTGGAATATACTGTTTTGGACTATACTGTTTCCATCATTTTATTGCTTGGATTTCATATATTCTTCAATAAACTGCTTGCTGGTTTTACAATACTGGCGTGGTGTTTAAGGACAGAGGTATTCCTGCTCTGGGATACAACACCTAGCTACATCTTGGAAGGCTGAGAGGGGAATCATGGGAAGAAGAAAGGGTTGAGAAAAAGCCCTAAGAGTATCAGTTCACATCACAGAGGGTTCAGGATAGATGACAGGCAGAGAAAGGGAGGTCACTCAAACTATCTAACCCAGTAGTTCTCAACCTGTGGGTCCCCAAGTGTTTTGGCCTACAACTCCCAGAAATCCCAGCCAGTTTACCAGCTGTTAGGATTTCTGGGAGATGAAGGCAAAAACATCTGGGGACCCACAGGCTGAGAACCACTGATCTAACCCTATTACTGCTATTCACTGTGAGACATCCTTCAGTGGTTGTATGTCCAACAACGATGGTCCTCCTTATGACAGAAGGGTAGGCAGGTACAGTCATGCTCTTTGCCTTCAGAGCCTTATACAACACAACACCACCTGTCTTAGTGGATCCATGGATACAATAGTTCTGGTTGGCAATCTGTTGACTCCATGCTGATTCTGTTTCTCCTTTTGCTCAGGTGTTTCAAGGCATGCTTCGGGCCCACAAGGACTTCCATGATACCAAGCCCAGCTTGACACGCCTATGGATTCATGAGTGCTTCAGGTAAAGGCATCATGAAGGTTTCTTTCTGCTGTTCCAGGTGGATGGGCCTTGGAGCATCCTTGGGGTAGTGGAGTGAAGGGTGGCTGGCTTTGAAACAGAGGCCCGTGTATAGAAACAGAGTCCCTGTGGCCATCACCTTGTGTGGGTAAAGAAATATAACATAAGATCCACCTCTTCTCAGCCTCCTTACATTCTGTTCCTCGTGGTAGTTGGACACCAGGAGTCCTCAGGAGAAACTTGGAAAGGAAACTCTCAAAAGGCAATAGAAAGAAACTACAAGGGAGAGTCTCAAGGCACTTGTGGGATTGGAGGAGAGGGAGAAACTGAAGCTTAGCTACATCAACCTGTCTGTTGGTGGGCCTGGTCATGGGTTATGGATGTCCTATAGAGAAAGGCAGGCTGCTCATAGGTAGACCTTGTTTCTCACAAGAGCCCTTCTCTTTCTTTGGGGCTTTAAGGAATTAGCTTGTCTTCCATGGGGCTGGGCCCACACAGAGGCCACTGGAGGTGTGTATATTGAAAAGTGACCCTATAAGCCTCAGAACACATGGTTTCTTTCTCCTCTACTTCAGGGTTTTCTCTGACCGCCTGGTGGATGCTTCAGACATGGAGACCTTTGTGGTCCTCCTGAGCGAGAAGTTGGGATCGTTCTTTGACCTGACCTTGCACAATCTCTGCCCCAACAAGCGCTCCCCCATCTTTGGTTTGTATCTGTGGCTCTTATTTTTCTGGGGGTTTTTAAGGATTTGTGTCCTTTTCTACATATGGCACTCACAGCCTAATCATCATATACAAAATATACAGAATACTTCTGTCCTTGTTTGGAATGTAATTGACCGAAGGTCAAAAATATGACTGTAACTGTGAATGCAAGTCTTCTTAAGCATATCTCACCAGCTCCTGTTCAAGAAGGTTGGGAGTTGCAGGATACCTTTTGGCTTGTCTGGTTTTGAAGCAATGGGTATCAAATCCTGGATGGTCAGAGCACTGGGAGGCTGGAAGTGAGGTTCCCCAAAGACATGGAGTATCTACTCTCTCCAGGGGACTTCATGCGCAATGTGTACGAAGACCTGTCAGACATGAACATCCTGAAGGCAGAGATGGAGCGTGCGCTGGAGGAGTACAACCGAACGCCAGGGATGGTGCCCATGAGACTGGTGCTTTTCCGTGATGCCATTGAGCACAGTGAGTGTATGGAGTTGCAATCCTGGGTGGTGCCAGGATGGTTTCCACTTGGGTGGGAAACAGCTTGATCCAGAAACAAATCGCAATATATTTGCTGCCAGTATCCTTGCAAGTGTACAGCTCCTAGTGCCACCAGTCAAAATGATTTGACCTGTCCCTCCACAGATTGCCCATTGCAAGACAAAAAATTGAAGAAGCAATGGGAAAATGTGGAAGGGTTGTGAAGGGAAGGCAAATATAAAACTAAGTGTATGAGGTGCAGGTTTGGAAGCTCTGCTTCTGATGGGCTACAACTTGGAGTTGCCCTCAGCTAGTATGAACGTTGTGCTGGTGAGTAGTCTTATTAACTACCAGCAGGTGATGGATAGCTGTTTCTGGGCAAGACAGGAGGGGGAGGCTCTCCTCCGATCCCAATTTCTATGATAATTAAAATACCAAGTGTGATGGCATGCATGTTGATTTATGGTGGGCAGGGGGAACCGGTATTGGAGACCAAGATATTTTTCTTCTTCCTTTCCAATGCAGTCACATTTCTGAGCCACCCTTGCATCTCGTTTCTGTCACAGGACTGAGAGAAAGCTGTTGAGTGAGTGTGCTTATTAACAAAAGACCCTCCTCATAAATGCACAGCAGAGTAACTTACCAGCAGTGGTGTAACCCAGCACCAATAGCCCAAAGTGATAAAAGAATAAAAACACACAGACCCATGTTATCTCTTCCATAAGAGGATTTTCTTTATAGCAAAATAATATGGTTGGACTATTTACAGCAACAAGGTTTCCATGACATAAATAAAGATCTACCTTCACACTGGAGCTTCGCACACAAGGCATTCTCATACTGAGGCTTACCTCACACACTAAGGCCTACCTCACACAGAGGCTTCTCTCACAGACTAAGGCCTACCTCACACTGTGAGACCTTCTCACAAGCTGAGACCTTTCTCCCACTGAGGCAAACTCACACAGAGGCCTACTACGCTACAGACACAGCTGCTCATATAGAGTTGCAGTTTTCGCTGTCATTGCATCCATTTAACCCTTTCAGTACTAGACTCACATTTTTGTAATTAAAATTATCTAGTTAATTTTTAATATTTCTGACACATTAGCCATGGGGTCTGTGGTATTCTGGGTACTGTAGTTAAAAATAAGCTCTGGTTATTGCATAACAAGGCTATTGTTTGGAAGCCCACCCAAAAGGGGTCTGCTGCCAAATTGTCTCTGTTGTGACAGCCTGGCCTTTGCTTTCCCACAGTAACTCGCATTGTCCGGGTGATCAGTCAGCCCCGAGGGAACATGCTGCTGGTAGGCATTGGAGGCAGTGGCCGCCAGAGCTTGGCACGCCTGGCCTCCTCCATTTGCGAGTACTACACCTTCCAGATCGAGATCTCCCGGCAGTACCGGAAACAAGAGTTCCGGGAAGGTGAGGACATGCTCCTCCTCGAACTCTAGGGACTGGGTTGCAGGCCTAGGCCCATGTGGCTTTGTGGCTGTGCCTTTGAGTGGACCTCACTCTTTTTTGCCACAGATATCAAGAAGCTCTACCGCCAGACAGGCATAGACCAAAAGCCCACCACCTTCCTCTTTGTGGACACCCAGATTGCAGATGAATGCTTCCTGGAGGACATCAACAATATCCTCAGCTCTGGGGAGGTGCCCAACCTTTACAAGCCAGATGAATTTGAGGAGGTGCGTACACTTTGGTGTTTCTGGAAAGATTGTGCTGGTGGTGAACCAGGAAGCAGAAAAGCACGGATTCCTCTGTGTCCCAACTTCATGCCATTCCTGGATTTTGTCTCCTTTCAGTTATTCTAAATGCCATCCCTTTGCCTTAGATGTTTGGAAAGATTTCTTTTTATATAAGTGTGGCTGGGGGAATTCAACGTTCTGAAAAATTGACTTTTCCCTTTCCAAGTTCTACCAAGAATCAATTTTAACAAAGCAGAACAAAGCTTTGTTTACAAAGCTTTCAGATCCACAAAACCTTGTTTGTGGATCTAAAAGCCAGGCCCAGAGGCCTAGGAAGAGGGGGCCCTGTTACTCCTGTGATTCTCCCTGGAACCAAAGTTCATCTGTGCTGGCCTTGGGAGTTGTAGTCCCAACTCTAAAGCCTCTTTTCCACATCAGGGCTAAGTTCTGGGAAACTTGAAGAAATGGATAAGCAGCACACCTTGGAGATGGGCAGAGTTCCTGAAACTCTATAGTGACAGTGGACATCCCCGCTGTGTATCTAAGCTTAGGAAAGCAACTTTGAGCCTTCCCTCCCCTCTTCTCCCAGTATTTCTGCTTCCCTTAAGACAGTGTTTCTCAACCTTCTCAATGCTGTGACCCCTTAATCCATTTCCTCATGTTGTGGTGACCCCCAACCATAACATTATGTTCAGTGCTACTTCACAACTGTCATTTTGCTACCGTTATGAATCGTCATGTAAATATCTGATAGGCAGGATGTATTTTCATTCACTGGACCAAATTTGGCACAAATACCCAATACACCCAAATTTGAATACTGGTGGGTTTGTGGGGGGGGGGGGGGGGGGGGGGGGGGGGGGGGGGGGTTACTTTGTCATTTGGGAGTTGTAGTTGCTTGGATTTATAGTTCACCTTCAATCAAATAGCATTCAGAACTCCACCCGCAATGGAATTGAACCAACCTTGGCACACAGAATTCCCATGACCAACAGAAAATACTGGAAGAGTTTGGTGGGCATTGGCCTTGAGTTTTGGAGTTGTAGTTCACCTACATCCAGAGGACTCAAGCAATGATGGATCTGGACCAAACTTGGCATGAATACTCAATATGCCCAAATGGGAACACTGGTGGAGTTTGGGGAAAATGGGATTTATAGTCTACTGACAATCAAAGAGCATTCTGAACCCAACCAACAATAGAATTGGGCTCAACTTCCCACACAGAGCCCCAACAACCAACAGAAAATGCTGTGTTTTGTGATAGTCTTTGGCAACCCCTCTGACACACCCTCGCAACCCCCCAAGGGGTCCCGACCCCCAAGTTGAGAAACGCTGCCTTTAGACATTAGAGGTGGAAGCTACCTTTTCTTGAGTCAGATCCATGCCCAGTCTAGCTCATTGTAGGCCTCATTTGTTGACAATCCCTTCCCAAGTCTTCTATCAAAAGGAGGACTTTGACACCCTTCCTTCCTTCCTTCCTTCCTTCCTTCCTTCTCAGTAGTTCACAACCTTTTATTGATCAGGGACCACTTGGTCAGGGACCACTCTCCCCACATTAGTACCAAAAGGGTTACAAATCGGTTTTTGGTCAACTTTAGATTCCGTTTGGTTATTTGGGGTGCTGATTTAGAAAATTGCACTGGATAAACCACATCAGCTCTAGTTTCTGATACAGAACATATGCCATCCAGTAGTCACCATCTGTTCACCCACAGAAAACCAAATTTAATAAGCATCAGCACTATAATAGGGTTTTGCGAGACTAGTCACTCTTGTTGCAACAGTGTAGTAGCAGTGAGGCTGCGGACCATATTTTAGTTCTTGCAGACCACTGGTGTTCCACGGACCAGAGATTGGGAACCACTGCTCTAACTGGATAAGCCAAGGTTTGAGCCTGGAACCTTGTGGATGCTCTCCCAGGAAGCCTCAGCTTTTCCTGGGTGCTATGTGGCACTACAGATACCATTGAACTGCATTTGCCAGCATTTTTGCCCTTATGTTGCCAATAGCTTTGGGGAGCTGTAATTCAACGGCATTTGGAGGACCGTAATGTTTCTGTGTTCAAGCCACCTCTGTGGCCAACTCTTCCTGCTTCTTTGTCTGTGGGATAGGAAGACCTGTGGGCACCCCACCCAGAATATGGAGTTGCCCCTTATTGCCTCACGCCAGCCTTTGGTTCTGCCTCACCATTCTCTCTTTAAGGAGCATTCGAACGCAGTGTGGCCTCTTTTGCCCTGATGCTCCTTTTGTCTCTCCAGATCCAAAACAATATCATTGATGGGGCTCGGGCGGAGGGCATCCAGGAGAGCCTCGACAGCCTCTTTGCCTACCTGATTGAACGGGTGCGGAATAACCTGCATGTGGTGCTGTGCCTGAGCCCCGTTGGGGATCCTTTCAGGTAAGAAGAAGGGTGGCACAAAGGGCGGCTGTCTAGACAGGGAAGGCAGAGGCTCCTGCTTGGAGCAACACTGACCCCTGGCGGGCAAGAGCAGAGAGGCCATTGACAGAATGGTACTGATCTCGTAGGAAACTGAGAAAATGAGCCTGTGCAAAGTCCTTGGGCTAACCAGAGTTGCAAAAGGTAAAACAAAAAATAGGGATCCTATCACATTGGGGAATACTCCATTTATATCAGTATGAATCCCGTATTTTTTTTAAGGACTGGATGCATACCGTCTTCAGGTGGAAGCCATACTTATCCCATTGCACACAATTCTTGCAATTTGAAAATACTGCACTTTGACTCATCACACTACAGAAGTTTAGCTTCTCCTAATCCATTTGCATCACTTTATTATTATTATTATTATTATTATTATTATTATTATTATTATTTGATACACAACAGATTAATACACAGCAAACAAGATAACTATGCTGTTGTATTGGATCACACATCGGACACTTCCCAAGTGTCTAGGATTGTGTGATGTATCGGTGAATAATGCATGCAGTAAGGTGGCCTTTTGCAGCTGGAAGATGGTAATTTTGTCAGCACCGATTGTGTTTAAGTGCAGGCCAAGGTCTTTAGGCACTGCACCCAGTGTACCGATCACCACTGGGACCACCTTGACTGGCTTGTGCCACAGTCTTTGTAGTTCAATCTTTAAATCCTCATATCGTGTCAGCTTTTCCAGTTGCTTCTCTTCAATCCTGCTGTCGCCTGGGATTGCAACATCAACAATCCATACTTTAGGTTCTTGTAGGTTTTTTCGAGCTATATGGCCATGTTCTAGAGGCATTTTCTCCTGACGTTTTGCCTGCATCTATGGCAAGCATCCTAAGAGGTAGTGAGGTCTGTTGGAATTAGGAAAATGGGTTTATATATCTGTGGAATTACTGGGGTGGGGCAAAGAGCTCTTCTCTGCTGGAGCTGAGTGTGAATGTTTCAACTGACCACCTTCATTAGCATTTGAAGGCCTGGCTGAGGGTGGCACAAAGGTGGCACATACTTTGTTTTTTAACACGATCATGAGGCCAGGAGTATTGAGCCCCAAAACTATTATTATTATTATTATTATTATTATTATTATTATTATTATTATTATATTTTAATATAATTTTTATTTATTAAAATCAAAAAATTGCAATAATTTAAAATAGCAAGGTGGGATAAAAGAGGAAATCAGGAAGAAAAAGTTATATCAAAAGAAAAAAAAGGGAAATTATTTTCAAATATTGTGCAATGACATAGCCTGGAAATCCCAAACTACTTGAGATTTTAACAAATGGAATGCATACTGATTTATCATCATACATAAAAACAGTTTCATATCAGAAGCATATTAAATTTTTAAAACGTGATTAGAATCCTGTGTGCAATTACTCAATTTCTCCAAGATTTTGTAGATTCCAACACATTACAGATAGAATGGGACAAATGTCATGTGATAGGACCCCCTTGGAATCCCATTCAAAGAGTCTCAGAAACAGAATATGACCCAAGGTGATAAGGATTTGTGAGAGAACTGGGAAGATGTTGGGTGCACACAGCGCATCAAGGGCTCTCTCCTTTGCCGTAGGAACTGGATCCGCCAGTACCCTGCCCTGGTGAACTGTACCACCATAGACTGGTTCTCTGAATGGCCCAAGGAAGCTCTGCTGGAGGTGGCAGAGAAGTACCTGGAGGGCGTGGACCTAGGAACGGTGGAACGGGGGAGCCTGGATACGGTGAGGGGCTTCGAGAGCTTTGCTGCAAAGCCTTTGAGGGCGGCAATAGCCCAACTTTGATAATCCCTTCTTCCTTCTGCCTAGATCCATAAGCGGGTGGCTAGAATCTTTGTCACCATGCACTGGTCCGTGGCCCGGTTCTCGCAGAAGATGATGCTGGAGATCAGGCGCCATAATTACGTCACCCCCACCAACTACCTGGAGCTGGTCTCTGGCTACAAGAAGTATGTGGTTCTTTTTAAGGGGTCTGCAGGGAAGTGTCCCAAAAGAATTCTACAGAACCATCCCAGGAGGAGAAGGGGGCCCTTTGGCTTGGAGGGCTATGGGAGATTCTGCAAAGTAGTTTTATATCTAGACATGGTCCTGAGATCACTTTCATCACCCTGACCAGGCTTTGCAAACTTCCGTCCTCTATGTGTTTTGGACTTTAACCCCCACAATTGCACAGTTGGTAAGATGCTAGTGTTGGGGAATCTGAGCTGTTAGGCTCAAAAATAACCCTCAGTTGGGCTGATTCCACCATCAATAGAGAAGAGTACCAGAAGTAAACTCCATAACCAGCAGAAATTTACATGGGCTGAGCAGGGATAAGCTTCTATTCCTTAGGATGGCACAGGATTGCAGAGTCAGAACTTAAGGTTCAAAAATATTTATTGAAGTAAAACGTTGGGTATGAAAGGCACAGTGATGCTGTGTTTTTAATCACCTCTACTTGCAGAATTATGGCTCCTTGGTGGCACAGTGGGTTAAACCACTGAGCTGCTGAACTTGCTGACCAAAAGGTTGGTGGTTCAAATCCGGGGAGTGGGGTGAACACCCTCTGTTAGCCCCAGGTTCTGCCAACCTAGCAGTTCAAAACATTCAAATGTGAGTAGATAAATAGGTACTGCTTCTGCGGGAAGGTAATGGCGCTTCATGCAGTCATGCCAGTGGCAACATGACCTTGGAGGTGTCTACAGACAATGCCAACTCTTCGGCTTAGAAATGGAGATGAGCACCACTCTCCAGAGTTGGACACGACTAGAGTTAATGTCAGGGGAGACATTCACCTTTAATAATAAAAATAAACTTTTATTTGTAATACCGCTCTATCTCCTCGAGGGGACTCAGGACGGTTTCCAGCATAGGTAAAGCATTGCAATTACCAACACAATAACATGCAAAATAATCATTATAAAACATAGAAATAATACTATATAACAGTCGTACATATTTAAAATTAAAAGCCAGTTAGTTCAGCTTCCAATGGCCAGAATTGCAGAGTGGGCCTCGACGACTATGAGAGGGCTGGGCTAGTACAATGAAGTAGACTAAGGCCCAGGGAGTGGGTCAAGTACAAGCATGGTCCTGCCTGATGGTCGGGGTGGGTCCTGGAACTATTCATTTCCAAGGCTTGCTGCATAACCACAAGAGGGCTGGGCCAACGGGGAAAACATAGGGCCGGGGAAGAGGGTAAAGTGCATAACAAGGGCCCCCTAACTAATGGCCAGGGTGATGCCTTGGACTCTTCATTTCCAGGACCTGCTGAATAGCTATGGTAGGGCTAAACCAGGGCTAGTAGCAAGGGCCGGGGAAGTGTGAAGAGTGCAGAGCGGGGACCTCACTAATAGCCAGGGCCTGGGGCTAATCATTTCCAAAAGCCTGCTGGAACCACCAGGTTTGCAGGTCCTTGCGGAAGGAGGCTAGTGACGGGTCTTGTCTTATCTCTCTGGGGAGGTTGTTGCAAAGGCGGGGGATCACCACTGAGAAGACCCTCTCCCTCGTCTCCACCAACCACATTTGAGACGGTGGTGAGAGCAAGAGAACAGCCTCCCCGGTAGGTCTAATGGGGGGGGGGGGGATATGATCGCGGAGATAGACGCGGCCCAAAATGAACTATTTACTTTACCTTACTTGCAGAATTATTACCTGTTGAGGTGAGAGGTCACAAGGGCAGGTCAGAAGGAGACTCTTCAGTTGTGATGGGTAGTGTAATGAAAATGGCAACCAGATCTGAGACTGCTGACAAGTGGGAAGATGTAATGGCAGCCAGTATGAGGAGAGAAATACACCTGAAAAATGTTAATTTTAGAATTGGAAAAAGCATTAAGGGGCAACCGACAGTATTCAAGGGGAGGATCATCTCATCTAGGAAAAAATTACGACTTTGAAGTGTTTTACCTTTACTAAAAAGGTAGAAGGAACACCATAGAGGTATATAAAATGTATATAAAAATAGTGTATTGAAAAACATGGTAGACCTTTGGTCAGATTCAGCATGACTCTTCTTAAGTGCTTAAAAAAATCTGTTGGGTTTTCTCATCAAAGAATCTTTCATCTTCCATCCAAACAAAATGAGTCAAAGCGAGTGATTCTAGTTCCATCGCTCTGCATGCAGGATGTAAGAAACAATGCCAGACATTGCTGCAGGTGGTATTACTTGCTGGTGGAAATCCATTTTTAGGAGAACATTGTCAGTGGCCCGGTTTGAGTAAAAAGTCAGTCCCTGAGGAACAGGAGTAGGACGGAGCTGTTACACCAGGGTGGGGAAATTGTGGCCCAGGGCTTTACGCAGTCCTCTTTTGAGGCTCCTGGTGCACCTGATAATCTCCAAAGTGAAGAGAAATGTGCAATTTTATTTCCCGAACTGGCCACAGCAACTCAAAAACAGTCACATAGAATCATAGAATCATAGAGTTGGACGAGACCTCGTGGGCCATCCAGTCCAACCCAATTCTTCCAAGAAGCAGGAGAATCGCATTCAAAGCATGCCCGATAGATGACCATCCAGCCTCTGTTTAAAAGCCTCCAAAGAAGGAGCCTCCACCACACTCCAGGGCAGAGAGTTCCTCTGCTGAACAGTTCTCACAGTCAGGAAGTTCTTCCTCATGTTCCAGTGGAATTTCGTTTCCTGTAGTTTGAAGCCATTGTTCCACATCCTAGTCTCCGGGGCAGCAGAAAACAAGCTTGCTCCCTCCATGTTGAGCAATATATTCTTTGCACCCACAAGAGCATATCCAAACCCTCAAAACCCAGAAATAATCTGTCAAAGATTGAATGTGTTGTCGAAGGCTTTCATAGCCGGAATCACTGGGTTGCTGTGAGTTTTCCAGGCTGTCCGGCCATGTTCCAGAAGCATTCTCTCCTGATGTTTCACTCACATCTATGGCAGCCATCCCCAGAGGTTGTGGGGTCTGTTGGAAACTAGGCAAGTAGGGTTTATATATCTGTGGAATGATGTCCAGGGTGGGAGAAAGAACTCTTGTCTGTTCGAGTGTGAGTGTTGCCATTGCCCACCTTGATTAGCATTGAATGACCTTGCAGCTTTAATGCGTGAATGGAGACTCCATCACAGACACAGTGGTTCCATACATCAGTGGAACCACTGACCACATAGGGAAGCTGATGAAGAAACAAACATAAAAACTATCTATAGACTCCCTAAGAAAATCCAACAAATGCTACGTTCAGTAAAGGACAAGAGGGATCCTCCGATCTTTGCAGGAGTCTACCATATACCATGCAGCTGTGGATAAGTCTACATAGGGACCACCAAACACAGCAGCATTGCCCAGACACGCATCAAGGAACATGAAAGGCACTGCAGACTACTTCAATCAGAGAAGTCAGCCATAGCAGAGCACCTGATGAACCAACCTGGACACAGCATATTATCTGAGAACACAGAAATGCTGGACCACTCTCACAACCACAGACTACACAGAGAAGCCAGTTAAATCCAAAATCATTCTGACAATTTCAACAGAAAGGAGGAAGCCATGAAAATGAACAAAATCTGGCTAACACTATTATAAAAAAATCTAAAATCAGTAAAGAATGACCAACACTCAAAAATGGGGAAATTCCAGACAAGAATCAATCAGGGCTAGCTAACACCTCCCAACAAAGGATCCCCCAGGCAGCAACCAGCCAGGCTGTAAGCTACAAGGCGATTGAGTGCTAATCAAGGTGGCCAATTGCAACATTCACACTTGCTTCAAGCAGACAAGAGTTCTTTCTCCCACTCTGGACATTATTCCACAGATATAAAATCTCACTGGTCTAGTTTCCAACAGACTTCACAACATCTGAGGTTGCCTGTCATAGATGTGGGCGAAACATCAGGAAAGAATGCTTCTGGAACAAGGTCAGACAGCAAGGAAAACTCACAGCAATGCACTGAGAAAGATTGACTAAAAAGTTCAGCCAGAAGTAACGTGAGGGAAGGCATTAGAGCAAAAATGGGATACTACCAGCTCCACAGTCAGTCACACTCATGTCCTGCTTGTTGTTGTTGTTGTTGTTGTTGTTGTTGTTGTTGTTGTTCATTCAGCAAGGGTCTCAGTTGATTCAACTTTAGAGCTTCCCCCATTCTTATGGGATTGTGTGCGATGCTCCTGGAGAAACAGGCCCTCTTCTCCTGTGCAGGCTCCTGGCGGAGAAGCGGAAAGAGCTCTGGGATCAAATCAACAAGCTGCACAACGGACTCTTCAAAATCGACGAGACACGCGAGAAAGTGGAGGTGATGACGCTGGAGCTGGAGGAGGCCCGGAGGAAGGTTGCAGAATTTCAGAAGCAGTGCGAGGAGTACCTGGTGGTCATCGTCCAACAGAAGAGAGAAGCTGACGAGCAGCAGAAGGTAAGCTGCTATGGCTGGGCTCCTCTTTTGTAGTTGAGCCTTTAGCCAGCTGATGCTTCTCCTCATGCACTGCCTCTTTCCTTCTCCTCACAGACAGTGACGGCGAACAGTGAGAAGATTGCTGTTGAAGAGGTCAAGTGCAAAACGTTGGCCGACAATGCCCAGAAGGACTTGGAGGAGGCCCTGCCAGCTTTGGAGGAGGCCATGAAGGTAGTGGGATGTGGAAACCTACCATAGAGGTCCTTTGGTGGAGTTGCAGCTTGGAAAAGTTCCATGAGCTCTATAGCTCCCCCCTCCCCCAAGAAACCCTCCAAACATTGCTCAACAGTTCTCAAATAGGAATTTCCAATGTTGTACACCAGAGCAGGGACACCTCTTACCTTAAACACCACACCAGCTTGGTAAAATTAGCTAGCAGTTTATTGTAGAATATATGAAGGCAGTAAAAATAGCAAGACAGTAAATGTCCAAAATCCAAGATAGCCCATAAGCTTCAAAGGGAAACAAGATCCATTAGTATATAGAAATCCATGAAGCAAGGCACTTGAAACCATGAATCAAAACAGCAGGAAAATCCCACAGGCAAAACTTAAGGTTAGCAAAAACTTGGTGCATGAAACTCAGAGCACTTGAAACAAGATCATGATAAAATAACAATGTTGACTCAACTGAGGCAACTGTCTCCCATGAATCATTATAAACCTTTTCTAAAACCCAAAACTGAAAGGAAAGCATTATTCTTGACTTTCCCACCAGATAACGGTTTGTTATCTTTCTTTTGCTGTAAATTGCTTCAGTCTCTGAAAGTCCTGCCTCTGTTTACTAAAACTTTGCTTTCTGTCCAAGGTTTCACTATCCTCTCCCCCATTAACTCCTGCACCTGGCAAATCAATCTCAGCATCATTTTCAGACAGTTGTCCTGAGAAAAGTGGTGAAAGGTCTCTCCCAGTAATGTGGCCTTGCTCAGGCCTCTCTTCTGAACTTAACTCAAGTCCAAGTTTTGTGAAAGGACTTGATGCTCACAGTAAATCTAAAGAAATGTTTTTAGAAAGAGGAGAGTCAATCTGGGGTGGGCATGAGCAAACTTCAGCCCTCCAGGTGTTTTGGACTTCAACTCCCACAATTCCTAACATCCTACCGGCTGTTAGGAATTGTGGGAGTTGAAGTCCAAAACACCTGGAGGGCTGAAGTTTGCCTATGCCTGCAGACCTTCCTTAGGCTGTCTACACCCTCTATTTGGCCCTGACAGTTGCTCTGTCTTGCTGCTCCGCGCTTCCTGGTGACTGGCTGGGTTTGGTGGTTTTTAATTTTTTGGCAGGGTTGCCCCACAAAGCCAAGCAAGTCCCCTTTCCTTCCAATGTCCATACTTTGTTTTCCTCAACTGCTGGGACTAGTCTCTCCTCATGGCTCTGGTGTCCTTCCCTTTGCCCCAGGCCTTGGAATCCCTCAACAAGAAGGATCTGACTGAGATCAAGTCCTACGGCCGCCCTCCCACCCTGGTGGAGACTGTCATGCAGGCCGTCATGATCTTGCGAGGCAGTGAGCCCACCTGGGCAGAAGCAAAGAAGCAACTGGGTAATCCTATTTGTTTGTGTGTTGTTATGTGTCTCCAAGTTAGCTCTTGTTTATGGTGAGCCTGGTACAGGGCTCTTTTTTTGGCAAGGTTTGTTCTGAGGATCATTGCTATTGCCTTCCACTTGCCAAAAGTCAGCCAGTGGGTCTCCATGGCTGAGTGGGGACTCAAGCCTTGTCCTTGTCTGGCATTAAAACCATTCTGGCTCATGCGTCTTTATAGTCTGCCTTTTTCCAGAGCTAGAACTCAAGACATCTAATGAAAGTTTAACACTGTACTGATAAACATTTCTGTCATGCAAACATTAAAACACAATTAAATTACCAATATAATTAAAGCAATGTAAAAGCATGGTCATTAAAAAACACAACAAATGCAGAGAGTCCATTATTAAAGTCCCTTTCCTCTTGTGTAGTCAGTTCTCAAAGTCCTATTGAAATTAAAAACAAAAAAGACAATTAAAGCCCTGGCAGATTGTGCAAACAGAATCTGCAAAACCCACCTCCTCCAAGGTGAACTGTTTGTTTTCGTGTCAGGAGCGACTTGAGAAACTGCAAGTCGCTTCTGGTATGAGAGAATTGGCAAGGACGTTGCCCAGGAGAGGCCCGAATGATTGTGATATTTATAGCCCACCTTTCTCAGCCATATGGCAACCCAAGGTAGGTTACAGATTGGCACAATTCGATGTCAGGCATTCATAAAAGTGCCATTAAAAACAATCAACATTACCATATAAAACATAAATTAAAACCGTTAAAGCTTATACTCATCGGTGTCATCCTGTTAAAAACATTATCCAGTAACTTTGTCTGGTCATTCCATATTCATCATTTATAGTTCTGTGTTATCTATTCCACTGCATTCTCAAAAGCTTGCTCAAAGAGCCAGGTCTTTACTTTTTTTTTCGGGAAGGAATAAACCCCACTTGCCCAGTTTCCAACAGATCTCACAACCTCTGAGGATGCCTGCCATAGATGTGGGTGAAATGTCAGGAGAGAATGCTTCTGTAACATGGTCACATAGCCCAGAAAACTCACAGCAACCCAAATAAGACTTCATCTGCCTATGGAAAGATAGGAAGGGATCTCTTTTTTCGATAGAGTTACAAGCTGGGTAGATGCGGGGAATGCCATGGATGTAGCGTACCTGGATTTCAGTAAGGCCTTTGACAAGGTCCCCCATGACCTTCTGGCAAGGAAACTAGTCCAATGTGGGCTAGGCAAAACTACGGTGAGGATGATCTATAATTGGTTAAGCGGACGAACCCAGAGGGTGATTCTCCCCAATGCTTCCTCTTCATCCTGGAAAGAAGTGACGAGCGGAGTGCCATCCGCAGGGTTCCATCCTGGGCCTGGTCCTGTTCAACATCTTTATTAATGACTTACATGAAGGGGTAGAAGGCAGGATCGTCAAGTTTGCAGACGACACCAAATTGGAAGGGATAGCCAATACTCCAGAGGACAGGAGCAGGATTCAAAACGATCTTGACAGATTAGAGGAGTGGTTCTCAACCTGGGGTCCCCAGATGTTTTTGGCCTTCAACTCCCAGAAATCCTAACAGCTGGTAAACTGGTTGGGCTTTCTGGGAGTTGTAGGCCAAAAACATCTGGGGACCCCAGGTTGAGAACCACTGGATTAGAGAGATGATGGGCCAAAACTAACACAATGAAGTTCAACAGTGACAAATGCAAGATACTCCACTTTGGCAGAAAAAAATGAAATGCAAAGAGACAGAATGGGGGACGCCTGGCTTGAGAGCACTACATGTGAAAAAGATCTTGGAGTCCTCGTGGACAGCAAGTTAAACATGAGCCAACAATGTGATGTGGCGGCAAAAAAAGCCAATGGGATTTTGGCCTGCATCAAGAGGAGCCTAGTGTCTAGATCCAGGGATGTTGTGCCATTGCCAGAAGTGGCTGTAATACTGGCGGGACCCAGAGAAAGCCTATGACTATGGGGTGCCATGACTATAGTGGGGGAGAAGCAATGGGAAGAGGCCATGCTCCCCCTGTGCCACCATCCCAATGACATTCCTTACCCACCAAAGCTCTTGCAGTTGCTGATCGACTTGAAGGTGGTTGCCTTTCTGTCTTTCAGAGGATTCATGGAACCAATTGATTGGCTAATTTGGGAGAAGGAAAGGGGATGCTGGGCAAGATTCACTCTGGGTTGGGTTGGGTCCAGCCAGGTTCTTCTTGTTCTGTGTGGTTTCTCTGACCCCAGCCTTGCCTTTCCAGGTGAACCCAACTTCATTAAGCAACTCGTCTACTTTGACAAGGATAACATCTCTGATAAAGTGCTCAAGAAGATCAGCGCCTACTGCTCACAGCCGGACTTCCAGCCGGACATCATTGGGCGGGTTTCTTTGGCTGCCAAATCCTTGTGCATGTGGGTGCGAGCCATGGAGGTGAGCCAGGAGAAGAGGGAATACGGCATGGGAGAGGAGCAAGAGGAACCCGGCATCCTGGACTGATGGGTGGTCATGAGATGGGAGAGGATTCTGCCTCTGCAGTTGCAAGTTTCATTTCATCGTTGTGCCTCCCTTGTTCCAGATGTATGGCCGAATTTACCGAGTGGTCGAGCCCAAGCGTATTCGGATGAATGCTGCCCTTGCCCAGCTGGAAGAGAAGCAAGCTGCTCAGAGAGAGGCCCAGGAGAGACTTCGAGAGGTCAGTCTGTCAAGAAGGAAAAGCAGCTAGGCTTTGAAGCTGCAAGGCCATTCAGTGCAATCCAGGTGGCCAGTTGCAGCATTCACAAATAACTCTTGCCAACAGGCAAGAGTTATTTCTCCCACCCACAGATATATAAACCCCACTTACCCAGTTTCCAACAGACCCTTCAACCTCTGAGAATTCCTGCCATAAATGTGGGTAAAATGTCAGGAGAGAATGCTTCTGGATCATGGTCATATATGTGACTGGATGGCAGGAACCATCCAATGGTTTTCAACCTTCCTAACGCTGCAACCCCTTAATATAGTTCCTCATGTTGTGGTGACCCCCAACCATCAAATTATTTTCGTTGCTTCTTCAGAACTGTGATTTTGCTACTGTTATGAATCATAATATAAATATCTGATATGCAGGATGTATTTTCGTTCACTGGACCAAATTTGGCACAGATACCCGATACGCCAAAATTTGAATACTGGGCGGGATTGATTTTGTCATTTGGGAGTTGTAGTTGCTGGGATTTGTAGTTCAGCTACAATCAAAGAGCATTCTGAACTCCACCAACAATGGAATTGGGCCAAACGTGGCACATGGAACTCCCATGACCAACAGAAAATACTGGAAGGGTTTGGTGAGGATTCACCGTGAGTTTTGGAGTTGTAGTTCACCTACATCCAGAGAGCACTGTGGACTCAAACAATGATGGATCTGGACCAAACTTGACACGGGTTCTCAATATGTCCAAATTTGAACACTGGTGAAGTTTGGGGAAAATAGTTCTTGACATTTGGGGATTGTAGTTGCTGGGTTTTGTAGTTCACCTACAATCAAAGAGCCCCTTGAACCCACCAACGATAGAATTGGGCCAAACTTCTGACACAGAACCCCCATGACTAATAGAAATTACTGTTTTCTGATGGTCTTTGGTGACCCTTCTGACACCCTCTTGCAACCCCTGCAGGGGTCCCGAACCTCAAGTTGACTTTAGACTTTAGCACCCCTATCTAGCCATCTAGGCTGGTCTTTTTGGACATCCTTCCCCTTTAGAAGGATGTCCAAAAAGGGTGGGGATCTAGTTCTTCAGGACCCTCCTCTGCCCTTCTTAGGTGGCCGAGAAACTGGAGATGCTCAAGAAAGAGTATGAGGAGAAGCTGGCTCAGAAGGAGGAGCTGCGGAAGAAATCAGAAGAGATGGAGATCAAGCTGGACCGGGCAGACAAGCTGGTGTCAGGCCTGGCCGGAGAAAGAGTCCGGTGGGAAGAAACAGTCAAGGTAGCTGATCCCCAACCCTCCATCTATCTCCTCTTCTTCTGTGCTCAATAAGTGTGGAATGTACAGTCTGTGCTCTCACTAGAGCTTGGAAAAGCTGGCAGGGGAAACTCTAGGAACTGCAGTCCCAAAACACCTTTTCTCCAAACACCACATGACAGGCTTTTCTTAGAATGTGGATCTGCTTTTGTTTGGTATAATCTCACAATACATCAAGGATGACAGAAATATTGGACCGGTCTCTGTTGGGGAATCTGAGCTGTTGGGGAATCTGGCTGAAAAATAACCCTCAGTTGGGACAGTTCCACCAAAATATAGCAGAGTGCCAAGAGTAAACTCCATAACCGGCAGAAACTTACATGTGGTGAGAAGGGTGGTTCAGGATTGCAAAGTCAGAACTTTAGGTTCAAAATATTTATTAAAGATAAAAGAAATACATTCTTGATAGAACAGCCTTGGAGCTAACGGACTTACTAAATCTCATCTTCTAAAGAAGGTAAAGGGCTAAAAAAAGTAAATGAAACCCCGCATTTTGCCTACAGAGAGGCAAAATGTTTCCTCACAGGAAGAAAGAAAAGCAGAAGAAGAATTGTGGAGACTGCATGGTCTTCCCAGGGGAGTTTAAATTTAAGAGGAAGTTCCCTCACAGAATTCCATTACTACATCATCAAAGTGGGAGGAGAGAGTGGCTAGCAGTAAAGACAAAAGACAAAGCCCTTTAGGAAACATGCATAGGAATGTTGAGTAGTCTAGCTACTCACTGAGAACTGGAAACTTTGTGACACAAAGACTTGTGGATGAAAGCCAACAGTCTCTGTCATGGGATGGTCAAAGGATGTTGAATCGAGAGGAAAGGGGAGATCCCTTTAGGGCTTCACAATAGAAGAGCCATTGGCGCTAAAGGATATTGAATGGTGTCCCCTGGTTCCTCTCCCCACCTTGGACTTCCTGCTTCCCTCTAGGGCTTTGAGGAAGACTTGGGCTACCTGGTGGGTGACTGCCTGGTGGCAGCAGCGTTTCTGTCCTACATGGGTCCTTTTCTGTCCAATTACCGGGAAGAACTTGTTTCTCACATCTGGATCCATCAGGTAAGCTTTGCCTGCCTTCCCTGAGAGGGCAGCCTCACTCTTCCTTCTTATTTGCAGGATCCCAACTAGCCTCCCTCTGTTTCTTTGGGGTTCCTTCTATCAAGAAACACCAGCACTGAAGAGGGGACTTGTGCTTTTCTTTGAAGATTGGCTTCTGGGAGAGAGTGGAGGTTCCAAGTGTCCCTGAAGGCTTCACAATATGAATGGGCCATCAATGTTGAAGCTTGGTGAATTGTTCTCCCTGAGAGAACATGCAGCCTGGTGGCTCCAGTGGCATTAGGTTCAGTCCTACTGGGTAGCAGCTAAGAGACGACATACATCCGTGCCACATGAATCCAGCACACAACCTCTCCTTGACAAAGGAAGGGGAAACCAGGCAGCATAAGGCTGAGAAACGTGCTTGCTGTTTTCTGCCTGCAGATCCGAGAGCTTCAGGTGCCCTGCTCCCCCCACTTTACGTGTGACAGCTTCCTCAGCAACCCAACAATTGTGCGCACTTGGAACATCCAAGGGCTGCCATCAGATAACTTCTCCACAGAGAACGGGATCATTGTCACAAGAGGCAATCGGTGAGTCCTAGTCTGTGGTGTGCCTGAAGTGTCCAAAGGCTTTTTGGTCACATCCATTCCGACCCAAGCAAGATCCCTGGGTCATCACTCTTGGATCACCTCCTGATCCGGAGGAGGCACCGGCAGGTTCAGAATGAAACCCTAACAAGGCCTCAAGATGCTCAAAGCACCAGTGTCCCTTTTCCATTTCCTTTTGGTCTTCCACAGGTGGCCTCTGATGATTGACCCCCAGTGCCAGGCCACAAAATGGATCAAGAACATGGAAGCAAAGAAAGTAAGAAGTAGCACTGCATAGAGTACCTTGCTTCCCTAGATTTCGTAGACATCTCTATATCTATATTGCTTTTAAAACTATTATTGTAATTTAACCTTCTTGTTTGTTTACAAATATACAACTCAAAACAGTATTGTATGAACAGATATATTTAAGATCATTTAATAAACACTTAAAGCTTGAGAGACATATCTTTGACCCGCAGTGGGTTTTTTTAACATGATAGACAGGGAAGTTTCTGTGCTGGGGACAAATAGGAAAACAAGGATGTAAGGGGTGAGCTGCTTGCTCAGGAGATAGATATATATATATGTATGTGTGTGTGTGTGTGTGTGTGTGTGTGTGTGTGTGTATATATATATATATATATATATAATAAGTTTCCAATTAAACAAGTTTACAATAAAAAGAATTGGTGTGTGTGTGTGTGTGGAATAAGCACAATAAAATAGCCCACTTATATACAAAATGGAAAATAAATCAGTTCAGCCAATAATATGACTGCTGAAACTTATTATACAGTTCAAATACACAGCAATCACAAAATAATATTACATGAGTTTGGTACAGTCTCTCTGAAAAGATATCAACGCTCTGTGTTCTTGCATCGAGTTAAGCATAAATCCGCAGCCCACGACCGGTTTCGGCCTCAATCCAGGCCTTCCTGTGATGGACTGAAATTGTTATATATATATATAAATATTTGCTGCAAACACTAGGAAAGAGGGGGAGTAAAACACTAGGAAAGAAGGAGAGGGGTGCTAAAAAAACCCCAAAAAACACACACACTGCTACTGGAAATATGACAATATTTATTATTATTTATTTACTGTATTTGTATATCACCCTTCTCAGCCCACAGGCAACTCAAGGCGGTTTACAGGGGCAACAATTCAATGCCCAACAACACTATAAAATACATTTAAAAACATTGACATATAATATAAAACCATAACAAGATCAATAAAAACCCAAATCATTAAATTTGGAGGATATGGGAAGGACAAATTGCGTAGGAAACAAAGGGTCTGTACTTCCATTCTTCTTTATATTTGTTTTTAAAGCTTATTATAGCCCTTTAACTACTACTTGCTGCACCCCGAGCAGTGTCGTCTTCTATCAGCTCTCATCTTTTTAAATTAATAATTTAACTTAATTTTCCTTCAACCATTCTGTGGAAGGAGTCCAGTCCGTTGTTTCTATATATCTTCCTTGTGTCTTAGATACCAATGATGTTAATTTATACTTGCTGTGGTTCTTGACATGGCTCTGTCTTCTGTCTTCTGCAGGGCCTCAAGATCATTGACTTACAAATGCCTGATTACCTGCGTATCCTGGAGATAGCCATCCAGCACGGGGCTCCAGTGCTGCTGCAGAACGTGCAGGAGGAACTTGACCCCACACTGGCCCCTATCCTCAACAAATCTGTCACTAGAGTGGGTAAGATAAGCACCAAGCTCTCATCTGCTGTTTGGGAGAGAACAAATTGGGAAACCAAGCAGGAAATGCCTGGGATGCTGCTCTGTATTGAAAGGCCTCTGAAGTGGGTGGAAAGAGGGAGAAATAAGGGCAGTACAGTGGAAGAGGAGCAGAACCCTAACTGGGCCATGAGGCTTCCTCCCTTTTGGCCAAAGTGCCAGCTCTCTCCTTTCTCTCTCTCATTTTCCTCTGTATGGGACAGGTGGGCGCCTGCTGATAAGGCTCGGGGACAAGGAAGTGGAATACCACCCTGAATTCCGTTTCTACCTGACCACCAAACTGTCTAACCCTCACTACACTCCAGAAACCTCTTCCCAGACCACTATTGTCAACTTTGCTGTCAAAGAACAGGTATGGGCTCCTCTCAACTGGTGCTTGTTGGCCTGAAAGGTAGGGGCCAGGAGGTGGAGACCAGGGCCAGGAATAACCAGGAGAGAAGACGTTCTCATTCTGGACTGTGGGGAGAAATAGAGGCAGGGGCAGGAAAGAGAGGGCTGAACCACACTGTGTGTCCCGCAACCTCTTCAGGGTCTGGAGGCTCAACTTCTGGGCATCGTGGTGCGAAGGGAGAGGCCCGAACTGGAAGAACAGAAGGACCACCTGGTGCTCAACATTGCAGCTGGAAAAAGGAAGCTGAAGGAGCTGGAGGATGAGATCCTGAAGTGAGCATTGGGTGCAGAGAGGGAGGAAGGACCAGGTCCAGGCCTTCTGATGTCTAAAGATGTAAATACTGGGGAATCTGAGCTGTTAAACTGGAAAATAACCCTCAGTTGGGGTAATTCTCATACCAGAAGTAAACTTCATAGCCAGCACAAACTTATGTACGGGGAGCTAGGATAAGCTTTAACTCCATAGGATGATACAAGGTTGCAGATTCAGAACTTTAGGTTCAAAAGTATTTATTGAAGTAAAAAAAATACATTCTTTGTATTGTCAAAGGCTTTCGTGGCTGGAATCAATGGTTTGTTGTAGGTTTTTTCGGGCTATATGGCCATGTTCTAGAGCAGTGGTTCTCAACCTGGGGTCCCCAGATGTTTTTGGCCTTCAACTCCCAGAAATCCTAACAGCTGGTAAACTGGCTGGGATTTCTGGGAGTTGTAGGCCAAAAACATCTGGGGACCCCAGGTTGAGAACCACTGTGCATCAGGCGAAACGTCAGGAGAGAATGCCTCTAGAACATGGCCATATAGCCCGAAAAAAACCTACAACAACCCAAATATATTCTTGATGGAAGAGGTCTTGGAGCTAACTATCGTACTAAATCTCATTTTCTAAAGAGGTAAAAGGGTAAAAAGTCTATGCAGCTACATTTTGCCTAGAGAGAGAGGCAAAATGCGTCCTCACTGGAAGTATAAAAGGCAGAAGAGAACAATGGTGGAGCCCACATGGTCAACTCAGGGCAATAAAACTTAGAGTTCCCTCACAGAATTCCTGTATCATCAAAGAGGGGGTGGCTAGCGGGAGGCACAAAGACAAAGCCCCTTTGGGAAGCATGCATGGTAAAGTGGGGAAAGGAATCCCTCAGCTTAATCCTATATCTAGTCTAGCTGCTCATTGAAATCTGGAAACTTGATGACACAAGACTTGTGCAGTCCAAGGATGAAACCCAAAAGTAAATATCGGAGTGAAGAGAAGCCAGGTTACAGAACTGGGCCTGAAGTGATAACAAAGTGCAAAAGCGAGAGGTGGAAATCATGAAGCCTGGATCGCAGTGTTCACTTCTAGGTATCTCATGTTAAGGTGGATAGAGACACTGTGGAGCAAGTTCAGAGGTGATAAAGAGGACGAGAGAACAAAACATTTGAAGGGAGGTTGAAGGGGCCTGTGCTTGTTTGGTGAGAAGACTGAGATTCGGTGACACAACTGAACTCTTTAAATATCTCAAGGGCTGCCAGAAAGTGTAGGCTTATTTGGTGCTGCCTGAGAAGGTATAACAGGAGACAGTTACAGGAAAGCAGATTTTGATGGAACATTAGAAGAAACCTCTTGACAGTTGGGTAGTGGAACCAGTTGCCTAGAAAGATGGTAGGATCTTTTCCTGAATGATATCAAAAAGAGACTGGAAAGCTCCTTGATGCTGAGGATGTTCTATTTAGAGTGTCAGAATTGAACCAATAGGTTGGACTAGATCAGGCATGGGCAAACTTTGGCCCTCCCTCTGGATGTTTTGGCCTTCAACACCCACAATTCCTAACAGCCTACTGGCTGTTAGGAATTGTGGGAGTTGAAGGCCCAAACATCCAGAGGGAGGGCCAAAGTTTGCCCATTCCTAGACTAGATGGTTCATAGTACCCCTTCCAACTTTATAATTCTATGTTGTGAGCCTGGGGCATTCTTCCTAATAGCCCACAGAGGGTCTTCCGGGTTCCTTTCACTTCTGGGGCATCCCTCTCTTTTCTGTGGAACAGTCCTTCAGATCCCATCCTCAATCCTCACGCATTCAGCCACCATTGTGGGCTGGACTGACTCTGTCATTGCGCCTGCGGATCATTGTTCAAAGTCACCCTGCCTTCTGCCCTCAGGCTGCTGAATGAAGCCACGGGCTCCCTCTTGGATGACGTGCAGCTGGTGAACACACTGCAGACCTCCAAGCTCACTGCCACTGAGGTCACAGAGCAACTGGAGATCAGCGAGATGACAGAGATTAAAATCGACACTGCCCGGGAGGTGAAGTGCATCTGTGGGATCATGCTTTATATTCATTTGTTTATCTTCCACCTCTCTAACAGCACAGGGATGTTGTCTGATGTAAACTAAAGGACCTTTGGGGCAAAGACTGAGCATTCCTGGGGCCAAGGACCCCCCAAGATTTCTACAGGGTCAAGAGAAGCTAGTTCAATAGTTTCCAACCTTTGGTCCTCCAGGTGTTTCAAACTTCAAGTTCCAAAAGTCCGTTCAGTTTGGTCATCTGTGGGGGAGAAAGGGGGAAGGAGGGAAGAAAAAAACTGCTGGACACAAGTGGTAAATTAGTGGGAAATTGGATTGGTAAGTGGAATATCACTTACAGTTCATACTCGATTATAAGTCGACCTGAATATAAGCTGTGGCACCTAATTTTACCACAAAAAAACCTGGGAAAACGTATTGATTTGAGTATAAACCAAATGTGGGAAATGCAGCAGCTACTCGTAAATTTCAAAATAAAAATAGATACCAATAAAATTACATTAATTGAGGCATCCATAAGTTAAATGTTTTCGAATATTTACATAAAAAGTAATTTAAGATAAGACTGTACAACTCTGATTAAATCATTATTCTAACCTTTGATGCAAATGTGTTTATGTATCCTTCCAATAATAATAAGGAGAGTAAAATAATAAAATGAATAATAATAATAATAATAATAATAATAGAGTAAAATAATGGAAATGTAATAACAGTAGTAATCAAGTAATAACAATAATAGAGTAAAATAATGTAAATGTAATAATAATAATAATAATAATAATAATAAATAGAGTAAAATAATAAATAACTTTGACTTGAGTATATGTCAATGGGGCTTTTTCAGCTCAAAAAAGGTGCTGAAAAACTTGGCTTATACTCAAGTAAATACGGTATCTGTTCTGTTTAGCCTCACAGAATGGCTCTAGAGACTTGTATTACTCTACTTGTGTTTACAATAATATTTTTTTTTAAAATTAAGAAATTCTGGGAGATGAAGCCCAAAGTACCTAGAGGGCCAATGGTTGGGAACCACTGGTACTTGGGTAGGGAAATGTCGACAGTTAAGGGAAGTTTCTCTTTCTAGACTACACCACCCAGAATTCCCTGGCCAGCTTGCCTAGTGCCCCAGCCTCCTCTCCATCCTGCCACAGGCCCCTTTGCTCTTGGACTTTTCCTGCTCACTGCATAACCATCCCTGTCTTCTCTGCCAGGGCTATCGAGCGTGTGCTCAGAGGGCATCCATCCTCTTCTTCGTCCTCAACGACATGGGCAGGATTGACCCCATGTACCAGTTCTCTCTAGATGCCTACATTGACCTGTTCAACCTCAGCATCACCAAAAGCCACCGGAGTTCCAAGCTGGATGAGAGAATCCGCTTCCTCAATGAGTATCACACCTATGCCGTCTATAGGTAACCTGCAGGGTGAGAAGGGTGGAATATAAATACTGTAAATAAATAAAATAAATAACAGAGCAACTTGTTTCTTCTGTCCATCTTAACCAGTCTCTCCTCACTTTGCCAAGGTACACCTGTCGGGGCCTCTTTGAACGGCACAAACTGCTCTTCAGCTTCCAGATGTGTGCCAAAATCCTAGAAGTCTCTGGCAACCTCAAGATGGATGAATACAACTTCTTCCTGCGCGGAGGAGTGGTAAGCATCAGGTGGAGGCCCTTGGCCTGGCCTGCTGAAGGTTTTGAGGCTGCTGCACTGCTAGGTCGAGAACGTATGGAATGGTCAGAACATCAGCCCTTGTAGCCAGGTATTGTTGGCACAGACTGGCATCGGTTCTATCATGTTTTCTTGAAAAGCACAGTCCAAATCCTTCCAAGAGGTTCTTGAGACTGAAACTAGAGCCCTCCACCTTTACAACCTTTGGCAGTCTTGGAGGAAGCTGGGATGCTTGCCTTTTAATCTCATGCTAATCCTAACTGCACAAGGAGAGAAGGAAGCTTGGCCTCCCTGCGCCCTCTCCTGAGCTGGCTGGGAGGCTTTCCCAGGGCCTGGGCTTTGTAATCTGAGAAGGCCTTGACGCTTGGCCAAGCCTGCCCATGACAACGGGCCAGAGAGCAATGGCAGAGCAACCCGCCCCCTCCTTTCCCCATGCAGATAGCCAGGGGCTTGGCAGGGAGGCCACAGAGGAAAGAGAAGCCACTCCTCTGTGTGTATTTATGTGCCTTTGAGTCACTCCCATGAAGTTCATAGGTGTTTTCATAGGGCAAAAATCCTCAGGGGTGATGTTGCCACTTCCTTCCATTGAAACAGAGCCTACAGCATCTGGGATTCTTAAGCAGGCCTTTTGGGTTTGGGGAAGTTCTTCCGTTTGGACTGCCAATGCCAAACCCTGGCTCCTGCTCAATAGAGTTGACCCTAGCTGAGTCCCCCCTCGGGGGTGAGAAGGGCGGGTTACCAATGCAGGAAATAAATAAATAGCTATGAACCACAAATTGAAGTGCTATGTGTGACTGAGGCTCCTTCTGCACTGCCACATAAAATCAGACTATCTGTTTTGAACTGGATTATATGGCAGTGTAGACTCATACACGGTGGAGTGTGGAGAAGAGCAGACCACAGACCACCTATTACAATGCAACCTGAGCCCTGCCACAAGCATAATGGAGGACCTTCTTATAGCAATGCCACAGGCACTCCAAGTAGCCAGCTACTGGTCAAAGGACATTTACAACTGTATCCTTGATTTGCCTCTGACACAAAAAAAATAAAATATTCTGCATTTATATGGCAGTGTAGAAGGGGCCTGAAGCTTTTATTGTTGGGGAATCTGAGCTGTTAGGCTTATAAATCTTGGGAGGAGAGCAATGTCCAATCTCGATAAAATAGTGAAGAGTAGAAACAGCACACTGGCAACAAAGATCCGCATAGTTAAAGCAATGGTATTCCCCATCGTCACGTATGGATGTGAGAGCTGGACCTTAGGGAAGGCTGAGCAAAGGAAGAGAGACGCTTTTGAACTGTGGTGCTGGAGGAAAGGTCTGAGAGTGCCTTGGACCTCAAGAAGATCCAACCAGTCCATACTTCAGGAAATAAAGCCCAACTGCTCATTGGAGGGAAGGAGACTAGAGCAAAGATGAAGTACTTTGGCCACATCATGAGGAAACAGGAAATCTTAAAGAAGACAATGATGCTGGGGAAAATGGAAGGAAAAAGGAAGAGGGGCCGACCAAGGGCAAGATGGATGGATGGGATCCTAGAAGTGACTGGATTGACCTTGAAGGAGCTGGGGGTGGTGACCTTAACCTCAGCTTTGCTCTCCCACCAAGGTGGCAGTCCCAGCTTAACTTTTTCTTATGGCTCTAGTCTCTTTCAGTGAGAAACAGTGCTTCAGTTTTGGTTTAGAGCTATCTTGAGAACTGAGCTACTCAGACTTGTTGTGTGGGGAGCCCCAAGTCTTTGGCCGTCTCTGTGTCTGGCCATGAGTTGGTTCTGTGTTTCCCTTCTCTTGAAAGGCAGGAGTGAGCTAGGCCCTCCTGTTCCTTTGGCCACTTCCTCCTCCCATTGTCCTTTTTTGCAGGTTCTGGACAGGGAAGGGCAGATGGACAACCCCTGCACGAGCTGGTTGGCCGACACCTACTGGGACAACATCACTGAGCTGGACAAGCTCACTAACTTCCATGGCATCATGAACTCTTTTGAGCAGTACCCCCGGGACTGGAACCTTTGGTACACCAGCTCCAAGCCAGAGAAAGCCATGCTCCCAGGTCAGCTCCACATTGTATGTATGTATGTCTGTCTGAGCCAGATCAGGCTGGGTGGCTCTACTCTAGGAACCAGGGTTGTAGGTCCCTTCCCTTCTTCCTGGGGATCACAATCAGGTGATAACCCTGTTGGTTAACCCCAGATACTGACTGAATAGTGAATCAACACTAAGGTAAATCCCCTACTAGAATTTAAAACAGGTTTTGAGTGAAACAAAAAAACTGAAATTCCCTTAGCTGCCTTGACTAGAACTTGGCAAGAGATGTTGCTTTAAACTCCTACAGCACACTGGAAGATCCAGAGATAACATATTAAAATCTGCAAATTATCAAAAATCGAAAAAATGAGAGGTTGCTTACCTGTAACCGTAGTTTCCCTAGTGATGTGCTGTGAATTCGCACTAATGGTACTTCTGCGCATGCGCAGCTTCGCTTCGGAATCTTCAGTTAAAAATTTAAAAGAATCAGCGGTTGGCCCCGCGCACACTCCCCAGTACATTATAAATAGACCGCGGCTGGTCAACCGCCTCCAGATCTCTTCTTCCGCCGCTAAAGCAGCTAGAAGGAGGAGGCATGACAAACTGCGGGGAGGATGGGCGGGGCCGTGCGAATTCACAGCACATCACTAGGGAAACTACGGTTACAGGTAAGCAACCTCTCATTTTCCCTACGTGAGTGTGCTGTGAATACGCACTAATGGTAGAAGACTAGCGAGCTACCCACCTAGGACGGCGGGAGTCATGCCACCGCAGAAAACAGCACTGCACGACCAAACGCTGCGTCCCTCTTGGCCTGTAGATCCAGCTTATAGTGCGCCACAAACGTCAATGGAGTAGACCAGGTGGCAGCGCGGCAGATAGCATCCAAGGAAACGCCCTTCCAGAAAGCAGCTGTAGCAGACACCGCTCTCGTAGAGTGTCCCTTTACCCCAACAGGAAGCTCCCGTCCCGACTTCTTGTAGGCCAGTTTGATCACAGACACTATCCAGGAAGATAGGCGTTGCGATGAAACAGGGAATCCGCAGGTATCCTTTCTATATTTAACAAACAATCTTGATGTTTTCCTCATACTTTTGGTTCTATTGAGATAAAAGGCCACTGCCCGACGTACATCCAGCAAGTGAAGACCACGTTCCATAGGGGAAGTGGGATTCTGAAAAAAGGCTGGCAGAATAATCTCCTGGGACATATGGAAACAAGACGTCACCTTGGGAAGAAAAGAAATGTCCGTGCGGAGCACAATTTTGTCTTTATGGAACCTGAGGTAAGGTTCGTCTGACCTCAGCGCGCAGATTTCACTAACACGCCTGGCTGATGTAATTGCTACCAGAAAGGAGGTTTTCCATGACAGGTGCGAAATATCGCATGTGGCCATAGGTTCATAAGGTGGGCCCTGAAGAGATGAAAGTACTACCTCCAGGCTCCACGAAGGAATAATAGGTGTCACCGCTGGCTTAACATTACCAAACCCTTTAAGAAAGAGCTTTACCAAATATTCTGAAAAGAGGGAAGGCAATCCCTCTTTCCTCCTGTACCAAGATATGGCCGCCAGGTAACATTTCAGAGATGACAATGACAAACCCGAATTAGACAATGAAACTAAAAAATCTAAAATCGCTGGGATCGGGGCACGTACTGGGTCCAGATCCCTCCCTTTCATATACTGGGAATAACGCGTCCATTTATACACATATGAGCGCTTCGTAGAAGGCTTTTGTGCTGCGTCCAGGATTGCCTTAACTGAAGCAGACAAGGCCTCAGATGATCCTAACTGTCTGGAACGATCCTCCAGGCAGTTAGTCTCAGCGCGTGGGCATCCGGGTAAAGAACCTGTCCGTTCTGTGATGTTAGGAGGTCTAACGTGTTTGGAAATCTCCTGTACCTCCCCTTGGACATTTCGAGGAGAGCCYAAAACCARGGTTGGCGAGGCCACCAYGGCGACACTAGAATGCAGTCCCCGTTGTCCCTCCGAATCTTTGATATAACTTTTGGGAGTAGCGGAAACGGAGGAAACACATATAGAAAGTCGTTGTTCCAATTGCGTAGAAACGCATCTCCTAGACAACCTAGTGTCAGATCCGCCCTCCTGCGCGCACAATAAAGMGGACACTTTGTGTTTTCCCGTGACGCAAATAGATCTATTGTTGGAAACCCCCAGATCTTGAAGATCGTATTGAGTTCCCTGTGATTGATAGACCACTCGTGATTGGACATGGGGGATCTGCTCAAATTGTCCGCTAATACATTCTCCTCCCCTGGAAGGTGTACTGCCACTAGATGTATCTCCCTGGCTATGCACCACTTCCAGATACGCATAGTTAGACTTGACAGGGTTTGTGATCTTGTTCCTCCCTGTTTGTTTATATAATACATTGTTGTAGTATTGTCCGTTACTACCTGCACTACTCTGCCTAACAAAGGTACCTCGAAGGATTTCAGRGCCTTTTCTACGGCGAATAACTCCAGAACATTTATGTGATYCATTGATTCCTCTGGAGTCCAGACACCTTGGGCAGTTAAACCCTCGAAGTGTGCTCCCCAACCTTTCATGGAAGAATCCGTCGTGACCACAGCAGACGGATCCGGGGTCTGAAACGGCAAGCCTACAGTCACATTGTTCGGCTCCGTCCACCACAAGAGAGCGCGCCGAACTTTCTCTGGAATGGCAAGCCGCATATGGGGGTTGTCCCGGCCAGGGCGAAAAACGGACAGGAACCAATTTTGGATTGGTCTTAGACGTAGCCGGGCATAAGGTGTGACGGCAGTCGTAGATGCCATGTGTCCTAACAGAACTTGGATCTTTTTCGCAGACACCTCCCCTGAACTCAGGGCACACACAACCAACGACTTGAGGGACGAAAAACGGTCCTCCGGCAGAAACGCCCTCTGTCGGATTGAATCCAAGACCGCTCCAATAAACTGGATCCTGCGGACAGGCAGTAGGTGTGATTTCTCCCTGTTCACCARGAGACCTAAAGACTGGAGAAGACAAAGAGTTAGGTCTATGTGCAGATGTAAACGTTCTCGCGAGTCTGCCACCAAGAGCCAGTCGTCTATGTACGGGTACACCGTAACGCCCTTAGTTCTAAGATGGGCAGCAATCACCGCCATACARTTAGTGAAAACCCTTGGGGCCGTAGTAAGGCCGAAAGGTAAGACATTAAAACTGTAAGCTCTATCTCCAACCATAAAGGCGAGATACTTCCTATGATGTTCTGCCATAGAAATATGAAAATACGCGTCTTTTAGGTCTATGGTAGCGAACCAATTATCTTTATTTAGAAGAGGGAGGATCACAGAGAGAGAAACCATTCGAAATTTCTTTGCATCAATATACATGTTCACTCCTCTCAAGTCTAATATTGGACGTAAACCACCACTTTTCTTAGTCACCAAAAAATAACGAGAAAAGAAACAATTAGCAAACGATGAACTGTCAACTGGGGAAATGGCCCCTTTTGCTAAGAGAGTTTCAACTTCTTCCAACAATGCTGGAGACTCTGGTGTGGCTTTTAAACATCCCAACGGGGGAAACGAAATAAACTCTATCGAATAACCTTCCTCAATTATCTGGAGGACCCACCTATCAGTGGTTATTGATGCCCAGGCTCTGGCAAAAGGCCGAAGCCTATCCTTGTACCAAATGCAACTGACATGTTTTTCAGAATCATTTAAGCCATCCCTTGGGCTGCAGATATCAGAAACACAGGATTCGTCAAAGACGACGTCTTGCGCTACCTGATGCCTTAGCCTTAGATTGGTACGGCTGATACCTAGGCTTTGCGTAATAATTCTGCTTCCGACCAGATTGAAATTTTGATGAATTACTCCGATTACCCTGGCTCGCATTAAACCCATTAAAAGGTGCCTTACGGTAAGAAGACGGGGTTTGCTGCCACCGAGGCTTTTGAAAGTTACCTGGCTGCCATGGGTATGGGTATTGGTACGGATATTTGGCAGCGTGCAAGACCTCTCGAGATTGTTTAATCTTTTCATCCGTTGTTGGATCAAAAAGACCTTCCTCAGTCATAGGAAGGTCCTCCGCCAACAAGCGGCTCTCTTCCGACAGCGAGGAAGTACGCAGCCACGCGTGTCGCCGTATGGCCGTGGCAGAGGCAAAGAGCTTGCCCGATATCTCAGCCATGTGTTTGGCGAAATCCTTCTGCAATCTAGAGAGAATTAAAGCCTCGCCCTGATATGCCTTGGGAAGACGTCGGTCTTCAGTTGACAGGAGGTTGACAAAGGGCAGCATACTGTTCCAGAGAAAACTCTGGTATCCACTAAAATAAGTAGCGTAATGTGCCATCCTGGCAAGCAATCCCGCAGCCACATGAATTTTCTTCCCAAGGGCATCAATCTTTTTGCCCTCCTTATCTGGAGGCGTGATCGAATATTTCTTTGGCCTTTTTGCCCTAGCTGCCTCTGCTACCACCGTATTCGGTTGTGCAGGATGGGCAATCCAGCTCGCTAGTGACAAGTCAACTTTGTAGAGAAGGTCGACCCTCCTAGGAACTGCAGGAGCAGCCGACGGGGCCACATCAGGAACCTTAGTCAACTTTAATAAATAAGGAAGAGTAGGAAGTAACAAAGATGGTGAACTGTCCTGTTCCTCGGAAGGGTACATGGGATCATCCACTGTTGAAGCCGGCTTCGGGGCCGGAATGTCCAATGCAGTTATCATCCTGCTAACCAGCTGAGCGAACACGTTAAGATCCTCTATACGCCTTGCATTAGCAGTCTTATCATTGTCTGCAGTGGCAGAGTCCACTAATTCTACTGAAGAATCAGAGTCGTCATCATCGATTGGAGGTTGGTCTTCAGCAATTGAAGGCAGTGGAGTACGCCTCTGGTCCCAATAAGCACCCTGATGACCATGATGCACAGGGAGAAGTTCTCGACCCCGCATCCTCTTTCCACTTCGTTTCTTAGAACCATATTGTGCAGCACCACCATCAGGAGGTAGACCACAATAAATAAAGCGCCCCTGGGGAGTTATCTCATATACTCCAGGGGGAGGAAGGGAAAGTCCACTGTCACAGAGATCCTCCACAGAAGCTCTAGGTGGTGATCTTGCTCTCCGCGCGCGCGCAAGCTTGCGCTTTCTCGCGGAGCAGGAGGAATCCGAGCATGATGTAGAGGAGGATGAGGAGGAATCGCTGGAGCTCGACTCGCGGCGCCTCCGCTTCTTGTTATTTGAGCGCGATGGAGAGCGTGCTCGGCGCCGCGGCAGAGCTGAAGCGGCAGGCATCCCCGACGTCGAGGGGAGCGCTGCCATGGACGCCCGCGCTGGCTCCTCCCCAAAGCCACCAGCTGATACTATGGGAGGAGCCGGCGCCGAGAGCGTCGGCATCGGGGGAGTCAAGTTATCAGTCTGCGCACGCGCGGGGCGTGTCTCGGACTCCAAGTCCCTTTCGTTTTCATTTTCCTCCTGTGCTCGCACGAGGCGAGCGGAGGTCGGCATCGGCACTGATCCAGCGGGGCATCCCCGTGGAGGGGTCTCTCGTGCCCTTTCAAGGGGCGAAACCAACCGCGAAGGCGCGGCTTCGGACCCAGCCGCCTTTGGGGGTCTCGACGAGGCCGCCTTGCCCTGAATGGTCTTCTTTGTCTTGGGCTTTTTCAGGGCCGCCTGCAGGAACGCCGCTTCAGGTAAGGATTTGTCTTTACGTTGTTGAGATTCAGGGAGAAGGGCTCGTTCATAGAGAGCCGCTTTCAGACGAGTCTCCCTGTTCTTCCTAGTTTTTGGGGTGAAGGACTGGCAAATTGAACACGTTTGAGTTAAATGTCCTTCACCCAGGCAAGCAATGCACAGAGAATGTGCATCGTTATCCGGAAAATTGCTCTGGCATGTAGAGCAACGTTTAAATCCCTTAGTACTCGCCATCTTAGTAAAATAGTATTAAACCTAGATAGAGAAGAATTCCGAGCTACTGCTATAAGCGCGGATGAAGAGATCTGGAGGCGGTTGACCAGCCGCGGTCTATTTATAATGTACTGGGGAGTGTGCGCGGGGCCAACCGCTGATTCTTTTAAATTTTTAACTGAAGATTCCGAAGCGAAGCTGCGCATGCGCAGAAGTACCATTAGTGTGTATTCACAGCACACTCACGTAGGGAAAGCAAAATTCTCAAATCTGAAGGATGAATTTTTGTGACAGATTGATGACACATTGCCATTCATGACACATTGCCATTACTTCCAAACAGCATTTTAAAATTTTAATTATTACAATTGGCCCTCCATAGGTTTTTAATGCGTCGTGGTGTTATTGTTGGTGTTATTGCTTTGTTTATGAGTTTATTTATTGTCTGTATTGTTGTTATTGCTTTTTTACTGATGTATTTGGGCTCGGCCTCTTGTAAGCCGCACTGAGTCCTTCGGGAGATGGTAGCGGGGTATAAATAAAGGTTTATTATTATTATTATTATTATTATTATTATTATTAGAAGAAGAAGAAGAAGAAGAAGAAGAAGAAGAAGAAGAAGAAGCTAGATGGGTGTGTCTAGGCATCCCGGGTGCCAATGACAACTTTCTCAGACCAGGCGTGATTTCCCTACAAGCAGCTCGGGAAGCAGACCTTGCTTCCCATCCTGTCTCCTTATGCCCACTTTCATTCCCTGCAGGTGAATGGGAGAATTCCTGCAACCAGATGCAGCGGATGCTGGTTGTCCGGTCCTTGCGTCCCGACCGTGTGTCCTTCTGCGTTACAGCCTTCATTGTCTCCAACCTGGGCTCCCAGTTCATTGAACCACCTGTCCTCAACATGAGATCGGTGAGTAGGGGGCGTCTGTGTGGTCGTAACTTGGCTTCTTTTAAAAAATAGTGTGATGGTTGTTAAGGTGTTACTGGAGAGAGGAAACAGTGATGACCTTTCACACTGGTGGGTCTTTTAAATCTATACATATTTCATTGGGTGAGTGGGCTTCTTAACAAAAGACCCTCCTCATAAATGCACAACAGAGTAACTTATCAGTGGCAGCGCGACCCAGCACCAGTAGCCCAAAGTGATAAATATTTATTTATTTACTTGCTGTATTTGTATACAGCCTTTCTCAGCCAATTGGCGACTCAAGGCGGTTTCCAACAAATCAGTATACATAAAACATAATAGATAAAAAACATTAAACAGTATAAGACATCACAAAAGCAATAAAAGCAACATCATCAGCGTCTCATTATACTCAAGCATTGTCCAATTCCATTGTCAGGTCATTCAATTTCCTATATTCACTACTCTGCATTTGTAACCACTTGCTCAAATAGCCACGTTTTAACTTGCCTCCGAAACGTCAAGAGGGAGGGAGCAGATCTGATCTCCCTAGGGAGGGCATTCCATAGCTGTGGGGCCACCACTGAGAAGGCCCTGTCTCTCAATCCCACCAAACGTGCTTGTGACGAAGGCGGGACCGAGAGCAGGGCCTCCCCAGATGATCTTAAAGTCCTCAGTGGTTCGTAAGGGGAGATACGTTCAGACAGGTAAGTTGGGCCAGAACTGTTTGGGCTTTATAGGCCAAAGCCACCACTTTGAATTAGGCCTGGTAGCAAATTGGCAGCCAGTGGAGCTGGCACAACAAGGGGGTTGTATGCTCCCTGAGCACTGCTCCTGTTAACAACCTGGCTGCCGTTCGTTGGACTAGTTGAAGCTTCCGGACCATCTTCAAAGGCAACCCCACATAGAGAGCGTTGCAGTAGTCTGTATGTAACTAGAGTGTGGACTACCATGGCCAAGTCAGACTTCCCAAGGTACGGGCGCAGCTGGCGCACAAGTTTTAACTGTGCAAATACTCAAAAAACAAAAGAACAAAAACACCCAGACCAATGTTATCTCTTCCATAGAAGGCTTTTCTTTATAGCAAAATAACATGGTTGCACTATTTACAAGAACTAGGTTTCCATAACACAAGTAAGCAAATATATAGTAGCTTTACACACAACAGCCTTCACACTGGAGCTTTCTAACATGAGGCTTCTCTCACACTGAGGCTTTCCTCACACTCCTCAGGACGACACTAGCTTTGACTCACATCAAAAATACCTAGTTAATATTTAATATTTCTGATATATTTTACCTCCAAACAAGAATTCTGCATAGCTCAGAAATTGCAGCTTCCCTTCTGATTCAGAAAAAAATGCTTCAGCTTCAGCGTGACGGGTTATTTGACGGGTAGGAAGCGTGGCAGGCGCAGTTCATGGAGGACTGGCTAGAACTGTCAAGAAGGCAGCATAATTAGTTACCTTACCCCTGGAATGAGCAGCTTAACAAATTAAATCACAGCCGAAGCTAACATGTATTGTATCCAATTACTTTGAAATTGTAATGTTCTGGGCTTTATGAGGATGGACTCTCCAAGCCAAGCGAAGCAGATTCTTTTTGTTTTTTTAAAAAAAGGTAATTGTTACTTATATACCTTGTCTTTCCACTAAAAAAAAAATTAGCGAGCAAGGCAAGTAAGAAACAATATTAAAAAAGGTTAAGAACTAATTAAAAACATCTCCATCAGGAGAATAATGGAAGTCCAATAATGAGAATTGCTGTCGTGACTGTCTTCTCGCTCCTTTGTCTTTCCTGGACTCAGGTGGTGGAGGACTCCACAACCAAGACCCCGCTGATCTTTGTGCTCTCCCCCGGGGTCGACCCCACCTCCTCCCTCCTTCAGCTGGCGGAGCAGTCGGGCATGTCCCAGCGCTTCCATGCCCTCTCCCTGGGCCAAGGCCAGGCCCCAATTGCCACGCGCATGATTAAAGATGGCGTCCATCAGGGTGAGTGCCAAAAGGGCGGAATGGAGCTGTGCGCTCGCCCTCATCAGTCAGTCAGTCTGGAGCAAGAGTGGGGAAAGCATGTCCCATGGGGTGCATATGGCGCCTGGATCCCACTTGGACAGCCCTGGAAGTCCCCTCACTGACCAATATACTGGAAAATAAATTTGGTGTGATTTCTATTGGGTGAGTGGGCATATTAACAAAATGCACAGCAGAGTAATTTAGCAGCAGCAGCATGACCCAGCACCAGTAGCCCAAAATGATAAAAAGAACAAAAACACAGAGAGCAATGTTATCTCTTCCCTAGGAGACAACACTAGCTTTGTCCCACTGACCCTTAACAGGTTTCGGCCTACTCACTCTTCCCAGGACAACACTAGCTTTGGCCCACTGATTCTCAACACACTTCGGCCTACTCACTCTCCTCAGGACGACACTGATATTGAGCTGCTTTTAGGAGGGTCTCCCCAGCAGAGGAGATCCCTGAGGACCTCTCAAAAGGGCCCTAGAACCTTGGTGAGGCCAGCGGAAGCCAATCTCAGTGTTAAAGATATTAAGATTAATAAATCTCACCAAAGCGGAAGAAGATCAGCGATCGAGGTGTTTATTAGCGATTCAGCTGCAATCGGATGCATTGCAGGGATAATTCTACCACAAGCATACTGCTACAGAATTTTACAGGCATTTTATAGAGAAAAGACAAAGAAAACCATTTCAAAATTCCCACCCGCCCCCTGCCGGCCGGCTTCGTGCTGATTGGCTGGCAGCTGAACAGCTGGGAAGAGGCTTGGCGGCCCACCTTGCCTCTGGACCAATCAGCTTGCTTCTTCGCCTCTAGAGGGCCAACCAGCACTCTTTTACCGCTTCTGAAGATGGACGAATCAGAAGCCGGGAGGCGAGACGACTGTGGACAATGGGGGGAAATGATGGGATTAGGAGTTGTCAGCCAGCTGGAATGCAAGGCTTTGTTTGGGCTGGCAAGGTGTGATCTTTACAAACAAAAGTTTTCCTGTCTTTTGATGGGTTTTGGTAGGGCAACAAACAGGGTCAGGCTGCGGACCCAAAAGGGGATCAACGCTGCCCTTTGTAAATTTAATCATCTTTTTTTTCCTTGTCTTCATGAGCTTCCTTCCCTCATCAGACAGGCTCAGAAAATGAGATAAGGAAGACATGGCTATTGTCTCATGCAGATGAGTGGATCAACAAAAGAGTATCGAGGGAGGCAGGGGTTCCCCTCGAGCAATTCAACAGTTCTTGATCACTTTTAGTAGGGCAAAAGTCAAGGGGAAGGGGGAAAACAAGTTACATTTCATACAGTAATATCTTTATACAGAGTTCATATAAAATTTCCTTTTCCACCCCACACCTTTATTTTATTTCAATATTGATTTATTAAAAAGAAACTAGAAATTCCATGCTCCTGGGGAAGGTTCATGGAAGCGGAGGTGACTTGCAGTCCAAGTCAGGCAGCAAAGAGTCATTTCTCCCTGCAGAAGTCAGCAGATGGGCGCTGAGTTGATCAATAACAAAATCCATTGCTCAGTCCTTGGGGAACTACAATTCCCACGAGTTGGGGCTCCTGCCCGGCCCCCTCTCCGATGTCTCCTGGGGGCATCCACAGCAAGTCCCCGGTTGCGGGGCTGATCAGGAACGAGCGGCAGCAAGGAGAAATGGGTTGCCCGTGCAGAGCCGGCGGAGATTTGCCAAGCAGCTGATTTCTGTCAAATTATATTACTTAAAACAAAATAATTATTTCCCGGGCGGAGGGATCCAGATTGAGGAAAGCGAGATAGCAGTTAGTCTTAGAATTAGTTGTAGAAAAATATGAAATTAAGACGGAGCCGATCCGCCATGTTGAGATTTTAGTGGATACTGGGGTCCAAAATGTTTCAGCATCCGCGGTTTTGACGGACGCAGATCCTGCCCCCTGGGGACGCCAGAAAGGCATCCCCGCCAGGCTCACGGCTCTCCGGAGCCTGGAAAAGGGTTTATTTCACATAAAAAGGAATTTCAGGCAAGGAAAGGACACAAAAGTAGCAAGAGGAAAAGTTTTAAAGTTGCAATGCTCAAGTACTTTATTAGGGGTTAGTTACAAAGTCAGGGCTTGGGGGAAAGTAAGAGAAGCTTGAGCGCAGTCCCCTATTTTGAGCTGTCTGCTGGGGCACATTTCATCAGTTTTTTTTCCCAATTATAACAACCAGGAACTGCGGAACTCTCCGCTGCAGTGCAGACCAATCACGAGGCGGGGGGGGGGGTCTCGGCACCAACACTAGCTTTGTCCCACCGACTGTAGCAGACTTCGGCCTACTCACTCTTCCCAGGACAACACTAGCTTTGGCCCACTGACTCTCAACACACTTTGGCCTACTCACTCTCCTCAGGACGACACTAGCTTTGGCCCACTGATTGTAACAGGTCTATTCACTCTCCTCATGGTGACACTAGCTTTGGCCCACTGATTCTGACAGGATTCTGCCTACTCACTCTTTCAGTGCTCGACTCACATTTTTATAATCAAAAATACCTAGTTAATTTTTAATATTTCTGAAACCCCTTCTATTTTTGATTACAAAAATCCCAAATTTAAATCATACAACATTTGCCTGGAAATAATGGAGAACCCCTCCCGCCTCCAAATACACAAAACCTGGAAAAATATCCCCGTTGCAGCCTCCAGATAATTACAATTTTTTAAAAAATGAATCCACCCCCTCTCAAAATGGTGAACAGATGTGAGATCACACCACTTCTAACTGGATTTTGAAAAGAAATGCAAGGAAAATTACAGTCACTGGGTATGCAGTGGGGAGAATGTCACCCACGTAGGAGGTTATGGGGAAACGGCAGACCCCTGCTGTAGCACACCTTTTTTCATTGGGGAGGCCATCCCTACCATCCTCCCTTTTTCCTTCCCAGGGCCTCATCACACTAGAGAAGAAATCCACTTTAATGCCACTACTAGACCATGGCCATATAGCCCAAAAAAACCTACAACAGCCCAGAATCCAGTTTAAATCCAGTTGCTGCTTCCTGCAGAATTCTGGGGTGTGTAGTTTAGGGAGGAGCCTTTAACAGCCTCAGTAAACTACAACCCCCAGAATTCTGCAAGAGGCAGAAACTGGATTTAAAGTGGATTCATTCTCTAGTGTGATGAATACACCACTTCCCCTTTCAGCCATCCATGTCGCCTGCATTCCCTCCTGCAGCCAGTCACTGTGGGCCTCTTGCAAAATGACTAGCTTTGCCTCTTGTTTCCTGGCAGGTAACTGGGTCTTCCTGGCCAATTGCCACCTCTCCCTCTCCTGGATGCCTCAGCTGGACAAGCTGGTGGACCAGTTGCAAGTTGAGGAGCCGCACCCGTCCTTCCGCCTGTGGCTGAGCTCCAGCCCCCATCCCGACTTCCCCATCTCCATCTTGCAGGCCGGCATCAAAATGACAACGGAGCCTCCTTCGGTAAAAGCAGAGGGCCAGACGACACTAGGAGGGGTGTTAGGGACAGGGACACATCTCTTCCCAGATATGTTTTTCCCATTCCCTGAAGCCCAGTTTAGACTGAGAACCTCTCCATAGAATCATAGAATCCTAGAGTTGGAAGAGACCTGGTGGGCCATCCAGTCCAACTCCCTGCCAAGAAGCAGGAAATTGCATTCAAAGCACCCCCGACAGATGGCCGTCTAGGCTCTATTTCAAAGCCTCAAAAGAAGGAGCCTCCACCACAGCCTAGGGCAGAGAGTTCCACTGCTAAACAGCTCTCACAGTCGGGAAGTTCCTCCTAATATTAAGGTGGAATCTCCTTTCTTGTAGTTTGAAGCCATTGCTCCATTGCATCTTAGTCTCCAAGAAAGCAGAAAACAAGCTTGCTTCCTCCTCTCTATGACTTCCTCTCACATATTTATACATGGCCCTCATCATGTCTCCTCTCAGCCTTCTCTTCTTCAGGCTAAACATGCCCAGCTCTTTAAGCCGCTCCTCATAGGGCTTGTTCTCCAGACCCTTGATCATTTTGGTCACACTCCTCTGGACACATTCCAGCTTGTCAATATCTCCCTTCAATTGTGGTGCCCGGAATTGGACACAATATTCCAGATGTGGTCTAACCAAGGCAGAAGAGAGGGGGAGCATGACTTCCCTGGATCTAGACAAGGATTTGGTTTCCCCTTTCTCCTGAAATAATAATAATAAACTTTATTTCTACCCTGCCACCATCTCCCCGATGGGGACTTGGAGCCTTCCAGGTCAATGAAACAAGTTCTATTGACCTGGAAGTCCTTTCTCTTGCCCTGAGGAATGGAGAAATTGGCCCAGATCTGGGACCATTTGGTGTTGGGTGGGTAGCATGTCACACAAGCGTGGGCAAACTTCAGCCCTCCAGGTGTTTTGGACTTCAACTTCCACAATTCCTAACAGCCTACTGGGAGGACAGAAGGCTGCTCTGTCCCATACTTTCATCTTCTAGGGAAATGCCAAGTGAATTCCTCCTTCTTCTCCATTGTGGTCCCTGTGAAATCGCACATATGGTATTCCCTGTGCGGGTGCAGAAAATTCAATGTGTGCGAATTTCACAGGTGACCACTCAGAGAAATACGGTTACAGGTAAGCTACCATTACTTCCAGGGAAATGGGTAGCCAACCAAAACAAGTTATGAAATAGCCTCTTAATCGGCATGGATCTTTCCAGTTGATCAGCCTAAATACCTGGTGCTCAGTCGAGGGAGGCAGTTCTACTCATCTGCTACCCCAGACTTTCTTTTGCTTCTCAGCATCCCTTTAGAATTTGTAAACAGTTTGGGCCCAGCCTATCTTCGCGATCGCATCTTCTTCCCAAACTTTGTTTTGCTTCTCAGTATCCTTTTATAATTTGTAAACATTCCACCAATCTTCGCAATCGCATCTTCTTCTATGAACCTGCACAAACTTTACGATCTTTCAGGGAGGCCCTCCTTTCACTCCTACCACCATCACAAATATGGTTGTTGGAAATGAGAGAGAGGGCCTTCTCGGTGGTGGCCCCCCACCTCTGGAACGCCCTTGCTAGGGAAATAAGGCAGGCTCCATCCCTCCCCTCCTTTTGTAAGAGCTTGAAGACCTGGTGATTTCAACAAGCCTTTGAGAATGACTAGTTCTAGCTCAGCCCCAGGCATTGTTGACTATGGCCTTAGTCTTCTTACCAATTAAGAATTAATTGGTAAGAATTAATTAATTAAGAATTAATTAATTGTTGAATTAAGTAATTAATTAAGAATTAATTAATTGTTGAAACCACCAGGTCTTCACACTCTTACGAAAGGAGGGGAGGAATGGGGCCTGTCTTATTTTCCTAGCAAGGGCATTCCAGAGGTGAGGGGCCACCACCAAGAAGGCCCTGTCTCTCATCCCCACCAACCGTACTTGTCACTCCCTCTAATAGGCCCCGGAAATGAACAGCCATAGACTGTACCTGTTATTGCTGTTGCCTGCTATAGCACTGCAGTTAATTTCCCGGCCCCCCTAGAAATGTTGAGCTTGCACTAGCCTTGGCCTGGTCTTTTAAATTGCCTTGAACAAGCAGGATTACTTTTAATATATATGTGTTACTGTGACAATTTTATGCTTATATTGTTTTGTTAATTTTATGTTTGTGTTGTTTACTCTGTATGTATTGATGATGCTACTTGGAAACCGCTCTGAGTCCCCTTGGGGAGATAGAGCAGTATATAAATAAAGTTTTGTTGTTATTCTTGTAATGTGTTGGCTGTCTCTCTCTCACCCACCCGCCTGCCCACTTTTCCCCATTTCAGGGACTGAAGGCCAACATGAAGCGCCTCTACCAACTCATCACGGAGCCCCAGTTCAACCGCTGCACCAAGCCCAGCAAATACAAGAAGCTGCTCTTTGCCCTCTGCTTCTTCCACAGCATCCTGCTGGAGCGCAAGAAGTTCCTGCAGCTGGGATGGAACATCGTTTACGGTTTCAACGACTCCGACTTCGAGGTGATGGGGTGGGGCGGGAAGAGCACAGGATGCCGAGCACTTTGGGACAGCCAAAGAAAGCACAGGGCAGGATGTTGGCAGCTTGTCCCCTCCCTTCTGGAGTCTCAGACAAGTCCGGCCACAATCGCTCCAGTGTGCCCAGAAACAATACTCCTCCAACGGTGACCTCTCTTCCAGGAACCGACTCTCGTCTCCCTTGGGTTGCCAAGTCAGGACCATTCCAGGCCCTGAGAGTTCAGGGCTTAAACCCAAGGCCTAGGGGGTGCCCCCTTGGTATGTCAAAGGCAAAAGCTGTCATGCTGAAAGGCTGGTTTTGCCTGTGAGCCACTCCTTAGGGAAGTTATTAGGCGTAATACCTTAAGATTCTTTTTCGTGGTTGCTGTGATTCATAGACATGGCATTACTGTGCCTGTGCAGAACTTTTTGGGTCTGTACTCTCACCCTGAGATTCTGAGGGCTGAAAAAGAGGACCAGGTCCTCAGTTCTGAGAGGAGACATAATAGGTAAAGTAAAGGTTTCCCCTGACATTAAATCTAGTCGTGTACAACTCTGGGTGGTGCTACTCATCTCAATTTCTAAGCCAAAGAGCTGGCATTGTCTGTAGACGCCTCAGCAGTCATGTGGCCAGCATGACTGCATGGAGAGCCGTTACCTTTCCACCAAAGCGGTACCTTTAATATAATATAATATAATATAATATAATATAATATAATATAATATAATATAATATAATATAATATAATATATTGTATAATATAATATATTGTATATACATATAATATTATAATGTAATACAGTATAATACTAATACTAATATAATAATATAATATAATATAATATAATACTAATAATATGTTATAATTATATATTTTATATTACATGTAATATTACTAATAATATTACAATATAATTGTATAGTACAATATAGTGATGCATAGCGCTGATATTGTACTGTGCTCATGGTATTGTGTGTGTGTGTGTGTGTGTATACACACACACACACACACACATATGTCTTGTAAGCCACTCTGAGTCCCCTTCGGGTGAGAAGGGCAGCATATAAATGTCACAAATAAATAAATAAATACCTATTGATCTACTCACATTTGCATGTTCTTGAACTGCTAGGTTGGCAGAAACTGGTACTAACAGCAGGAGCTCACCCTGCTCCCTGGATCTAAATCACTGACTTTTTGGTCAGCAAGTTCAGCAACTCAGCAGTTTAACCCCCAGGGAGGCCATAATAGCCATGTTTAAATATGTGACATAATAGCCATGTCATAAGGGGTGTCCTAAGGAAGAGGGGGCAGGTTTGTTTTCTGCTGCCCTTGAAACTAGGAATAGGAGTAGTGGGTTCATATGATAGGAAAAGAGATTCCACCTTAACATAAGGAAGAACTTCCTAACCATACAAGCTGTTCAACAATGGAACTCTCCGCCCCAGAGTGTGGTGGAAACTTTTAAATAGAGGCAGGATGGTCATCTGTCAGGGATACTTTGATTGTGCTTTTCCTGTATGGCAGGGGGTTGGACTAGATGGCCCATGTGCTCTTCTCCAGCTCTATGATTCTATAGCTCTAGGCTCCATGCTCCGGTGCTTTTGGATTGCTGGTTGGCACTTTTCCCTTCCAAGTGTTTTCCTTCAGGATGGTAGGGAACAACTAACACAGGACCAGGAGAAATTTCTTAGGTTGGCCACGTATTTATGGGTCATACTCTGCTTTTTTGAGAGTTTTGGATTTTTTTTAAAGTTAAATATATAAAAATAGTTACATATCCATTTAAACTACTTCTTCATTAAATATTATTAAATTCATTAACATCCCCCATTAATTATTAACAAAAAATTCTCCCTCCAGTGGAATTAATTATTATTACATTTTCTTTTCCAATTGCCTAAGTGTGTTCAATGCTACAGAATATTGGTTGCAAAAGGCAAAACTAGAGTTTCTCAAATGTTTTTTTAAAAAACAGGGAATCAGTAGAAGGGATGCAGAAGACGATGGGTGCTGCATGTTGTTTACAAGATAAGATTCACAAACAAGTGGTATGAGTTGAGTAAACAGATGCTGGAAAGGGAAGGGATACTTTTAAAGAGTAGCTTGGTGAGGATTCCAAAATAAATAGCATGCAGAGGAAGAGGTTGAAACTCGCGCTGCTTTGCTTGGTATGGTTCTCCCTGAGGATCCCTCTCTGAGGAAGCCTGACTTGGCCACGAGGTCCGCACTCTTGTTACATCCCAAATAGACTACTGCAACGCACTCTACGTGGGGTTGCCTCTGAAGACTGCTCGGAAGCTTCAACTAGTCCAACGTTCAGCAGCCAGGCTGCTCACTGGGGCTGGGTACAAGGAGCGCACAATGCCCTTGTTGCGCCAGCTCCACTGGCTGCCAATTGGCTTCCAAGCACAATTCAAAGTGCTGGCCTTGGCCTATAAAGCCCTTAACGGTTCTGGCCCAGTTTACTTGTCCAAACGTATCTCCCGCTACGATCCACCTAGGGCTCTAAGATCATCTGAGGAGACCCTGCTCATTGTTCCCCTATTGTCACAATCGCGTCTGGTTGGGACAAGGGACAGGGCCTTTTCTGTGATGGCCCCCAACTGTGGAACTTCCTCCCGAGTGAAATTAAATCTGCTGCACCCCCCTTGACCTTCCAGAAACAAACAAAATCCTGGCTATGGGATCAGGCCTTTGGAGAATAGGCTGACCTACTGACGTAGAATCATAAAATCATAGAATCAAAGAGTTGGAAGAGACCTCATGGGCCATCCAGTCCAACCCCCTGCCAAGAAGCAGGAATATTGCATTCAAATCACCCCTGACAGATGGCAATCCAGCCTCTGTTTAAAAGCTTCCAAAGAAGGAGCCTCCACCACTCCGGGGCAGAGAGTTCCACTGCTGAACGGCTCTCACAGTCAGGAAGTTCTTCCTCATGTTCAGATGGAATCTCCTTTCTTGTAGTTTGAAGCCAATGTTTCGTGTCCTAGTCTCCAGGGAAGCAGAAAACAAGCTTGCTCCCTCCTCCTACCTGTGGCTTCCTCTCACATATTTATACATGGCTATCATATCTCCTCTCAGCCTTCTCTTCTTCAGGCTAAACATGCCCAGCTCCTTAAGCCGCTCCTCATAGGGCTTGTTCTCCAGACCCTTGATCATTTTAGTCGCCCTCCTCTGGACACATTCCAGCTTGTCCAATATCTCTCTTGAATTGTGCCCAGAATTGGACACAATATTCCAGGTGTGGTCTAAACAAAGCAGAATAGAGGAGTAGCATAACTTCCCTAGATCTAGACACCAAGCTCCTATTGATGCAGGCCAAAATCCTGACTTATTTAGAACTGATGGACTGCCCTTGGATAATGATTTAAATCGGTGACCACTGACTATTTGTTGTCTGTTTTTATATTGTTTATAAGGTTTTATATTGTTTATACTATTTTATATTGTTATTATTACATTGCTGTTAATTGTATATTTATGTTTTGATGTGGGCGCCATGGGGTGCCACTTTGTTAGCTGTCCTGAGTCCCTCTGCAGAGGTTGAGAAAGGATGGGATAGAAAAACCCTAAATAAATAAATAAACCTCCACTACGCAGCCATCTCTGCCCACCCCCTGAAGGCAGGGCTCCCATTCAGTATGGGTGTTTCTTTTCCTGTCCAGGTGTCAGAGAACCTCCTGAGCCTCTACCTGGATGAGTACGAGGACACGCCCTGGGATGCCCTCAAGTACCTGATTGCAGGTGTCAACTACGGGGGCCACGTGACAGACGACTGGGACCGCCGCCTCTTGACCACTTACATCAATGACTACTTCTGCGAGCAAAGCCTCTCCACCCCTTCCTTCAAGTTAGTATGGAGGGAACGCTGGGCTCAGAGGAGGATGGGGGGGGGGGGCTCTTGGAACATGGGAACAGGGCATGGTTTTACGAGTGGCAAAGAGTAGGGTGGAAGGAGATTGTTTGTTCTTCAGGAAATAATCTTTATTGGAGAGCAGTTTCCCTTGTATGGTTGTAAATGCATTGGGCCTGAGGACAGGCTCAGGCATGGAATTCTTCTCTCCTCTCTTCCCTATTTTCCTTTCCTCTCTTGCTCCTTCGTTTCTCTCTTCCTTCCTGTTGGGAGTTCTGTCATAAGTAGATTGTGCTCCTGGACAAAAGGTTGGAGGAAAGGATGACAATGGAATCTAGGGCCCTGGGAACGATGTGGTCTTCCTTTCACACATCCATCCATTTTCCTTCCCCAAGTGGGATTATCATTTGTCCTGTCAAGGACAGAGCTTTGCTTTTTAGTGTTATTTCTCTCTCCTCTGAGAAAACTCCCATCCTTTCGCTTTTCCTTTCACCTTTTCCTCAGGGCTTCTTCAGCTTACTTTCCATCTGGGTTTCCTGGGACTGTGTTGTCAAGCGAGTGGGCTTATTAACAAAAGACCCTCCTCATAAATGCACAGCAGAGTAACTTATTAGCAGCAGCGTGACCCAGCATCAGTAGCCAAAAGTGATAAAAAGAACAAAAACAATTCTGCTGGGGAAAATGGAAGAAAAAAGGAAGAGGGGCTGACTAAGGGCAAGATGGATGGATGCTATCCTTGAAGTAACTGGTTTTACTTTGAAGGAGCTGGGGGTGGTGACGGCCGACAGGGAGCTCTGGCGTGAGCTGGTCCATGAGGTCGCCAAGAGTCAGAAGCGACTGAATGAATGAACAACAACAATTTACAAGAACAAGGCTTCCACAACATAAATAAAGTTCTTTACACTTCCTTCTTTGCTTCCACACTGGGCTTCTTTCTCGTGCAGATAATCTTCTTTGCTCTCACATACTCTCAGACTGAAGTTACACAGGAGCTTCACACAGTAGCTTTTTACACAGCAGCCTTCACACTGGAGCTTCACGCATGATGGCCTTCAACCTGGGGCTTCTCTTACAGAAGCTTCTCACACCAGGCCTTCTCATACCAAGGCCTACTAACACTGAAGGCTACTTCACACTGAGGTCTACCTCACACTGAGGCCTGCTCACACTGAGGACTCTGGGTTGTTGTAGGTTTTTCGGGCTATATGGCCATGTTCTAGAGGCATTCTCTCCTGATGTTTCACCTGCATCTATGGCAAGCATCCTGTTGGAACTAGGAAAAAAGGGTTTATATATCATGTTCCTTGATTCGTGTTTGGGAGCTATGTTTGGTGGTCCCTATACAAGGGTTTATATATCTCTGGTCATTCCACAGATATATAAATCCTTTTTCCTAGTTCCAACAGACCTCACTACCTCTGAGGATGCTTGCCATAGATGCAGGTGAAACGTCAGGAGAGAATGCCTCTAAAACATGGCCATATAGCCCGAAAAAACCTACAATAACCCAGTGATTCCGGCCATGAAAGCCTTCAAGAATACAGTGAGGACTCTCTCAGACTGAGACCTTTCTCCCAGTGAGGTGAACTAACACTGAGGCCTTCTCATACTGAGGCCTACTAACACACTGAGGCCCTTCTTCCACAGATACTTCTCACAGACTGAGGGCTACTAGGCTACCGGCACACCTGCAGCTTTTGCTGAATCATGGCATCCATTTAACCCTTTCAGTGCTTGACTCACATTTTTGTAATTAAAAATACCTCATTAATATTTGATATTTCTGGCATGTGTTTCTCCAATAAAGGCCTTGCATTGGAGAATAGCCACAGAGAATGCCTTGGTGGGTTATGCCTTTGTGGTTCAGACTTGGTGTACAAAAGGTGCAAGTGGGAAGAAAATGTTATGAGGCAACCAAGTGTGGGAGAACCTGGGAAGAGAAGCCTCCACAGATGATGGTGACACCGGCCTTTCTCCTCAGGCTATCTTCTCTGGATACTTACTGCATCCCCAAAGATGGCAACCTGGCCTCATATAAGGAATACATCACTTTACTGCCCGGAATGGATGCCCCAGAGGCCTTTGGCCAGCATCCCAATGCCGACGTGGCCTCCCAGATCACCGAGGCCAGGACGCTCTTCGAAACCCTGCTCTCCTTACAACCGCAGACAACACCCGCTGGGGCAGCTGGGCAGAGTCGTGAGGATAAGGTACGGGAGTGGGTTTGTAGCATCAGGACCCTTTGTCAGCCAAGAAGGAAGCAAGTGTCGTGAAAGAGAAGTCCCAGGACTGAAGTCCTTCAGCTTGGAAGCCTCAAACCTGTCCGGGAAGGAGCGGGTATCTTGCCATACAGCATTAGGGATAACATATTTTGCACTTTCAGCAGCATTAGTGACTTCATTCCTTCAAATGTTTGGTCTTGTCTGCCCTCCCCAATAGGTGCTGGAGCTCTCGGCCGATGTGCGGAGCAAGATCCCGGAGGAGATTGACTACGAGGGGACATGCAAGGTCCTTTCCACGGACCCGTCCCCACTCAATGTTGTCCTGCTGCAGGAGATCCAACGTTACAACTCTTTGCTGCAGGTCATCAGGTGAGCTCCAGCCCAGGCATTTTCAGCTCTCCTCTCAGTTCCATGTTTCAGGCAAGAAAGGTCTTGGTCTCAAGTGAAGTCATCCCTGTGTGTGACTCCTTTTTCTGTCTATCTTCTGTAGATCCTCTCTGCTCGAGCTGGAGAAGGGCATCCAAGGCCTGGTGGTCATGTCGACTGACCTGGAGGAGATCTTCAACTGCATTTTCGATGCCCGTGTGCCCCCCATGTGGGAGAGGGTAAGCCCCTCAGAAACAAAGCTGCTCTCTGTGTGTGTCCCTGGGCAATGCTCTCCTTGGTCGATGTCTTGGATGCAGGAAGAGTGAGGGACCCTCCCAAAGTCTCCAGAAGGTTAAATTTCCTCACAGGGAAGGGGTGCCTCCGGCTCTTCTGCCTGCGCAGCCGGATCCTTGTAAGGAGAAACAACTCCTGTTTCTTCTTTCATTTCTCAACACCTTGTTTTCCTTTTTAGCCTCAGGGGCAATTGTGTTTATGAAGAATCCCTTCTGGGACCCACCAGTCTTCCCTTTCTTCTTCTACTACTTCTGAGGCAGAGATTTCCCACTAGGGAGACATACATAATGCATACACTTCAAAAAGTCCCCCCACTGAGGGAAAAGTAGGATTTCAAAAGCTGTTCTTCTTCGGTAAAAGATTCACAAGTGAGGTATCATCTCCTTTCCAAGTCACTGGAGAGAGAGAGCGGGGGGAAAGAGAGAAAGTACTCCTTGTCTGACAATAAATACCTTCTTTGAGAGAAGCACCATTTAACTTTGCTTTGTGTGTGTGAGAGGGAGTTTTCTCCCTTCTTTGGGGGACTTGCAGGTGTCTGTCCATCATTTCCAGATTGGATTACTGTAATGCACTCTACGTGGGGCTACCCTTGAAAACGGCCTGGAAATTTCAACTGGTCCAATGGGTGGCGGCCAGGTTGTTAACTGGTGCTCCAGGGAGAGGTCAACCCTGTCAGGGAGAGGTCAACCCTTCTGTTTAAGGAGCTCCATTGGCTGCCGTTCATTTTCCGGTCCCAATTCAAGGTGCAGGTGCTTACCTACAAAGCCCTAAACGGTTTGGGACCCGCATCTTTGTGTACAAACCCACACGATCTCTTCGTTCATCTGGAGAGGCCCTACTCACGATCCCACCTCCATCACAAGCGCGATTAGTGGGGACGAGGGATAGGGCCTTCTCGGTGGTGGCCCCTCGACCCTGGAACTCGCTCCCCAAGGACATTAGGCATGCCCCAACTCTGGCAGTCTTCAAGAGGAGCCTGAAAACGTGGTTGTTCCAGTTTGCCTTCCCAGAATAAGGAAACCCTAAGCAACATGTCCCTAATCTAGGATTGTCTGCTCGCTCCATCTCTCTCCAAATACCTATCCTAGTTATATGTCACCTTGTCATGCCCAGCATTTTTAAATTTTTAATTATTACATTTGGCCCTGCCATAGGTTTTTAATGCCTCGTGGTGTTATTGTTACTGTTTATTGCTTTGTTTATGAGTTTATTTATTGTCTGTATTGCTGTTGTTGCTTTTTTACTGATGTATTTGGGCTCGGCCTCTTGTAAGCCGCACCGAGTCCTTCGGATGGTAGCGGGGTATAAATAAAGGATTATTATTATATTATTATTATTTCCAGCCATTTCCTTCCCTTGCAGGCCTATCCATCCCAGAAGCCCTTGGCCGCCTGGACCCGGGACTTGGGCCTTCGCGTGGACCAGTTTACCCGCTGGGCCAACACCGCTCACCCTCCCGTGCTCTTCTGGCTCTCGGGCTTCACCTTTCCTACCGGGTTCCTGACTGCTGTGCTGCAAGCTGCTGCCCGGCTTAACAATGTAGGAAATGGCAGGGGGAGTGGGGCAGTGGGGTGGGTAGGGGGAGAGGTATAGTTATATTTTCCCCTAAATAATATTTTTCCCCACCCTAGCCTTGGAATGTTCCTTCATTCTCAATTTTTTTGCATCACTGCAGTAAATGAAAACTTCAGATGAGATGAAAGTAAAGACTTTCTGCATATATTTCAGATTTCAATATTAATGTCAAAAATACGTAGTACGATTTTACATAGGATTTGCGCTACATTAGAACAGTCAAGACAAATATCACTTAAGTAAAATAAACATTAAATATTAAATAACCAGAAAAATAAAATAAGATGTAAACACTAACCGAATCTGGGAATCTGCTATTGTAACACATCCAATGAAGTGGTTTAAAACCAGTGTAAAAAAAGATTAGGACTAAGTACATTCCAGTCTACTTGGAATACACGAAGTTCATTCCAGAAGCTAGAATAATAAAAAAATAGTTGGAAGAGACTACATTGGTCATCTAGTCCAACCCCCTGCCATGCAGGAAAAGCACAATCAAAATACCCCTGACAGATGGCCATCCAGCCTCTGCTTAGGAGCTTCCACCACATTCCTATAGTTTGTCAGTCAGACTTTTGGTTCAGGCCACAGTCAGGAAGGAGAAGAGGGGCTAATGTTGCCAGCTAGCACATTTATATTCTCAAGGAGACGCATCTTGTGGAGAAGCTGCTCACCTCTGGATTGTAGAGTCATCTCACCTTTTCCTCCTCGTTCCTTTAGATCTCAGTCGACACCCTTTCTTGGGAGTTCATTGTCTCCACGGTGGATGACAACAACCTGGTGTATCCCCCCAAGGTAGGTGTGCTCCCCTCTGTCGAAAGTTAGGGATTGGGACCTAGAGGCTGGCTGTGCCCAGACGTCACGTCCTGCCCGTTCTTTCTCTCTCCCATCCCAACTGCCCTTTGCAACCTCCAGGAAGGGGTCTGGATCCGGGGCCTCTACCTGCAGGGCGCTGGCTGGGACAAGAAGAACTCTTGCCTGATGGAGGCGGAGCCCATGCAGCTGGTCTGCCCCATCCCCACCATCCACTTCAAGCCGGTGGAGAACAAGAAGAAGAGTGGCAAAGGTACGTGGGTGGGTTGGAGAGAGGCAAGGAAGCATGCAGGGCATTACCTCACATTGTCACATTGGTTGGGAGCAAATGGCTCTGTTCAGAGCAGACATAGGCAAACTTTGGCCCTAAAGGTGTTTTGGACTTCAACTCCCACAATTCCTAACAGCCTACCAGCTGTTAGGAATTGTGGGAGTTGAAGTCCAAAACACCTGGAGGGCCAAAGTTTGCCCATGCCTGGTTTAGAGACACCAGAGCAGTGCAGGAGACTGGCCTCATCACTTTTCCCCTTCTTGCCAGGTAGCTATGCTCTTCTCCTTTGTGCCATTTGGTTTTGCTTGTCCTAACCTCACCCGAAGTCCCCTCTTTCTCTCCTCTGTCTCCAGGGATGTATGCCTGCCCTTGCTACTATTACCCCAACCGGGCTGGCACCGCCGGGAGGCCCTCTTTCGTTATTGGCATCGACCTTCGGTCCGGAGCCATGCCCTCCGACCACTGGATCAAGCGGGGCACGGCCTTGCTCATGAGCCTGGACAACTGAAGATAACAATTGCCTTTGTCCCTCTCCAGAAAAGAAACTTCTCCTTCTGACTTTTTCCTTGATTTCTCCTACCTCTTCTCTCTTGTTGTTATTCTGGGTGAAATTAAATATAGTTATTTATTTCACTTCCTTTGTGTATTATTATTATTATTATTATTATTATTATTATTATTATTATTATTATTATTATTATTAGAAACACAACAAGATGAGTCCACAGCAGACACTATGCTGGCTGTTGAATTGGATCACACGTCAGACACTTCCCAAGTGTCTAGGACTATGTGTTGTATTGGTGAATAATGTGTGCAGATCCCAGTAAGGTAGCCTTCTGCAGCTGGCAGATGGTAATTTTGTCAGCGTTGATTGTGTTTAAGTGCAGGTCAAGGTCTTTAGGCACTGCACTCAGTGTGCCGATCACCACTGAGACCACCTTTACTGGTTTGTGCCAGTAAAGTCTGGCACACCTACCTTGTGCCAGACTTTGCAGTTTGATCTTTAAATCCTCATATCATGTCAGCTTTTCCAGTTGTTTTTCTGCAATCCTGCTGTCACCTGGGATTGCGACATCGACGATTCATGCTTTGCTTTTTTAACACAATAGTGAGGTCAGGAGTATTATGCTCCAAAACTCTGTCTGTCTGAATTCAGAAGTCCCAGAATAACTTGATGTGCTCATTTTCTGTAACTTTTTCCGGCTTGTGATCCCACCAGATCTTTGTCGCAGGCAGATGGTATTTGTGGCACAAGTTCCAATGAATCTTCTGAGCAACGATGTTGTGCCTCTGCTTGGAGTCTGTCTGCGCAATTTTCTTGCAGCAGCTGAGGATATGGTCTATTGTTTATCTATTGTGATCTATTGTTGTTGTTATTATTATTATTTTACTGACACAAAAACACAGTATGTCACAGCAAATGAGATCTATATGCTGGATTTCATATCACAAAATCACAAGTCAAACACTTCTCAAGTGTCTAGGACTGTGTGATGTATTTTCGAATGATGCACACAGATCCAAATAAGGTGACCTTTTGCAGTTGACAGATCGTGATTTCAAATTTGGGTGTATAGTGTATTTGTGCTCAATGTGGTCCAACAAATGAAAATCCATCCTGCACATCAGATATTTACATTAGGATTCACAAAAGTAGCAAAATTACAGTTCTGAAGTAGCAACGAAAAGAATGTTATGGCTGAGGCTCACCACAACATGAGGAACTGCATTAATGGGTCATGGAATTAGGTACACATTGAGGTACACATTGCTGAAATAGGGGGTCCACTTAAACATTCGGAAGAACTTCCTGACAGTGAGAGCTGCTCAAAAGCAGTATATGCTTCCTGAGGGTCCAATGGGGTCTCCTTCTCTGCAGGTTTTTAAGCAGAGGCTGGACGTTCATCTGTTGGGAGGGTTTGGATTGTGTCTTTTTGCATAGCACAAGGGGTGGGCCATCTCTAGGATTCTCCGGCTTGGCCCTTCTGAGACACACTGGCTCCTCTCTGGCCTGCCCGCCTGCCCGAGAGCCATGGGGCTGTGTGTCACCAGAAAGGTATTTCCTTTCCTCCGCTTGGCTTTCTGCACCGACAGCCAGGCAGCCAGCGGTTTTTTGGGAGCCCCATGCCCATCCATCCATCCCGCAGGTTGGGAAGGAGAAGGAGGGGATCATATGCAGGGCAATGAATGGCTCCAGAATCCTGGAGTTGGAAGAGACCCCCAAAGGCCATCTAGTTCAGCCCCCTTCTGCCTGTCAGGAAGGCACAATCCAAGCCCTCCCAACAGATGGCCATCCAGCCTCAGCTGAATCCTATCTCTAGCTACTCATTGAGGTCTGGAGACTTGATGACACAAGAGAGATATGCAGTCCAGGGATGAAACCCAACAGGAATTTAATCAAAAGCATTCAATTGATGAGAGGGAAATTGCTTGAACCCTTGGCTCTATTGGTTCTCCTTTGCTGCCCAAAACACAGCAGGTGGGTTTAAATCAGGCATGGGCAAACTTGGGCCCTTCAGGTGTTTTGGACTTCAACTCCCACAATTCCTAACTGCCTGGGGAAAGGAACAAGTCTAAAATCAAGACAATAAATAAGGAACACTCAAAAACAGAGAAACTTCAAGCAAGAAACAATCAGGGCCAGCTAATCACCTCCCGACAAAGGATTCCCCCAGGCAGGTAGCAACCAAGCTTTGAAGCTGCAAGGGCATTCAGTGCTAATCAAGCTGGCCAACTGCAACATCCCCACTTGTCGCAAGCAGACAAGAGTTCTTTCTGCCACCCTGGACATCATTCCACAGATATATAAACCTCACTTGCCAGTGGAGTTGATGGCGTAGGAGCATCGCTTCAGTGCTGGTGGTTTTTGCTTCTTCCAAGTGTGCTGACATTTCTCCATCTGTCTTCCCAAGATATTTCCAGGATTTTTTGGAGGCACCGCTGATGGAGTGTGACGTCTGTGGACAGTCCATGTTTCGTAGGCATAGAGCAGGACTGGGAGGACAATAGCTTCATAAACAAGCCCCTTGGCCTCCCAGGGATGTTCCGGTCCTCAAACACTCTCTGCTTGCTTTGGAAGAATGCTGCACTCGCAGAGCTCGGGCTTTAACTTGAATAAGTTGAATGGTTTTTAAATACTGTTTATATTTGATTCTGTTTTAATGTTTGTATATTTGTTTATTTTAAATTGTGTGCTAATGCATTTATATTAAGTAACTTTGAGTCCCCTTTAGGTAGGTAGATAGATAGATAGATAGATAGATAGATAGATAGATGATAGATAGATAGATAGATAGATAGATAGATAGATAGATGATAGATAGATAGATCTCATCCCAAACACTCAGAAATCTATCCAGATAGATAGATAAAATGATTAATTTCTGGGTGTTTGGGATGAGACCCAAGTCTAAATACATAATAATAATAATAATAATAATAATAATAATAATAATAATAATAATTTTGAGAACACAGAAATGCTGGACCACTTTAACAACTATCATGTCAATAATAATTATAATTATAATTATAATTATTACTATTATTTTGAGAACACAGAAGTGCTGGACCACTCTAACAACTACCATGTCAATAGTAATAGTAATAGTAATAATAATAATAATAATAATAATAATAATAATAATAACAATTATTTTGAGAACACAGAAATGCTGGACGACTCTAACAACTACCATGTCAATTATTATTATTATTATTATTATTATTATTATTATTATTATTATTATTTTGGGAACACAGAAATGCTGGACCACTCTAACAGCTACCATGTCAGGCTACACAGAGGAGACATTGAAATCCACAAGTAAGTGGACAATTTCCACAGAAAGGAGGAAACCATGAAAATGAACAGTCTGGCTACCAGTATTGAAAAAACTTCAAAATCAGGACAATAAATAAAGAACAACACTCAAAAATAGGGGAATTCCAAACAGGAAACAATCAGGGCTAGCTAACACCTCCCAAAAAAGGATCTCCCAAGCGGCAATCAGCTAAGCTTTGAAGCTGCAAAGACATTCAATGCTAATCAAGCTGGCCAATTGCCACATTCACACTTGCCTCCAACAGACAAGAGTTCTTTCGCCCACCCTGGACAGTAAAAAAAGTGGAACATTAAAAAAACAGGGGAATTCTTGACATGAAACAATCAGGGCCAGCTAACTCTTCCAACAAAGGATCCCCCAGACAGCAATCGGCTAGGCTTTGAAGCTGCAAGGCCATTCAATTCTAATCAAGCTGGCCAATTGCAACATTCACACTGGCCTCCAATAGACAAGAGTTCTTTCTCCCACCGTGGACAGTAAAAAAAGTGGAACGCTAAAATAAAAACAGGGGAATTCGTGACATGAAACAATCAGGGCCAGCTAACACTTTATAACAAAGGATCCCCCAGGCAGCAATCAGCTAGGCTTTGAAGCTGCAAGGCCATTCAATGCTAATCAAGCTGGCCAATTGCCACAGTCACACTTACCTCCAACAGACAAGAGTTCTTTCTCCCACCCTGAACAGTAAAAAAAAGTGGAAAGGGGAAGTCTTGACATGAAACAATCAGGGCCAGCTAACACTTTATAACAAAGGATCCCCCAGTCAGCAATCAGCTAGGCTTTGAAGCTGCAAGGCCATTCAATTCTAATCAAGCTGGCCAACTGCTACATTCACATTTGCCTCCAACAGAGTTCTTTCTCCCACCCTGGACAGTAAATAAAGTGGAACACTCAAAAAACAGGGGAATTCTTGACATGAAACAATCAGGGCCAGCTAACACTTCCAACATACACACTAACCTCAAGCAGGACAGAGTTCTTTCTCCCACCCTGGACAGTAAATAAAGTGGAATACAAAAAAAAACAGAGGAATTCTTGATATGAAACAATCAGGGCCAGCTAACACTTCCAATAAAGGATGCCCCAGGCAGCAATCAGCTAGGTTTTGAAGCTGCAAGGTCATTCAATGCTAATCAAGCTGGCCAATTTCCTCCATCAGACAAGAGTTCTTTCTCCCAAATTGGACAGTAAAAAAAGTGGAACACTAAAAAAACAGGGGGGTTCTTGACATGAAACAATCAGGGCCAGCTAACACTTCCAACAAAGGATCCCCCAGGCAGCAATCAGCTAGGCTTTGAAGCTGCAAGGCCATTCAGTGCTAATCAAGCTGGCCAATTGCCTCCATCAGACAAGAGTTCTTTCTCCCAACCTGGACAGTAAATAAAATGGAACACTCAAAAAACTGGGGAATTCTTGACATGAAACAATCAGGGCCAGCTAACACTTCCAACAAAGGATCCCCCAGGCAGCAATCAGCTAGGCAAGTCCATTCAATGCTAATAAAGCTGGCCAATTGCCACATTCACACTTGCCTCCAACAGACAAGAGTTCTTTCTCCCACCCTGAACAGTAAAAAAAGTGGAAAGGGGAAGTCTTGACATGAAACAATCAGGGCCAGCTAACACTTCCAACATTCCCACTAACCTCAAGCAGGCGAGAGTTCTTTCTCCCACCTTGGAGATCATTCCATGGATATTTTAAACCTAATTTTCCTAGCTTCCAGCAGACCTCACAACCTCTGAGCCATGCCTGCCAGAGATGCAGGCGAAACG